CTGTGACTCTCATATGTATTCCCTAGATTACAGATGGGTAATTAATGTTAACCAAAATACTGAATTCTCAAAAGGCCTGTTTTCATCAGCTCCAGTTTGCCAAATAACCCACTGTTTTCAGACTCGGGGTATTATCCCGAAGCTCGAAATGGGGTCTTCACCAGACAGATACGCTCATCACAAATTAGCTTGGACGCGCGCAAAGTAGCCCGCTATTTGGGAAATAGCGGGATACAAATTTATTTTGGAAACAAGACCAAGATTTCACTGGATATTTTCTTGACCAAATATCTTGCTAATTGCAACTGCGGGCTGATGAAGACGCAAATTAGTTGGATAATTTGTGATCGGGATAGTTGAAATAGCAGGTTATTTGGCAAACTTGAGCTGATGAGGACAGGCCTATAGTGAAAGTGAATTTGTCATTTAGCCATAAAAAGAAACTGAAAGATGATATTAATGCTTGAGTAAAACAAAAATACCCGGTAGGTGTGGTAGAAAATTGACTCAATGACTATAACTCAATGACTATGATTTTGTTTTTAATGACTGAGTGAAACGGCGTTCATTTCCATTTTCAAGTGCATATTTCTTCAATTCCCCTTCCGAGTTCCATTCATGAGTTTCAAACAATTACATTCATGTGTAGTTTCCCCTTATTTTAAACCATGTATTGCTTCTCACTTGATAATTTGACCTTTGGTGAAGTGGAATAAGTACCTATTTTTCTTCATCCCACCCACTTACTTTTTGGATGTGCACACTTCTTGATTTACAATTTTTCTTCTCATTGCCTGTACGCACTTGAGGAAATCTTCATGAAATGTGTCTGAAGAAACGTTTAATGAAACTATACATTTCTATCAAACTACATGTATAGGCCTAACCTTACCCATTTCGTAGCTTCATTTTAAAACACTCACCATCAAATTATGAATGAAAAGTGCAATGCCCTCACACTTTTCTTAGGGTTTCAAACAAGCGAAAACCATAAATTGAACATTCAACTGTTGAGTGGGGTTGGCCCGAGGGTGAAGCTGAACAGCCGAGTTTTATCTATTAAATGTGTTCAACAATGCTGCGGGACAATGCAAGCCAAACCCATATTTTCTCATTTCTCATATTTACCAAACGATAAGATTATTAAAGCAAGCTGCCATGAATAAAAGGAGCGAGCTAGCTACATTCAAGGCTAAGCTGTTTCATGGCAACATCGCTTCTCCAAATTCTTGTATTTTTAGTCCTTACAAAAAAGAAAGGAAGTGGGGAGAGAAGTTGAAAAGAAAAAATGGCCCAGGGTGAAAAAATGCAGTCCATGAGTTTCTTAGAGATTTGTAGCCCTGAAATGTTTTAATGGAAACATATTGGCCCTACATGTAAACCAATGTAACCAGTTTGAATGCCATTTCATATTAAACTCTGCTACTGTATTCTTCTCTCTCACACTCGTTTTGCCAATTAGCGGTTCATCCACAAACAGCACGTCACGTTGAACTCCCTCCCGACAGACGTCAGTGCCGTCAATATAGATGACCCGGGTTTAAATTTAGCTTTTTCAATAAATCAATCGGGAGAAATCATGTGTATTGCCTCTCGGATAGAAGTCTTCATGGATGAATTCTAAGGCTATTATTGGAAAACAATTGGTTTCCATGGTTATACCGATGTGTTAGCCGATAGTATTGAAAAGCTCTTCAAATTAGGGGGTTTTATAAACAGAAAATTGAATGTAATGCTCAAGTATTACAATTCTTTATTCTTTCAATTTGTAAGTGACGCACATTGGCTTATATATCGTGGCATCTGCGGACATTGCACTTTTCATGGGACAATGGAATCATTTTGCATTACGCCATGGTGTTGAGTGATTACAGCATGCGAGACGAAAATTGATTTCTGCTCATATACATCTATGACCCAATCAAATTTGGAACCTTTTACTAGCCACAATATGCCCATGACAAGACCATTGTTGGGTCTGGTTAGTTGGCCTAATTGTAGATGTACTTTCATTCAGAACTTTGTAAAATGCAATCTCCAGAGCTGCCAACCATTTCTTTTTTCCCGGGCTTATTCTGTTTTTTCCTCCAAATTACGGTAGTACGTATTTTCGTCATAATTTTTTTTTTTAATTTTTTTTTAACATACCGCACATCAAACAACTGCCCTAAAATGTTGGTTCAATCACAAATTCAATAGAAAACTAAGGTTAAAACATGCTTGAAAACATACTTGAAGAAAAAAAAGAAAAAATATTCTCAAAGAGAATAAAACGCTGATAATGCCAAAATAACAACAACAAAATACCTACTTGTTATTAGGTAACTAATATGGAAAAAAACAGCATGAGGAATGGAAATTTCTGCATTGGAAGTGTGTTGCGCGTGGTTGTAAGTTTAGTTTTAATGAATTCCTTTTTTTTTGCCATCATGGTTCCTTTTTTGGTCGCACAAGGTTGGCAGGTCTTGAACATGGAAGGCTTGACAATGAGAGGAATGTTTCACACAGACATGTCACACCATGCATGTACCGGTAGGTGTGAAAGGTGGGGGCTGAAGCCAACTCTGAAGCAATGGCTACATCTGTTCCAAATTTTTTTTTATATTCCCGGTAGATTATTATGTTTACAAAATTACATTTTTAAATACAATAAAGTGGCCAAATATTTGCTTGCTGGCTTTATAGCTAACTCACAAAATTCAGGAACAGGAAAGTTGATATTTTGGCAAGTGCCCCGTCCCCTCCCCCTTCCCCAGCAAATTGTAGTTTATTATGTTTACAAAATTACATTTTTAAATACAGTAAAGTGGCCAAATATTTGCTTGCTGGCTTTATAGCTAACTCACATAATTCAGGAACAGGAAAGTTGATATTTTGGCAAGTGCCCCGTCCCCTCCCCCTTCCCCAGCGAATTGTAGTTTATTATGTTTACAAAATTACATTTTTAAATACAATAAAGTGGCTAAATATTTGCTTGCTGGCTTTATAGCTAACTCACATAATTCAGGAACAGGAAAGTTGATATTTTGGCAAGTGCCCCTCCCCTCCCCCTTCCCCGGCGAATTGTACTTGTATGCCTACATGTACATGTATATCCTATTACTAATAAATTAATAGTATGGATATGCAGGCATTCAAGAATTGTTCACATTTGATAAAGACATGCATTAATAAATATGTATGTATACATTTATATTAAACACGCAAAATTAACATTCATGAAGGTTTGTAAATTGGCTATTTTTTTTAAATGTTGAATAGCCTGCCTGTAGAAGCTGAACCAAAGGACATGGATATGTACATGTAGTACATAAACACATCATTTCTATTTAAAGCCATTGCAACATAAACAAATTATTAAAAAAAAATTCTCCACATATCCTAGAAGTACACTGCGCTTACATGTATATAGGTACTTCATATCTGAGCGCTAGACCGAAAGAAAACAAATATTTGACTCCGCCAGAAAAGCCTTTCACCGCGGAAACACCATTGAGTGCACTGTGTGTGCAACTGTGAACTGAAAGCTGAATTAACTTTGTGAAGTGCACTTTTGTATATTTGTAGTATCAATTATGTCACACTCATGTGGGAATTTATCAAAGTGGCATACAATCAAAGCTTAAGATATTTCATTAGATGCTTGATGGAAAATGATAGCGGGATTTATATCTATTCATAATTAATTGTCCAGACTCTAGAGTATCCTTCTCTTTGAGCTATTATCGATGATAGTATATCCTGCTAAATTAATAAATTTGATTTGATGTTTGATGAATAATGCCATTAGCTGCATTTACACTGTAAGCAAATCATCGTTTTTGTTAACATTCCGGTGTTTTGTCAAAAGTTGCTCTGTAAAATCCACCACGGGAGGGTGTATTTTTGTTAATGCCAGCTGAAACTTCTCTGGTTTTTTACAGTATAAATGCACCCCCTAAAAACACCAGTGAATCATTTTGGTTTTTGGTCATGTGACTGTCCTCGCTTCAGTGCTTTAACGCATGCAGGGCAGCAACAAGTGGCGCGTCCACAGAACTCACAAAAAACATAATCATTAAACACTGATGGTTTCTTTTGGGGTTTTCCAGGTTTCCAGTTTTCCGAAAATGTCTCAAAACTCTCCTCTTTGACCATGATCAACAATAGATTCTTTGATAACTTTTATGTAAAGCGCTGTGAAACAACAGTTAGTTTGTAAGAGCACTATAGAAATGACTTTATTGTATTGTATTGTATTGTATTGTAAATGGAAGTAAAAACAAAATAATGGGCTGTGTAAATGGGCCTGACTACATGTACATGTATACATGTAGTTACGCATAATTTGTTATTTAGAGTAATGGTCTAATAAAGGATATGGTAGTCATTTCTTTCTGCTGGGAAAGCTGAAATGGAAAAAGATTTATAAATATTTACTTTTGTTTATTGACTTTCGGTTCTGAATTCAATGTTTAAATATTGGATATATGATATTTGGTTTTGCTGATGTGATTGTCAAGTTTTTTTCCTCTAATACATTTTTGTCTTCAGAAGTAGGCTATATGATGTGGTGTTTTTAATGAAAATATTGAATCCTATATGTATGAACAAACAGTGTTTTGTGTTGAATACTCTCCCAGTACACACAATTTGTTAGAAAGGTATAGCACAAATTACATGTACACCTGTACACCATAATCAAAATTCAAAACAGACCTGCAAACAAAACTGAACTGAACATTAACTGTATAAAATAGAATATACATGTATTCTGTTGTAGTATACATGTGAACATGAGTGAACATTAGTTGTAAATTTTTTTTAACAAACAGCTAAGATGAACTTGAAGTGAATGTATGTTTGTAATAATGGCATTTATGAACAAAATTTTGGAACAAATTTTTGTTAAAGTTGATCATATTTGAATGAATGAATTCCTTATATATTCACCTTCAGATCGGTCGACATGCAACAGTTATTTGATCCATTTTTCCCTGTTATCTCTTTTTCTTCTTCAGAATAATTACATCAAGACGTCCAAGTACAACATTCTCACTTTCCTTCCCATCAACCTCTTGGAGCAGTTTTTGAGGATAGCCAACTTCTACTTCCTCATCCTTTTCATCCTTCAGGTATTAAAGCCCCACTGCACTACTTGTAGCTACTTGCGCCCTCTATACAACAAACAATGCCTAATCGGTGACCATTGGTTCCCCATGATCCTCTTGTTCTTATGTTAACTGAGAGCCGAGTTGATGAGATAACCACCTGTCCAGTGACCTTGCAGGGCGGTCTAATCCCTCCTGTAAACTATGGCAGATAAGCTTTAAAGTTAGCTTTTGATTGGCGTTGATCTTTTATTTTAGTGAGAGGAATGTGATGATCAGATTGGAGAAAGAGAGAGACAGACAGACAAGAAAGAGATAGTCGAGAAAGATACAGACAGTTACATGTTGGAAGACAACCAGATTGGAGAGAGAGACAGAAAGAAACGACAGACAGATGGACAGACAGACTGACAGACAGATAGTCGAGAAAGATACACTGTAGACAGATACATGTTCATGTACATGTACATGTAGGAAGACAACCAGACTGGATAGAGACAGACAGACAGAGAGACAGACAGAAAAGACAGAGATAGTCGAAAAAAGACAGAGATACACTGTAGTTGTAAAAGATACAGACATGTTCATGTAGAAAGACAACCATATTTAATAGAGAGTGTGAGAGAGAGAGATGTAGAGACAGACACAGACACAGACAGACAGGGCAGAGGTAGCCAAAAAATGTTCATGTAGAAAGACAACCATATCGGAGACAGACAGACAGACAGAGACAGAGATACGTAACATTGCCATGATCACGATCACCATGGAACTATTTTAATGGGTTGACCATGAATGCAAAATAGTGCTTGAAAATGTCAATAATATTTATTGATTCTTACCCGTGCCCATAGAAATGCATACAATAAATGTTTTTTGACGTTCAATTAATTTGCAAACAGCACACCCTTATTAGTGATTCACGGTTCACAGATCTTTGTGGGTTTGTTTGAAGAAAAATAGATTTTAATGGCTCATAAATGGCATATTTTAAAGGCTCATAAATGGCATGCTTTGTTGAGTCACTCAATGTACATTTTTTGTACCAGCAATGGTGTGACACCCAATCTTATTCTTTTTGAAATACTTTATGTAGCATTTAAATACAAATCATTATCTTGTTGCGAGGCTTTTCTATCAAATATTCCTGTAGTTGTACTTGTAAAGTGGTTAACACATACACACTTATGACAAAACCAGGGTTAGGGGAGGGAGTATATTTCTACTCCCTAACCCCCTTCCCCACATCCCCATGGATGATATTATTATTTCAAGGCTTCAAGCATAACTCAATTCAAAATTGAGTACTACCATTTGCATTCTTAATACAGAATTCTGTATATGTACAGTCATGTATTCATCATTGATAATGTAGATAATATTAAATCAAAGAGATATTCCACTTGAAATTTTTTGAATTTCTGATAATGAAATCTATGCAGATCTTAAATTAGCAAAGTGGCCAGTAGATTGTGATGTAGTAACAGTTGAAAATACCCTCTAGAATAATGGATCTTGAGATATTTTTGTCATTTTTTTGGTCAGAACATTACAGGGAGTTTTCTGGCACTACATCACAATGACAGTACAGATTCAGCCGATTTGAAATTCCCATACATTTTACAAGTACATGTGTAGCGATTAGAAATTTGTAACTAAAGCTAAAAAGTAAAAAGTAAGTTCTTTTTTGTTTGTCTGATTTGGTTCAAAGCAATCTGTTGAATTCCAAAGTGGGATTAACTTTAAAATTATTTCATTTATTGTTATATTTCTACTTGTGCAACCTTAACTATTATATAATTTTTTGTATTATTACTGAATTTAATTTTTTCTTTTCAGTTGATTGGCCCTATCTCATCTCTCAGCCCTGTCACCACTGCGCTACCTCTGGTTTGTGTGCTGGGATTGACAGCCATCAAAGATGCAGTAGACGACTTTGTAAGTACTCTTAAAGCCCCACGGCACTACTTATAGCTACAGTGTACTTGCGCCCTCTATATGTGACCCGGCACCACAAAACCAACAAAAAGTCGCAACCAGCGATTCTCCGTAATCAGCTAAAATGTCAATTTAGGTGAAAAAAATAGATTTTTGTTTTTTTGCATTTTCTGAAAGAGTGGTCTTTTCTGTACCTAGTATCAAAATTTGGAAGTCTAAAACATAGTAGAAGATGTGTTTTAAACGGTTTTTCTAGACCACTTTTTTTCGCACAGCCTTCGGTCTCTTCCAAAATTTGATCACTTTTCCCGAGCGAAATTATCGTAGTCCGGAAATGGTCGGTCGTTGCTAACGGGTCGTGCTACGCGGGCTGTGATTGGTCCGTTATAGCAATCAGTGCGGCGCGCCATTTTGTTTGTATCCGCTTTCACATCCGAGTTCCAGATTTGCGTTCGTCTTATATTCTCCGTTAACGACTTCGAGTCGCTTGAGTTGTTGCATTTTCAAACTTGTGATAAAGGATGAGAAAGAGTTGTTGCATTTTAAACTTGTGATACACGATGAGAAAGAGTTGTTGCATTTTTAAACTTGTGATAAAGGATGAGAAAGAGTTGTTGCATTTTAAACTTGTGATACAGGATGAGAAAGAGTTGTTGCATTTTCAAACTTGTGATAAAGGATGAGAAAGAGTTGTTGCATTTTCAAACTTGTGATAAAGGATGAGAAAGAGTTGTTGCATTTTTAAACTTGTGATAAAGGATGAGAAAGAGTTGTTGCATTTTAAACTTGTGATACAGGATGAGAAAGAGTTGTTGCATTTTCAAACTTGTGATAAAGGATGAGAGAGAGTTGTTGCATTTTTAAACTTGTGATACAGGATGAGAAAGAGTTGTGACATTCCCTAAATAATTTTGTTTTCATTTCTGTGCTTCCAAATTTATTCTCCCATAAGTGTTTTGAAATCAAGTTCTTATTGTAAACACACATTCACACTCTTGATATCATCATTTTGCTTACAGCTATCATAATTCTCCCCCTTCTTTTCCCTCTGTGTCTCTCTCTCTCATTCTTTCTATTTTTCGTTATTCTATGTTGGTGTCTTTACTGTGTGTCTCCTGCCTTTCTTTATTTTTATACCACTTTCTGGCTGGTATTTATGAATTGCTTCCATTAATTATCATCATGATGGCTACTGGAAATGAAAGAGCAAGTCATAGTAAAAATACTTTGAACCTCCTGTGAGAAAGAAAACAGTATGGGAATTAAGTATAAAGCAAGTTCATAATGTAATACAAATAATTGCCCAGATGTATACAAAACAAGATAGGTGACAAGCAGTGTTATGTAAGGGGGAACAAAAAGACTCCGGGTCCACCATGAATAGGCATTGTCTAGTGCAGGTGTCTCGGCACTATGTTGCAGTTCACTTAATCTGTCCAATTACAACTCTATACATTTACAACATAATAACTTTTGAAAGACTTAAGTCCACACATTGAAACCTCAGAAACATAATGAACAGACTATGTTTGACCATCAGGTCAAATTTCAGCCTAATCTGAAAATCTCTTCATAGTGGTTGCTATGGCCTTTTGATTCACCCTTCTATTGATTTCCCTGTGGTTTGCTTGCTCCGCATGCTTGAATAGCCCCAAACTTTAAAGCTCTCTTTCTCACAATTTAATACCAGTAACCTCCCTCACCAGCTCTTTTCATTCACTGAATTGAAAGGGTTAGGAAGCTTCAATTTGGACAAGTAATATACCATTTTAATGAGGAGAACTTCTTCTTTCATAATCAGATGAAATCAGGAAAATAATTTTTGCGACTTTTTGTTGGTTTTGTGGTGCCGGGTCACATATAGCAAACGATCCCTAATCGGTGCCTGTTGGTCCCCCATGGTCCCTTTTTCTTTAATTGAGAGCTGATTTGATGAGATAACCACCTGTCAGTGACCTCGCAGGGAGGTTTAATCCCCCTGGCCAAACTAGTACAGACAGGCTTTTAAAACGTCAGTGGGTTGGAGGGGGCATAAGGGGCATGTGCCCCAATTGCCAAATCTGGCAAAACATATACACACCCCAAAAAAATTACTCAATTTGTTAATGTTTGCTGCTCTGCCAAATTCCTTGTAATTTGTTTGTCTAGATTTTTCTTATTTGTCAGCATATTTTTGTAATATATTTTTTATTGTGGGCAAATAAGTATATTCCCCTATACATGTACTTTAATACCCACTTTATGTTCATTACATATGTATATAATATTGAATAGCCTTCAGTGGGATGAATGTACATGAGCTGAAGAGCGTACATGTATTTCACAAGTTTGCATGACGAGTGGAGATGAGTGGAATATATGCATATATACCCTTGTGGCCAACTAAAGAAAAGCCATTCAATTTGTTTGAAACCAAGGACCACAATTTTCACCATTCAATCTTTATGTATTTGTATTAACTTGCACATTAAACATAGATAGAGAGACACGATTTGTCCTTGCCAAAGCATTGGGCAAGGGTTGTTCTTGTATATCCATTAACTATCGGCTTTGCATGTTTAAAGATAGATCTGCGATTGCATTGTGAAAAAACTGTGTGGAATCGATCAAAAAAAAGTCAATCATGTAGCATATGAGTATTGGTGTGTACTGTAAGGTTCTGGAGTCATCAAATTGATAAGAAATTTGGCCCAGCCTTGGTATTAAAAGTAACAAGTACTGAACACAGAAAGATTTATATGGGACTACACAAACATGTGGCATAAAATTTGGGCCTCTTTTTAAAGCTGGTTACTTGTCATATTTAGAAAAAAAAAATTTCAGGGAACATTTTTTTCTCTGATGCTCCTCCACACTTGTATTATAACAATGATAACGCTCACAACTTAACTCATCCTTCTCTATAAATCCATGTTTACTTTTTAAGCATTTACACATCCCAGTCTGTGAGATATCAAAATGACATGTAGCACAGTCATCCAGGTATTTTTTTCACAAACTTTGAGATATCATTTTAAAATGAAATGGTCATTCAGGTACTTTTGTCCAAATGTCTTTGAATATAATGACTGTATTGTTCATGCTTTGATTTTCTGTTCTTTTTTTTATCCTCCACCTTCTTTTAACCCCAGAGGAGACATAAAAGTGATAACCAAGTCAATAACAGAGAATCCTTCATCCTTGTCACTGGAGAGTAAGTACATCATATTTTTATTTCTTTGTCTGATTTACGATTACCACCTAAATCCACCAGTTTATGGTTATGGGCGCCATTTTAATTTTCGAGTAAACAAACCATTGACCTCTAGAAGTCAGTGGTTTACGCATAATTAAGATAACGCCCATGCAAATATGATGTGAGTGCACAGCGCAGGCAGTGGATGTCATCAATGTTTTCAATTAAAATGGCGCCCATGTCTGCGCATTGTTGTAACCGTAAACTGGTGTATTATTGATACCCTTACCAAGTTTTATGATTGTTTAATTATGTGAAAAATTGATTTGTCCTGATTTTTTTTTCTTGGGAATGTGACATATTAAGCTTACATGTACATCTAAAAGTATTCAACAAAGGCCCTAATTCAACCTGCCAACCTTTCATTCTTGAGTTTAGTGAATAGAGCAAGCACATCAACTATTAAACAAGAGGTATCTATGAATAATTCAGCTGTTTAAGCTAATCTTGAACTCTGGTATGGGAATCGTATGTCGATAGAACAAGGCTATAAATCATTCTGGATTGTTTGTCCTGCAGTAGATTAATTGTTTGAACCAGTAAACTAAAAACAAACTTACAACACCTTGCTGTAAATCATCTTCAATAAAACCGACAAATCTCATTGCATATAGTGACCTGTGTTTAATAATAAAGCACATGGTTTCGGGCCTACTTACCTTTATTTCCTCATCGTTTATGCTCATTACTCTGCCCCTTTACATTTTCTAACATTTTCTAGCCTTCAAATGTTGACTGTTTTTTTTTTTTTTTTTACCTATTTTGGTTGTTTATGCCAGGCTGACTTCAGTAAAATGGCAGCATGTGCAAGTGGGCGACATCATTCGAATGAAAAACAATGACTTCATTGCGGCTGACATCTTGCTCTTATCATCCAGCGAGCCTCACAGTCTGGTCTACGTTGAGACAGCAGAGTTGGATGGGTAATGATGATGATGATGATGATGATGATGAAGATGATGATGATGATGATGATGATGATGATGATGATGATGATGATGATGATGATGATGATGATGATGATGATGATGATGATGATGATGATGATGATGATGATGATGATGATGATAATGATGATGATGATGATGATGATGATGATGATGATGGTAATGGTAATGGTAATGGTAATGATAGTAATAATAACTAGAAATTAAATTCGTCATGAGGACGAATTAGGTGGTCTGTCTTCACTTCTTATGATAGATTTGAATATTTACTATACGGTATAGAGAAAGGGAGAAGTTATATAGACATTTAAACAATGATGATCATGATGAACATGATGATGATCATGATAGTAATGATGATGATGATGATGATAATGATAATGTCAGATGATGATAATAACGATGATGATGATGATGATAATAATATTAATATTGATGATGATGATAATGATGATGATGATGATGATGATGATGATGATGATGATGATGATAATGATAATGATAATAATAATAATAATAATTTGTGGGTTCTTGTATAGCGCTCATGTCTGTCAGACTCAACATTCCTGGCACTCCACAATTATTACCCCAGCTTTAGCGTGGCTGCCATTATCATTTCACAGATTTACTTCACCTTACCTGGTAAAATCGATATGACAACATTTGTACTAGTACCATTTCAACTTGCTATATTTTGGTCAGATTTACTATTGAGAGTTTATAAAAGGCCAGAGTGAAATTCTATACATGAATTAGGAATTTGACTTCTAGGTTTATTTAACAGTACAGACACAAGGCCAGCTTTGTCTATTTACCACCATGGCAACCTCATCAGTGTGCTAATGCAAATGCTTGGATTGTATGCTTCTTTTCCAGGGAAACAAATTTGAAAGTAAGGCAAGCACTTCCTGAAACTTCAAAATTAGGAGAGGATCTTGAGAGATTAAGCGATTTCAGTGGTATGTAAATTTATTAATTGATTAAATTTAACACTCATTGTTTCTCAATGTCGTGAAAATTTCATGTTTACAAGTACATGTACCTTTAAAGCCACATAGTAGACACTGTCGATGTGTATTGCATCATAATTCACTGATACCAGATTTTGTTGAATTACCAATTAATATGTGCACAGGCTTCTCAGGCAGCCAACCCATTATCCAACCAGAAAATTCTCCAGCTTGCTTTCATATCTTGGAGGGTGGGGGCAGTGTTTATTATTATTATGATTATAATTCCTAATGCCAGTACGGGTTCAGGGCACAGTGTACTACACAAGACCTGTCAGTTGTAAAAGTGAAGTCCGTCCTTGGTGATTGGCAGCACCTGTGTTTGGGTAAACACCAGATTGGTGTCAAATTCCCCATGAGAACCCACTAGGTCTTTAAGGGGCTACTCACACTGTATCTGTATTTGCAGAGAAGCCAGTTTTCAAGCTTTTTCCTCTTATTACGCCCTTATCCCTGTGTCACGCTTTTTTCAGCCTTTGAAATGTACAGAATTTATTTGGATCCAACATGTGTGGGTCTCAAAATGAACAGATATTCTGGATACCATGTACATGTCTTAATCATGCCAGTTTTAAATGTTTTCATACTTTTATCAGTTTAATGACCTCTCTATGTCTTTTTGGTTCTAGGTAAAATTAATTGCGAAGCACCAAACAATGTCCTGGATAAATTTGACGGAGCCATGTCGTGGGCCGGGGACAAGTTTTCCCTTAATAACGATCAGATCATGCTTCGAGGGTGCAGGTAAGGTTTCCTCCTCCTCCACCACCTCTCCCCCCCCCCCCTCCTTGTCCGTCCTCCTTGTCCGTCCTCCCCTCCTCCACCTCTCCTCCTCCTCCTTGTCCGTCCTCCTTGTCCGTCCTCTCCTCCTCCACCTCTCCCCCCTCCTCCTTGTCCGTCCTCCCTGTCCCTCCCCCCTCCTCCACCTCTCCCCCTCCTCCTTGTCCCTCCTCCTTGTCCCTCCTCCCCTCCTTCTCCTCCCCCTCTCCCTCACTCCTTTTTCTTCTGCATCTTCTTCTTCCTCTTCCTTGTCCTTTTATTTTTTTTTCTTCTTCTTCATTTTCTTCTTCTTCATCTTCTCCTTCTTCTTATTCCTCCTTCTCCTTCTCCTCTTCCTTCCTTTCCTTTCTCTTTCTTCCTCTTTATCTTCTTCTTTCTCTACTCTTTCTTCTTCTTTTTCTTCATATTCTTCTTTTCTTCTTTCTTTTCATTCTTCTTCTTTTACTACTACTATTAAATACTTAGTCAATCGACATGTAATTTTAGAAATTAAAAACGATCTTTAGACAACCAAAACATACAAAATCTCAAAACATACAAATCTCAAGACAAATGGTTAATTACTTGTTGATTTGTTTATGTATCTTAATGAAATATTTCAGAATGTTACCCTTTCTTCCCTCCTGCAATGCTATAGGTTACGTAACACAGGCTGGTGTTATGGGATCGTTATCTTCGCTGGTAAAGACACTAAGCTCATGCAGAACAGCGGAAAGGCAAAATTCAAGAGAACCACTCTAGATAGACTACTCAACAAGATGGTCATTTTTGTAAGTAGGACAAATGTTTTTCTTTTAAAGGCATCATTTAACAATGTTAAATCTGAGATGCATGGCCCTATGTGTTTTCAGTGTCTGTGATATTGTGTAATATCAAAGCCCTAAAAAAATTGCGCTTCAAAATATCCTGAAGTGCCTCAAAAAAGTAAATATCTTTGAGTGACCCGTTTTACCATACTCGTTTTCCCCAATTAGGAAAACGCAAAATTTGATTTTGATTTCCAATCAGAAATATCTTGATAATCAGACAGGCGATCGGCTTATCAAAGTCATTGGATTCCTGACTGACCTAATGGTTTATAATTATGATTGCAGCATGAGCTAAATCAAGGATTTTGTTTAGAATATGAGGCAAAGATACCCAATTCCTTTAATACGTTGTATGGTTCAATGTTTTTCAAAGTTTTCGTATTGGCAGTGCTAGTATTCATGTGTCTGAAATGAAAATACATTTAAAGCTGTTGTAGTAGTGGCCATCTTTAGTGCTGTATTCTAAGAGGAAATACATGCGTTATAGAACCAAGGGCAAATTTCCTACATGTGCAGTTGCCATTCCTTTGATGGCCTTTATAGACAGGTTCACTGATGAAGGAACCTCTGGACCCCATAAACAATATCCCCTAGAACAATTATATATTTCCCCAATGACCACCCATACAATTACTACATGAGCCAGTAATTTCATGGTTACATGTCTTTTTTCCAAAGGTTCATCATTCCAAAGATGAAAGAGGAGGGTACATAGTTTGGACAATCATCGATCTAAATTGTTTTATTTATTTATTTATTTATTTCTAATCGCTTGTCAGGGTAGCCCATTCACCAATAAGTAGTGGTCTTCCTGAATTATCATAAACATATTTACATCAAAAAGCATAACGTTTAGACAGAACAGTTAAAATACAATTCCATAGTACATTTAAAAAAATATGACACAGCAATAATAGACGTGGCACAAACGAATACTTGATTGCAAAATAACACAGAAATGACAGAGAACTCTGAATTTGCAACCTTCGGAATAATGAACCCTATTTCATTTTTCAGAATTAATTTTCTGCATTATAATCCCTATTTCAATTTCGAAGTTATGAACTTTATTTCATTTGAGATATTGTGAACCTTATTTTACTTTCAGAAGTAAAAATACTCTGAAATTATGAACCTTACAGTATCTCATATTTTCAGAATTATGAACCCTCAGAAAAATGACCCTTCAGAAAAACAAGTAACTCCTATAAATGACAGGGTTACTGACAATTTTAACAAGTTGTTATTTTTGCGTTAACGAACACGAGCTACTTTATGTTCACACATGCATCGCAGGTTTATTTTCATGCTTTAAATCAAATTTGCGACCTTCCTACATTATCTAACGAAACCTGTAGATCTTTGGCTTCCTGTTTACCATGTGCGTGATTTGCGCCATCTTGTGCTCGGTGTGGGAGCTTCGGACCGGCAACCAGTTCCAGGTGTACCTTCCGTGGGAGTACAGCAATGCTGCCACCATCTCCACCCTCACCTTCTTCTCCTACGTGATCCTCCTCAACACCGTCGTGCCCATTTCACTATACGTAACGTGAGTAGTAACCCGTTGCTCGCAGGAATCAGGGGGGTGTTTCACAAAGACTAAGATCGACTTTAAGTTGGACTTAACTATGGCAGGCTGTTCATGCCACTGTTTGCTATCACCATTTACTGGCATTGGTCTCTCAAGGGACGTACAAATCATGGTCACAAATCTACAGAATTTAAATTTCTTGATAATTCATTATTGAAGGAAAAAAATATTATCTAAAGATCATAATGGTGAGAGCAAAGAGTGGCATGAACAGCCTGTCATAGTTAAGTCCAACTTAAAGTCGATCTTAGTCTTTGTGAAACATTCCCCAGTTCTCTCATGTATTAAGCCTAATGGAATGAGAATATTCAGTAGTCAACAGGTCAAGCCTCGGTCGTGTCTGGAGTGGTAACATTCCTCAAATAAAACGCGCAAAATAATACGATGGAAGCGTAGTAGTGCACTTCACATTTCTGTAACTTAAAATGCACAGATAGTCAACACACCCATACGGACTCGTGTAGAATAGGCCCGCACAAAACGCACAGAAGTCGGACTTGGGTTCCTTACCATCCTTCTTAACTGTTAACACATAGAATGTCATTTTATAAATAATTTTTAGGTTCATTCTATGTTTTCGAGCTGTACACATATTAACTGATGTCGTATCATAATGTTCTGTCTACTCTCTCTGTGTCAGAGTGGAGATGATAAGACTTTGCCAGAGTCTTCTCATTAACTGGGATGTCAAGATGTACTACGAACCCGCAGAGACCGGAGCCAAGGCTAGGTCTACCACCCTCAACGAGGAACTGGGCCAGATACAGTACGTCTTCTCTGACAAGACGGGGACCCTTACACAGGTAAGGACCAAGAACTGCTTGCATTCATGTACATTGTAGGCGATCCAAGGTGTACGACTCTCTTGTTGCTTCCGGCGCAGTGGGGGTTACATACAATTCATTGTTTCTGTATGTGGGCATCGAATGATAAATATCAGGAGACAAGGAATTATGTTCAACCAGTGGTAAAGAGTTGTGAGAAGAGGATAAAATCATTCACGATTGTAGATCGCAATTCAATTTTGTCAAAGTAATCCCAAAAGTTGTAAAATCTACCCCCTTACAAAGTCTTAAACTTCTCTTCTCTTTCGAGTATGATAACAGGTTTATGATCTCATGGTATCTCACAGTGTTTTTTTTACCCAACATGGGCAAAAGAGAAGTGATGGAAATGATGAGGAGCACCTGCTCTTTGGAGGGAGGAGGGGGGATGCTTAGTTGAGTTATTAATGAATGAATGAATTTATGAAATTAGACAGTGGTAAAGGGGAATGTTTATATGCCTCTTAATGAGGTCAGGATTATTAAATGCCTTTGTATGTTTGTCCTTAAAGAAACATTGACAGATTCAAGAAAGATGTCAATGAGTATCAAATTTCTAAATCATAACCTTCTATAAAATTTGCACATTTAATTCACTTTTTCCTCTTTAATCACACTGAAATGTGATATAACTTTGGTATTTTTACTTTGGCCACTTTTAATCAGCTTTGATGGCAACAACAGGTCCTCCAACCAATTGCTTTATTTTATTTTGTTAATTGATGTTGAGATTTAAAGCCCCTCTGCACTAGTTTGGCCAGGAGGGATTAGACCTCACTGTATGATCACTGACTGGTGGTTATCTCATCAAATCAGCTCTCAATTAACATAAGAAAAAAGGGACCATGGGGGCCCAATGGTCACCGATTAGGCATTGTTTGCTATATAGAGGGCGCAAGTTGGGGCTTTAAATATTTGTTTCAGTTTTTTGTTTCTGTTTTTCACCCAGAACTTGATGACTTTCAACAAAGCTTCCATTGGAGGAAGGAAGTTTGGAGAGATAAAGGACATGAATGGGGACGTCATGGATATTACCGAGGTAAAAATATTATTATCCTTATTATTTCTTTTTTGCAACCAAAACTTAAGGTTGAGTTTCAAATACATATAAAAGATACAAAAATATACAAAGCAATGGTAGAAAGGATTTATACAATGTCAAAGAAAATGTGGAGTCTGATACATGAATATATGTATAACAATGTGCTACATACATGTATACCTCTGACAAAGATCTTACTGGCTTGTATTTGCATGCAGAAAATTAAACATTCTGGTGGTATTCTCGAAAGCAGACTAATTTTAGTCCATGGTTTAATCCACCGACTAGTATGGAATGCCAAGTGTCCATAAGAATATATTTAAATTATAGTTATATCATAGTTATATTGTTGTTTATTAATTATATTATTACCTTTTATTTCAATTTAGTGAAAGATTAAACTATTCAAAAACATATTCATATGGACACTAAGGTTGGTGGATTAAGCCATGGACTAAAGTAAGTCCGCTTTCTAGAATACCACCCTTTAATTTTTATTTTATTCTGTGTTTTTTTCCCCATCGCAGGACACGCCTCTTGTAGATTTCTCAGCCAATACCATGTGTGAGCCGGGATTCAAGTTCTATGATGCCAGCCTACTGGATTCCATTCAGAGGGGTGACAAACATTGCTGGTTGTTCTTCCGTCTCCTATCCCTCTGTCATACCGTCATGCCAGAAACTGACGATCATGGTAAGAAGGAAAAAAAAGGGATTTGGGTCTTTTGTAAAAAGAATCTTTCTCTTTTAGTATATTTTCTTTACCTTTTGCTTTTATCTTCCACTCTTTCCAATTTCTGTCACTATTCTGTCTTTATTTTCTTTTTTTTTTGTTTCCCATTATTTCTATTTTTCCTGCCTATTCTTCAGGCTTTCTGTGTATGTTTGTCTCTTTCTGTATATTTCCTCATATTTTATTCTGCACTATCACAGTTTTACTGTTTTATCAGTATGATGAAGATATTTTTAGACCTACATGTATGAGGAATGTTTGTTATAAATAGTTAATCATGTTTGTTAGGTAAATAGAAATGGCGATGCCTGTATGTTTACTTTTACTGTGGAGGGAGAGGTAGACAATCCTCCAACACGGAAGTATCTGATTTTCAACCATTTCCTGATTTATTTATTTTTCTTCAAAATCACAAAATGTGCCACAAGAATACATAATCGTGACATTGATTCAGTTCACTCTTTTGTGCTTTTCGGGTGTTATTGCTTTCTTCTTTTTTTCCTTCTTTTCTTCATCTTCTCTTTGTCAGATATTCAGCTAAAAAGGTACATATTTAATTTTTCATTCTACTCCAGGTAATCTGGCATACCAAGCACAGTCGCCAGACGAGGCAGCATTAGTTGGGGCAGCTAGAAACTTTGGATTTGTTTTCAAGGTTGGTGAAGCACGGTTTTCTTTACAACAAAAACTTTGTTCTCTGCATGTCCTAACATGTCCAATCGAAACCATCATGGTTGAGAGGGCAAACTAGCTTGAAATACAAGAAACTCACCAAAGATATGATATTTCAAAACACTCTATAAAAAAGTTTGTCATTCACTCAATTGTAAAACGTTAATGGGAAATGTAAGGATATACACAGAATCAAGTCTTTTCTTTGATAAATTGTCTTTTAATAATCAGAATACAAAAATTTCTAGGCATTTTTACGACTCTCCTCTTGTTGAGATCAACCAGAACCAAAACCAATTCTGTCTTGATTTGGCACCCTTTAACAAAAGAGGCTTTTGCCCACCTGAAGTAAGATATGGCCAGATTTTCATGTGTCATTTGATAGAAGAGGCCCAAAGCTTTCTGCAGGTATGAGAGATATTTTTATTTTGGGAGACTTTTCCAACAGTTAACAAGTCTTTGGGGGGATGCATTGAACATGTACTATTTATAACAATTTACAATGATGCACAATAATTTCTCAAAATAAATAGCACGTACTCAAGGATTTCTTTAAAGGGATTGGGTATCTTTGTCTCAGATTCTGAAACACAATCCTGGATTTAGCTCGTGCTGCAATCATAATTATAAACCTTTAGTGAGGAACCCCATGACTTTTACAAGCCGATCGCCTGTCTGATTATCAAGATATTTATGATTGAAAATCAAATTTTGCGTTTGTCAAACGATTTTCATAACACTACAGTGTATTGGGGCAAATGAGTATGGTAAAACCGGTCACTCAAAGGTATTTACTTTTTTGAGGCACTTCTTGATCATTTTGAAGCGCAATTTTTTTAGGGCTTCAATATTCACACACACTGATAACACGTAGGGCCGTGCATCTCAGGTTTAGCTTTGTTAAACAATGCTTTTAAACTTCTGTTTGCCGTTCTTCTTCTCCAGTCTCGAACGCCGACCACCATCACCCTTATGGTGCAGGGCCAGGAGGACGTGTATGAGCTCCTCCACATCCTGGACTTCAACAACGTGAGGAAGCGCATGTCCGTCATCGTCAAGCAGGGCCAGAAGATCAAGCTCTTCTGCAAGGGAGCCGACACCGTCATCTACGAGCGCCTGGGGTCGTCCAGCGACGCCTTGAGAGAAATCACCAATGAACATCTGAATGTAAGTCTCCATGTTTCACACAGAGAGATTTGAATTTATTTAGAGTTTTTAAAAATCACATGGATTTTATTTTGGCAATTAATCTGAGACACTCAAAACCACTAAGCCCAATTTTTCAAATAATGCCAAGACTAGACATTTTGAAAATTGCAGTGTGGAAAAGAAAAAAATTGACCTACACACCCACGTCCCATCAAATATTTCGCCAAAAGTTTAAAACTACATGTACTTCTTATTTCATTTTATTTGGAATTTGATAGCATTTTAAGAGAAATACCTAGTACATTGGTAATATGAAAAGCTGTTATCATACTGAAAAGAAAGAAAAGAGAAACATCACAAATATTTTTTCGCTATTAGTGTACCTTTAAACCTCTTAATTTCTTCCCTCCATGACCCTTTAGGACTTTGCTAACGATGGCCTTCGTACGCTGTGCCTTGCTATGAAGGAGGTGGATGAGCACACCTATTACGAATGGAGAAAGAAGCATCAACAAGCATCGTAAGTCTATCAGATTTCTTGCCTTTCAAAGGCATTGTTTAACAATGTTTCCAGTTTTACAAATCTGAGATGCATGGCCCTACATGTTATCAGTGTCTGTGATATATTGTAATATTGAAGCCCTAAAAAAAATTGTGCTTCAAAACGATTACCGGTATGAAGTGACTCAAAAAAGTAATAATATTTGAGTGACCAGTTTTACAATAGGCCTACTCATTTTCCCCAATAGACTAGTGTTATAAAAAACTGTTGGAAAAAGGTTTTTTGAAATTTCGAATTCCAATCATAATTATCTTGATAATCAGACAGATTTCTGACTGACCAAAAGGTTTATAATTATGATTGCAGCATGAGCTAAATCAAGGATTTTGTTTAAGGATCTGAGACAAAGTTACCTGAACCCTTTAAAAATGGACTTTCTTTCTTACAGCTTGGCAACGGTGGATCGTGATGACAAGCTGGAAGAGGTCTACAACGAGATCGAACAAGACTTGGTCCTCCTAGGAGCTACTGCCATCGAGGACAAACTTCAAGACGGTGTTCCAGAAACCATCCAAAACTTGCACAAGGTAATTGAAACAAGCATGTAAATAAATATTCATTCATGTAGCTCAAAGTAAACATGATAATTAATATTCATTCCAAATTATATATTTTATTACATACCGCATATGAAGATTCTATGTGTCAGATTTTTCAAAACTACTCTCACAAAAGTTACTACAGATAGCATTTCTACATCGGCTACTCACGAAACCTCAAACTACACAGTTGCCCATAGAGTTGGAATTATTTTTTCTTACCTATTTTCATGAAAATAATTGTACCAATATGGGTTCTTATGGATAGATAAAGTTTATATCTTCTCAGAACTTTGTTGATCAATCTCTATGACTGTTTGGATTGATTGATAAAAAGTTTTGAGAAAATATAGACTTTATTTATCAAGAATAACTTATACTGTCACAGTCACTTCGTGATAATTAAACAGACATTGTCAATTGATATTCCCACTCAAATAATGTATATAAATAGATATTCATATACGACTCACTTCCTATACCGATCTAGGCTAGACCGATCCACTGGAATCGCTCCAGAGGTACGCTTTGTTTATGTTCACACTCACGAGCTAGACCGCTCTTGTTGCTGGGGTAGCAAAGGTCAGCGAGGTGGTCTTCTGGATCGGTCCAGAAGATGGCTTTCTGGATCGGTCCAGAAGATGGCTTCCTGGATCGCTTGTCTGTTCACACTCACACTTAGACCGATCTAGCCTGGATCGGTCTGGGAAGTGAGTGAGAACGGGGTCTAATACAATAGCATATTATTGTTCTTTCTAGGCCAACATCAAACTCTGGGTCTTGACCGGCGACAAGCAAGAAACGGCCATCAACATCGGATACTCCTGCAATCTTCTGACCGAAGACCTCAACGAGATCTTCATCATCTCAGCCAAGGAGAAGGCCGAGGCTCGCGAGGAACTGGAGGGGGCGCTGTGCAAGATCAAGGACGTGATGGGTATCAAGGATAAAGATCAGATGGACGACGACGTCTCGTACCAGAGCAAGGACATCGATGAGCTCGGAGATATCTACAGCTTTGCCATCGTTGTAACAGGGGCTGCATTGGTAAGAATGTCATTGCACTTCATACTACTTTTGGTTGTGCAGTTGTGGAAAATTCATGTATAAGTTGTACATACTATTGGTTCATTGGCTTTCCTAATATGAGCATGGATCTGTGCAATATAACACAAATTTGATAACAGTGAAATGTTTTGGTCTAGTGGATAAGTAACTTTACTGTCAATGAAATCCTTAGCCATTTGAGTCAGAGCTACAAGCAAGGCATTAATCTACTTTTACAGTTCTCTCCTCGATTGCAATAAAACTTCTGGTACGCTGTAGGACAAGATTGTGTGAATGTCTTTAAGTTCCATGTGACAGCTTATTTAAAGCCAGGGTAATGATAGAACTGGTGCCTCTAAAATCCTTTCTTTTGGATTTGTGTGCATTGTGTGCAGCCTGAAACGTCTGTAGATTCAACTGATACAAGTCTAACTTGTCATCACTGTCTCACATCAAGGCCTAATGTGGGACTGAACATTACAGTGCATGCAGTGGAGTATAGAATATTCACAAACGTAATAACAAAAAATCATTGTTTCTTACACAGGCCCATCTTCTAGACCCGGAGGTAGAACTGGACTTCCTAGAAGCGGCCTGCTACTGTAAGACGGTCATCTGTTGCCGAGTGACCCCTCTCCAGAAGGCTCAAGTAGTGGACCTGGTCAAGACTCACAGGAATGCCGTCACTCTGGCCATCGGTGATGGAGCTAATGACGTCAGCATGATCAAGAGTGAGTTACATTTTCGTAATGTTTTGTTTTAAAGGCATCGTTTAACAATGTTAAATCTGACATGCATGGCCCTACTTGTTATCAGTGTCTGTGATATGGTGTAATATTGAAGCCCTAAAAAAATTGCACTTCAAAATGATCATGAAGTGCCTCAAAAAATTTTAAAAATCTTTGAGTGACCGGTTTTACCATACTCATAGACTGTAGTGTTATAAAAACCATTAGGAAAACGAAAAATGAAATTTTGATTTTCAATCATAAATATATTGATAATCAGACAGGCTTGTAAATGTCATGGGGTTCCTGACTGACCTAAAGGTTTATAATTATGATTTCAGCATGAGCTAAATCCAGGATTTTGTTTCAGAACCTGAGGCAATGTTACTGAGTCACTTTAATTATTATTATTCATGTCTTTTACTAGGTTACTGGGTGTAAAAATAGATTGCTCTTCAATGTACAATACTAGAAAAGTGCTTGTTCAAGTTGAGTTCAGATTTACACCATGCAAAGCAATATATTATACATTTTGGAAACTATAAATTATCTGACAGATGAACTTGACTTTTATGTCATACACAATATTAGACTCTTTTAGAATGAGCAGTCACAAATTGTTTTATTTTGATGTTTTTGTTTTTGTTGCTGGTGATTATTTTGTTTGTTCTTTGAGAAAGTAGGAATTACAAAAGTTTGTTCATATGACAATTGACCTATTATTCTGATTGCAAATAATTTTATCGTGTATATTTACATTCTATAAATCGGAACTGCATAAAATGTCTTTAGTCATTGAAGCTCTAGAGCATTCAGGGGGGCATTTCACAAAACTTGTCATCAGTGACAAATGACAGTTTTTGTTATAAGCTACTTAAATCCTTGCTTCTGATTGGTTATCAGCAGATATGTCACCGATTTTTGACATTTGTCATTGTAAAAAGGCTTTGTGAAACGTCCTCCACCTTTGTCTAAATGCTAATCCTTGTCTGGTACACATACGTTTTCTGGGTTATGTATATCCATACAATGATTTTGACTCAACATTCATATCTGGACTTCTCCTTTATTCCCCTCAGCTGCCCACATCGGTGTCGGTATCAGCGGTCAAGAGGGCATGCAGGCCGTGCTATCCAGCGATTTCTCCTTTGCTCAGTTCCGCTACCTTGAACGTCTGCTCCTGGTCCATGGCAGGTGGTCCTACTACCGAATGTGCAAGTTCCTGTCCTACTTCTTCTACAAAAACTTTGCCTTCACCGTCTGCCATTTCTGGTTTGCTTTCTTCTGTGGTTATTCGGCCATGGTGAGTTTGTTTCTTTAATCAATTGCCAATTTGATGTGTTGATGATTGTATAGTGATTTGTAAATCAGAGCCCTGTATTGTGAAGAGTTGCAATTGATTAAAATTGATCGCTTCTTGCTATCAATCACAACTCAATGTGTACTTCCGAGCTAGGAGTTTTGTCAGGTTGCGATTGATTAGAGGATTTGCGATCAAACTAGATCAATTGCATTTTATTAATAAGACAGGGCCCCGATTTGTAATCTTTATCACTTGTCAAATATTAACTTTCTTTAAAGATCAAATCATGTAATGATGATTACTGTTTCTTATAAAGCACTTTACCATATATAACATAACCACCCAAAGCGCTTTATTATATAGTATTATTACCCCGGTCACTGGACTCTATGATGATTCTGTACATTACAAGGCACATTTTTCACGTGCTTAGAGAGCATTCCAGCCAGTAATACAATTGGAAACTGTCTAAAAGTTATTTTAAATGGTTCTCATGTTGTGAATTGAAGTAATTATAAATTTTGCAGTTTTATAATCGTCAAACTTATGACTTACATGTAGCTCCTATAAGGGAAAATATACAATAGAATTCTTATCCTTCCCCAGAAACAACCTTGAAAGTAAATAAAGACTTGCTTTTAAAGGTTATTTGAAGTAATTCATAAGTCAGTAAGAATAAAATAGTTTTTTTCTCTCATCTGAACAATGTTATAGAGGCCCTTTATTTAAGCAAGATGGGGTACCAAATATTTCTCAAATTTAGAATTTAAATGCAAAGAAAATTTGTCCTGTTAAGTAATATATTCTAAAGTTTTTCGTGGAAATATGAACCCCCACCAGGGCCATTGCCGCTGGACCCCCATTTATTCTTAGTCTTATCCCTGATATAAAGAAACCCATTCAACTGATATTTCTAAATTATAGTAATAATTATGCTTTTTTTTTCTTCTAAATTCTTTCAGACCGGTTATGATCAGTGGTTTATTACAGCTTACAACACAATCTTCACATCCACCCCTGTGATATCACTTGGAATATTCGACCAGGTCAGTAATAAGCAATGTGTTTGATGGTACTGTATACAGTGTGAGTCAAAAAAAAGTTTACACTTAGAAAACTGCTTATTATTTTTAAAATCATCTATTAACAGTACATTATTATACATCTTATGAAAGAGTGTTTTATCCCAAATCATTTGGTACCATTTTTGTGTTGTATGTGTTCGCGCTTGGATGAACAGGAGGCATTGTTTGCGAGAGTGCAAAAATTGATTTGCGCCAAAGTTGCTTATGTGATGTTTGAATAAAACAATTGGGATTTGGGTATTAATTTGGTTTTTGCAAATCCAAATAACATCCCTAACAAAATTAATCATGCCACACATATCAAAAATAGAATATCAAATATCAACGAACATTTTGTGCGCGTGTGTTGGTGTTTGTGACTTTGCCCTTTGCCAAAAGCATATGCAATGCATTTAATTTGATACATTCAATTCATTCTGTCACTCTGCTAATCCCAACATAATACATACTGTAGGCATCACTTTGGCGCAAGTTGATTTTTGCACTCTCGCAAACAATGCCTCCTGTTCATCAAAGCGTGATCACATACCACACAAAAATGGTACCAACTGATTTGGGATAAAACACTCTTTCATCAGAAGTATAATAATGTACTGTTCATAGATGATTTTAAAAATTGTAAGCAATTTTCTAGGTGTAAACTTTTTTTTGACTCACACTGTACAGTGCGTCAGAATTCTTCACTTTTGTCCGTCTATCAGTCTTTCTGCCTTTCTGTCATCTTTCATCATCATATATCCCTTACGATTTTATGCACCATTTGACGCCAAATTTACCAAAATGAATAAATATGTGGCGTAAAATAAAGAACCACATCCAAAACTGACATTTTCCCCTTACAGTCTATATTCTATACTGTACGATGCAGAGTTGTCAAAAGCAGGCCTGATAAAAACCCGATTTAAATCGGTTTCCCGATTTTTTTTTTCTTCTTCCCGATTTAAATTTTTTTTTTTTTTTTTTTTTTTTACCAGATTTTTTTTCTTCTTCCCTCTTTTAACTGATTTTACCGATTTCCCTGTTATTTTCTCTCATCTCTGCCCTATTTTTTCCCCAATTTTCTTACCCGAAAGGGGGGGATGTTGTTAGATGCCATTTTTTCCCAGCGAATCCTCTTTTCTTTTTTTTACTCAAGGGGAGCTTGGTTGAGGGGAAAACAAAAAAAATTATATTTTTTTTAGTGCTCACTATCACCCCTGCAAAAGTTAACGTGAACAATCAGGGATGGTTACAAAGCCGTTAGAGATATTGATATTAAACTACATGTACATGTAATCAATATATAAAGCTCTGTTTACATTCCAAGATATTTTAAAAGATTTTGTGTACTCCCAGGAGTACCCCCCCCCCCTGCCCTACCCCTCTTTGCTTTTGAGTCTGTGAACATATACCCCTTGCCAACCCTTCAGAATAGTCCGGAATATTCTGATTTTCTGGATTTTAGGACCTGAAAATTCAGAATATTTCAGATTTTTCACCAAAAAATCTGAAAAACTCAACAAAAAAATTAAATTGTTTTTTTAAATATTTTTTTTGGGTGCTTAAGCCCAAATAAGCTTGTTTTATCATGTGCCGCGATTTGAGAGTTCACGCATTGCATGCGTTGAATGGTTGCATGATCGAGTAGCAAATTTGTATTCGCTTTCTTGTACAGATTTACCGCGTATTGCCATTTACATACCCGCTGAAAGTGCGATTTCTTATTTTTTAAGTGTTATTTTCAAATGTTGGCAGGTATGCCTGTAGGTTGTTACATATTCTGCAAAATGAAAAAAATTATTTTACATAAATCCAGAAATACTCTGAATTGAATTTGCTGTTCTATTTGTACAGGATGTGAGTGATGAGATGAGTATCCGATTTCCAGCGCTCTATAAACCGGGTCAGAAGAGTAAATTCTTCAACTGGACTGTATTTCTCAAAAGTCTCATCCAAGGAGTTCTTACTTCTCTCACACTGTTCTTCATTCCTTATGGTAAGAAACAAGAATTGGGATGGTACTGGTGATGTTGATTATGAAGACGAGGAGAATGTGTTGTTGATGATGATGATGATGATGATGATGATGATGATGATGATGATGATGATGATGAAGATGATGATGATAGTGGTGGTGATGGTGATGGTGATGAGGAGGAGGAGGAGAAGGAGGAGGGTGGTAATGGAGAAGAGGAGGATGATGATGATGATGATGATGATGATGATGATGATGATGATGATGATGATAGTGGTGGTGATGGTGATGAGGAGGAGGAGGAGAAGGAGGAGGGTGGTAATGGAGAAGAGGAGGATGATGATGATGATGATGATGATGATGATGATGATGATGATGATGATGATGATGATGATGATGATGATGATGGTAATGGTGGTAGTGATGGTGATGATATTTGTTATGATGATGATGATGTGTAGGATGATGATGATGATGATAGTGGTGGTGATTGTAATGATAATGGTGGTGGTGATGGTAGTAGTGATGATGATGATGATGATGATAGTGGTGATTATGGTGATGATGATGATGATGATGAATATGATGAACGTGGTGATTATGGTGATGATAATGATGATGATGTAGATGATAATGAAGATGATGATGATGTGTAGGATGATGATTATGATGATGATAATGAAAGTGGTGGTGATTGTAATGATAATGAAGATGATGACAATGATGATGATGATGATAGTGGAGATTATGGTGATGATAATGATGATGATGATAATGAAGATGATGATGATGATGATGATGATGATAGTGGTGATTATGGTGATGATAATGATGATGATGAAGATGATGATGATGATGATGGTGGTGGTGATGGTAATGGTGGTGGTGATGGTGATGATATTTTTGATGGTAGTAGTGATGATGATGATGATGATGATAGTGGTGATTATGGTGATGATGATGATGAAGATGATGATAATGATGGTGATGATCATGGTGGTGATGGTAATGATATTTGTGATGATGATAATGTGTAGGGTGATGATGATGGTTATTATGGTGATGGTGATGATGTAACAATACTATTAAAATAGGTCGAGGGGAACACATTTTTTCCTCTTTTTAAATTATTTTTAAATTCCATACATGTGTGTTTAGAAAAAAGAAAAGATGATGACATTAGTTATAGTTTTCATGACTTTAAAAAAAAGTTACAATTACATTCTTTTTCAAAATGTAATAAAACAATTAGCATATTCTCTAAAATTCGTGTAATTCAGTTATATATACATGTATATAATATGATCCACAATTTCTTACAAGTCATCATGTTGTTGTTTTACTTGTAGGTGCCTTGTCTGAGAATCTGTCCCCTTACGGCCAGCCTATACACACGCAGTTCCTCTTCGGCTGCATTGTGGCTTCTGTACTGGTTCATGTTGTCAACTTAAAGGCAAGTTTGTGCTCTCGTTTGCAATCATTTCTTCTTTATTTGGAGCAAGATGAATACATGTGCCTGTACTTCAAGTTTGCCGCATGTGCCTGGGGGAAGAAATGACTGTGTCAAATATTCCAGTGTAGATGTTGTTAAGATGCATCTACTGTGCAATGTCTTTCTGTCTATTTTTCTATCTCTATCTCTTCTCATTACTCTTTATCTCTTGTCTTCTCTTTCTTTCCTCCCATCTTCTCGCTCATGCTTATTTTCTTTCCCTTTCGCCAACTGCATTTAAATGTACATCTATATTTCTTATTGCCCACTACTTTCTCTGAAGAAAAAAAAGTGTTCTTGAAAAGCCCATTTGGAATAAAATTAAAGTAATACAATCCTTTAAACTAATAATTTCCTTTCTTTTGCATTTATTCATCTCTTTATCATTCCTATTGCAGTTTGATTTTTCTCTTAAAACCTTAGTCTAAATACATATATAAACTCTTCATTACAGATTGCCCTAGATACCTCCTATTGGACTGTCTTCAGTCACATCTGTATCTGGGGAAGTATCGCACTCTATTGGCTCTACGCTCTCTTCCTGTATTCTGAACCCATATATGAACTACTGAGGGCGACGTTCACCTTTGTGGGCGTCACCTTCTTCATGTGCCGTCAGCCGACGTTCTGGTTCACCATGGCTCTTGTGCCCGTCATCCTCCTCTTCCCCACCCTCGGGAAACGGTCACTGAGCATGGACATCGTCCCGACGTTGACCGACCGCGTGCGTCTGCTGCAGAGGAAGGAGACGCAAGAGGCTAAGAAGGCAAAGGGCAAGGGCAACGTGGAGCTGAAGAACATCCGGAAGTATCCCACCGGCTCCAGGGTCGGCAGTGGGCGTCCCGGGTCGCGCCTGGGGAGCGGGAAGTCGCGCCCCGGCTCGGTGCGCTCCGGTTACGCGTTCGCCCACCAGGAAGGCTTCGGGGAGATGATCACGTCGGGTCGTAGCATGCGCATCAAGGATCCGCCGGAGAAGAATGGCAAGGCAGGTGGTATCAAGAAGTCAAAGAGCAAAGAGGATATTGTGGAGGAGAAGAAGGAGAATGGTGGTGGTGAGAATGGTTTTGTTACCACGGTAACAACAGATGAAGCGATTAATGAGATTTTAGCATAGAACCCAGAATGTATATCATACATGTTGTCTGGAGCCATAAGGGCATTAACCCTTATACTTGAATACAGAGCAACATGTAACGTCCTTCTGGCTCTGTATAGACAATGTAATTGTGGAGTCATGGTGTATATTGAATTACTAATTCAGCCTTATACAGTAAGTACACTTATGGCAAATGGCAAACTTTGGGAAAATTGTGTACTGTAAACAATTATATATACATGTATATACATGTATATTTATTAGTGATAGCCTGAAACAAACAAAAATGTTATCACATACATTTACATAGAATTAATATCCATCTGGCTCTGAGCAGAGGTATTATTTCTTTTTTCTTCAGTGAAGAATTTACCTCTGTTTAAAAATTGACTTGACTGTACATTCACAATACAAAAATGGAATTCAGGAATAGCAGTGCATTATGTAAACCAAATGAGAATCATGTGCCAACTTTGTATCACATGAACATCATGCTTGAGCTGAAACACTATAAAATGCACTTACCGGTAATACCAAAAACAAATTTAGAATTTCTTTTGAATCTACAATACAGAACTCTAAATCATATATTGCATCATTAAAATTAGTTCATACAGTAACTGATTAATAGTTATTTTTACACAATCAGTTCTGCAAGCTTCATTTCACAACTACATTGAAATGTACATCACACACTGCAGGAATACGACAGAGAGTGTACAACACGTATGTAATGAAAGAATCGTCATTCCAACTACCGGGTAAACAATTCTCACTTTGAAGCACTTTGATGAGTAATTGGGAAAGTGCTTTTCAGTTATATTTGAATATATTAATATACAAATTGTTATTTCACTATTTTTCAAACTCTTGTTATTACGTTTATTAATTTTGTTTCTATTATTGTCAGCACAGGATTATTTCTTTTAATACAATGAAACCAAAGATTTATTCCCGTGAAAGACATAGTACTTCACATAAAACTATAATACCAAACATTGACTACCGGTAACCCCTACTGGTCTTTAAAAACCTTAGGGCTTTTAAAGTTTTTAGTATAGAGCTTTGAAACTAGAAATGAAGGAGAAACCAAATACTGCATTGGGTATACAGTTTAAGCTTCCACAAATCTTTGATACCAAACATTGATTGCTTATAAATTTTTTGGCAAATCTGTTGCTTCTCATAATCGTGGGTAAATCTTAAAACTAAAGTTTATATGAGAGAACATTTACCAGGATACACTAACATTGCAGTATTGAAGATATATTTTTAATGACAATATTTTATGAATTGATATGTCTTTGTAACATGTAACCAAATATCAAGGTTTTTCTGGAATATGCTAATATTACAATATTGAAATTATTTAATAGCAGTACATGTATTTACACAAATTTGAAATTCATTTTTTTCTTCTAAAAAAACAATTGCTGATGTATGCCAGGAATCGATGAAAACTAAGCTTTAATCTAATCTGCATGCCGTGGTAATGCATTCAGAAAGTTGGCTAAAAATATATAAACATTTTGGCGAGACATTCATGTTGGTGTGCAGTCATGACATACTGAGTCTGCATCATATTTCATAACTGTGTTATCCAAAATTGGCCTTTGTCATTCAAAATATTAAGATTTATACAGTACTGACAAGTTACTTACAAATATGCTCAGCTTTTAGATTTATCAGCACTATAAATTATAAATGGCAGATGTGAAGAAAATAAAATTGTATTGCACACCCACATACAATTAGTTATGTAAGAAAATACAAGTATGAATTGAATTTCTCTGCCTTTGGCCCATGTAAGCCACTCGGCCCTTTTCTACCCTATGAAAGATGTCAAGCGTTAAGATTGCATGTAAACTTCTAGGATGATTTGATACAATTTTTTTCCTCAGGACTGTGTAGTTAAAACGAACAGACCAGTCACATGTACAGTGCATGTATTCTCTTAAGCATCTTTCAGAGCAGATCTTTCTTGATATTCAGATTTGATACTTAAAAGATTTCCACAAAGTGTCAATAAAATATGTTTGCTTGTTTCAAACAACTTTCAGGTGAGGGTTAGTTGTACGATTTGGGATAATATCTATATTTCAACTGCTAATCTTGATTCAAAAAGTTACCGAACAAAATATTGTTTGTGTTACTGTATGTGTGGGAAAATTTTGATTGGGCGCACATAGAAAGCTCAGCTGCAATATTGAACAGAATATGTTAGTTCATCAGGGATCTAATATCGGTTTTGTGCGCATACATGTATTTTGCGGTGTGTATAGATCTGTGAATTATGTCTTTCATTAATTCAATACTCAGATTATCAATTACTTTGCTGGATATAAATTCTATATAACATTGGATTTATAAATCATGGCATTATCATAGGAGAGGCTGAGTATTCCATGGTTCCGTACTTATTTTTCATTTCCTGAAAATGAAACTCAATAACCAGTTGAATAATTGAACAATTGTTTTTAAAACCGTGAACATTTGGTTAAGTAGTATCATCTTTGTATCCTGAAATAGGACTACATGTACGTCTTTGAGTTACATGTACATTGTACAACAAATACATGTACGACTCTTAAGGGTGGGCAAATCCACCTCTTCGTATGTTGACAAATTGGTAAATATAGCAGCTTTAGATGTGCCCTTGGCATCTTATACTTATATTCCTAAAGGTTTTTTGAAAATTTAGGCCCGTCATTTAAACCCTGTATTCATGTACATGTATGACAAATTTGCATTTTGTGAGGGGCGATACAATACATGTATATGTGTACTGCGCAATAAGCTGCAAAGTAATCAAATGTTTAAATTGTACAAAATATCAACACTCTCAGAGTAGGCTGTAAATTTGTGAAAGCTCAGGATAGAATGTTGATAGCAAAAACATGTTGAAACAAAAGTCTACAGAGTAAGTTCCCAATGAAAATGAGCTGATTTCTTCTAAATAGTTAATGAAAACGATGTTAAGAAATGTTCTTTCTTAATCATAAGTTGAATTTAAGAACTGACAAATTTCTTACTTGATCTTCTCGTGAATAATGAAACATGGTTGTATTCTTATGCTAGATCTTTTTCTCTTTTTAAAATTTACATTATGTCCATGAGGCCTGCATTGAGATAAGTAGTTATTGTTGCTCCATAAATACACAGGTGGACTTATTCTTGAAAAGATATCTGCTTCTCATTTCCACTCATTCCATATCCCTTCAATAGGTGATATACTAATTATCATATTTGCTTTATAGCGCCTAACACTTACTTTATCAGAAGCCTCTATTAAAGCGCTCTACAATAATGCAGCATAATTACCCTGGCTTTAGCAGTGCAGCTGTCACGACACGACCATGACACCTCATTGAATTATTGTGACAAGGGAGTTAAATTGTTACAAAATCAAACAAAAGTTACTCTACTTATTAATGACTTCAAATAAGTTATATGTTATGCCAAACAACTGTGGCAGAACGTGTACAATAGCAGAGTCACTGGCAAAGGAAGATTAGAAAATCCAACTGTATACTTAAGTACACATAGTTATCCATATCTACATGTATGTGGTTAAAACATGCTCTCGAGTCATTTTTTGCTTTAATATGACATTCAGGAATTATTCTTGGTATGTATGATAAACAATTCAGAATTTGTTTCAACCAGTTTCTCCTGCAAGGTAATGCCATTCAGCAGACCTCAATATAAGCTTTAATGATATACATGTACACAAATAACCTCATGATCCGTAAATGTACACTGTACTTGTACGACTCGGTTTTGATGTCTTATTTTATACGAAGCACTCGCAACATACATATTTTAGCATAATTATTTCAACATACAGGCTTTTAACATAGATACTTTTCCTCCTCCCTTATTATGCCTTGGCCACCAAAGTTGCTGCCAGAGGCATTATTTCCTAGTACTTGCTCGTAAATGTATTTTTGTAATGAAATGTCAATCCTTTTTGCACATTCTATTTTTCACTTTTGTACATGCAGGATTGATTCTTAAGTCAAATGTTAGATGCATCCATATACAATGCTCCCGATTTCTTTTATAATTAGCTTTCATGTATATAAAAAGGGAGCTAATGCTATACACTGAGAGGAAAAGTATGTTTTATTTGTTGAACATGTAAGTGAACTTTTATTTTGTTTCGTATGCAGTCTATCTAGGCCTCTATATCTCATCCAATTTTATTTTTCCTCATGATTTTTATAAAGGAGTTCTGTTCTTTTATATATTTGTATGATTTTCCTTGTGCCTTTCGTAGGCTCCATTCCTGCACAAGTTGATCAAAGATTTTTTCACAGAAAATGTTCAACCTTGTTCGATTTCTCGCTGAATACGATGATAGAAAATGATGCCTTGATCAAATAATTCTTTATACAATTAGATCGTCAGCAGATTTTTAGGCTGAATTTTATATATATTCAAATCATAGTTGTGTAGATGTGTATGTGATATAACTATATGTTAATGTGGTATTTAGGTGCACTTTGGTGAGAAGTAGTACCTTTGTGTTAAATAAATTATGAAATAGAGGCTTTATGACTGACACTTATATTGGTAAGCTAAAATAGAGGCTGTTAAGAAGTGATTTCTGCTGAATATGTTTTTTTTTCACAGAGGAAGATGTGTTATTTTGTACCATATTGCTCTTAAATGAGTCATTTTTGTGTCACAGTGCAGGCAAACTTTAAATCATTAAGACGTGTATTTCAAACCGGTATTGTTTACTGAAAACACTTTTTACACATTCAATAGTTGTAGGAAATCTGCCATTATCGTACAAAATCTTAAAACATTAATTGATATTCACTGTAGATACCGTTCAAGCATGACAGCGTATTAAATGTTGTATGTTTCTCTTTGTGCAGCCTTTGTAGAATTATAGCATTCATTCACTGCAGATCAGCATTAAGTGTACACTGTATGTGCGTGAAAGGCTAGCATCAATTGTCTTTCACTGGTACATTTAAAATGCTGACAAAGTCACGACTGTGACTTGTAGAAAAAAATTGTATATTTATTATTAAAAAAACATGCATTGTCCTAGTACTAATTTGGTGTATAACATGAACATTCTCATATTTTTACTAGTTTGTACATATTCACTACATGTTTATATGTCGGGAATGATTTAGAAGTGTATGTTTAATGTACTGTAAGTATGTTCTAGTGATTGTTGAAATACTTCACAAGGTAGAATGTAAATTTTATGGAGGTGAAATCACATTCATGTACATGTGTAGATCACTAATACCCATGTCCAAATTGGCAATGTTAAATCTTGTAAAAAGCTGATATGTGGTTACTTTTCTTTGGGCATGTTACACAATTACATTTCATATTTTGTTTTCTATTATTTACATTGTGGAAGATGTTTTACAAATCAAATAGACCGGTTTACTTATTTTATACATACATTTTAAACAAAGGTTTTTCTTGACAATTTGAAAGCTTGACAGAGGCCTGCCCAAGGCTTGGCCGACACAGCTACAAGCAATGTATCCAGACTGGACTCCAAGTATTTTAGTTCATACGATAATGAAAAGTTAAATTAATGGAATATCCATAAACTTGAATATAGTATACCGGTCTATTGCCATCTAATCGTTATTGTAACATGAAATTGAACAAAGATAATCTAATGTTGGAAATGCATGTTCTTGTCTCTGTTAACTTTCCACATTCATACAGTGTATATCCTTTCTTGTTATATCTCATATCAAGTCCACGTGTTGGTATAAGATGATGCAAAAAAATGATGAAAAAGAGAAGTTTAATGCTTTAACTAAAAAAAAAAGTTTTTATTTGGTCACGACGTACAATGTACCTGATGTCTTTATAAAGTAATTATCACTTGATAAAGTTGTACGATATGTCGTGACCTAAATGGATGTAAATTATGAAACATCTCTTCTTCATAATTTTTTTTCTTTCTCGTAATGATATACATCATACACTGGCATGTGGATATAATTTTCCATAGTATACATGTATCCTTTCATATTGGAGCAACGTGATGTAATGTAATGTTTGTAACTTCCATGTTCATTGATGTCTCCTTTTTTTAAAGGATATTTACAGTATATACCCTTTCATAATATAGAGGCCATTTTGTGACCAGTACATGGTTGCATACATGTAGTATTCGGTATGTTCTGTCTTTCCTCGCTAACCCGACCACACTGTCTAGAAGTATACCTTTTTTGTTTCATTCTGTGTCAAATCTCAGCTCCAGATATGCACGGTACGAACACAAGTAAAGGCTCGTTCAGATATGGCCGTACAAACCGCCACAAATCGTCATCATAAACAAATCGCCGCGGTTTTGTGGCGTCATATCTGAATGGGCCTTTAGAAACTGTATTTCATGTTATTACTCTATTACAGTAATAACACGACTCTTTACAAAACTTTTAAACAATTCCAGTTCCAACATTAAAATGTTCTGTTCACTGTATGGAAATCCTTTTGCCAAAGATCTAAGACATTGGTCTTTTTAAAAACAATGCTTAACTGCCCTCTGATACCAAGATATGCCTCCCTGGATGCAAATGTGTCGGCCTACATATCCTTATGGGATTCATCTTAACTAAATAATAGTCTGTACAAGATTATGTAATGTACATTTCGTTGTTGATGTTGTACAATACCTATTGTTTTGGATGTAGTACATATTTTATTACATGTTGTCAGTTTTTTAACTGTCTTTATTTTGTTATTGTATGGGCTCAATAGAGTTTAGTATGATATGAATTCTGTTGAAAACAAAATATTTTCACATTAGTTCATCTACATTATGTACGTACTATGAGTATCATGTACTGTTTATTAATTGCATAATTCAGGTTTTTGTGAGTTATATCATATTTTATAGATGGAATATTTAGATGATTTTAATAAAAAATTGGGAAGGAAGTTAAATGTGTACCAGTATGATTATTTTTTCTTTGTTTTTGAGTAATCATGAATATTGATGGAAAAAGATTCTTGGTGCCACAACGAATTGGAAAGCCACATCAAGGTTATAATGAAACTTTCATGACATTTTTGAGTGGTTCGGATTAACGAAAGATTCATGCTGTGAAATGATTAGTTCACCTACATTAACAAACTCTTCATATAGCTATGATCACAAACGTTGTTTTTTAGCTTCAGAATGGGCTGTCACTGACAACTCATGAAAGTCTCTGGTTTGCAGTCCTGTATTTCTATAAATTTTAGACGGTGGCAATAGAGTACCAAAGTGTGATGTCATACTGGCCAAGTTAACAAGGTTGCTGGTTGCAAAGAAATTTGTGCTAAACAATGGCACGGTGATCACACCATGCAGCGCCAAAAACTGTGAATTTGCCCTCCTCCAACCCGTTTTGTTTATGATTTCATAGTGAGCCCCAGTCACAGGCTCTGTTGTTCAGAACCAGTAACTTGGGACGATGAGCGAATACACAACATTAGCACTCCATTGTCAAACAGAACATAATATTTTGACAAAAAGAATCAAAACACGGAGAGTTTAATATTTGTGGTAGATAATTATGCTTTTTTATTCTACATTAGCTGATGAGTCAACACATAATAAAATCAATCTGAGCCAATGAAATCCCTTGCATATTACTTACAACATAAAATAAAACAAGTCTAATCCAATCTAGATCATTTCTAGGTATTCGCTACATGGTGCGCCACCTATCGGGTGCCGCAGATGGGCCAATTTCCAACTTCCAGTGTGGGAATAACATTCCTTTGCTTCACATATTAAAAACCATGGCTAAAGCAGAGGGAGCGTTCAACCAATATTGTCAAAATGTCACAAGAAAATATGTGACATTAAAATGTAATGTAAACAATACAAGCTGCATATTTTCTTGCAATAAATGTATATCAGCTAGGCACACAAGGCCCTGTGATTTCCCACTGACTAGTTCCCCATGAGGCCATGTAAATTCTGCCTGTCCGTTACACCCAAAGGTTGCGAACCAAATTGCGAATAATGGGAGTAAATAAGTCCTGACCAAACAACCCAGCACAAGCTAGACGTAAACAAGCAATGAGTATAATAGATCTACATGAAGTTTTCCCCAAGATGTATTTGCTAAACATTGAAATTACAAGTCTGTAACTTACCTTGTACAAAGCGAGTTCAGATGAAATTGATTTTGCTTACGCTTTAAGGCCCTTGACATTGGTCTTTCAATCAACTTTAAATCAAGAAACTGGCCAATTCTTTATATCCTTTGTATTGCTGATTATACATGTACACTACATAAAAAAGTTTTAGGTGGCTACTAAGAGAAAAGCTTTGAAGTTTTACTTTCACTGTCCCCACCCCGCCCCCTTTGTCTTGATGATTTCAAACGATGTAAATATACATGCACATATACATTTTGTTTTCATACACTTTCTCCTTTTAATATTCAAAAGGTAGTTTCACAAAGATATCATTCATTTTCTTTTCTAGAGAGAAAGGGGGGATGTGGGTCTGGGTCATGGACTTTGGTGTGACTATCACTTGAAGTTGAATTCCTAGGTACATGTACATAAATGGACATTTTTCAGTTTAATACATGAGGGTCTCTTTATTCGTTGAAGAAACAGCTAAACCCGCTTCAAATCTGTATAGGTGTGTATTTGTGAATGGTTTGATGACATCGCTATGATTTACAGTAGATCGATCACAACTTTTCTTCAACTGAAATTTCTCAACCCCCCTCCCCCAAAAAATGTTGAATTCTGTACATGAACATCGTCATATCCACTCTAAAGTTCTCTTTCGATACAGGGAATGTATATATACATGTAGTAAAGGGACAACACTTTTCTACAGACTAGCTAAAGCTACAACTTAAAGGGAAATCCAACTTTGATAGCAAACTATATACTCTAGAGGAGAGCAGAAAAATCAGAGAAGTAGACTGGTGAAAGTTTGAATGAAACCGGAAAAAAGGAGAAAGTTTAAAATTATTGAGTATAATTATGGGCTCTTAAAATTTGCTAAATTGGGAATGTCTCTGTGATGACATAGGTAAGACAACTTTTCCATTTGTTCCAAAATGACTAAAATTTCTTTTTTTCCTCAAAAATGTACAACTCTGGAGGGTCTATTCTCTTAAGAGGATCTTTAATGATCGGATATCCATTGAATATTTTGAGTAGTTCCCCAAGGAAGGAGGCACTGAGGAGAAAAACTGAATTTAATCATAATTTTGCACATGACAAATGGGAGAGTTATCTGCAACTACACATGTACATGTATGTCAAATTTGCAACTACCAGTATCTCATATTTCAAACATTCATAACTTTCTTATTATTTGTCCGATTTATTTCACACTTTTACCGTTCTGTATTATCTATTTTTCTGCTCTCATACAAACAAACCTATCATAAGTTTTGGATAGCCCTTTAATACATGTACATCAATAAATACTTCCACAATTAAAATAAAATATCTGAATTATTGCATCAATCACTTTTTCCCTTGCAAAATATCACTATATCTCAAAACTAGATTATTTCACATCATGAAGTTGTTTCCAATTATCATATAATAAGCACAAAATCATTATTATATACAAGCTATAATTCTGCTCTGAATAGACGTATCGAGACACACAATACACCTTTCATGAGATAGAATCGTGGGATAATTAATCTCCGCAGATAAGAATACATAACCAAAGAGGCAGTTATGAGACACACACTAGCTGTAATTATACTGCCTTTCAACAACGGAAATCACAGAGTTGATACATGTATGTAGGGGTGCATGTACATGTACATACTGTTGACAAGGGGCTGCAAATTCTGTTCATACATGTAGGTGTACATGAATATGCGATGCCCACAGAAACACTTTCATCTACTGTTAAAGTATTAAAGGTAAAGACCAGTATTGGAAACGCCCCAATTTCAAATAATGAAATGGAAGCTCTCATTACCAATCATGTGAAAGAATATGTTTTGACTAATACATGATGAAAAAAAAAATGAAAAAAAATTGCCGGGAAACCGCCTACTAATTCATATATTTGGTAAATTTGTTTCTCTCATGGTCTGTGAGAGATATAGGGTAGTCCCACATACATCTTTCTGTGTATAGTGCTTGTAACTTTACGAAGAATGGGCCAAATTTCTTATCATTTTGATGATTCCAGAACCTTGCAGATGCTAGATGCTAAATGATCAACCTTTTCTGATCGATTCCACAATGTTTCTTTCACAATGCAATCGCATGACCATAACTGGTCTTTACCTTTAAGTTTATGTGCACCGTTCATGAACATCAAGCAAAAGATTTTCTACACACAGACATACATGTATAAGAGTTATTTTAATTATTTTTACTACAATATCTTTGCATTACAAGATATTTTCTACATGTTGATATCAAATATCAATTAGAGTTGAAGTCAAAAATCATTTCAGCCCACAAAATTTCACTAAACTTTTCATCACAAGCTAAATCACATACCGGTACACTTAAATTTACATGTAGTTTTTACATGAGTTAACACTGACAATAAGCATTCAGCATTCACTAAATATTCATTACAACGTGGAAGTATCATAGTTTTAGGTGAGTTTCAGTGAACTAATTTCATTAAATATTCATAGTTTTAAACACAAGTAGAGCTTATCATTAAGCTATTCTTAACAATTTGAAAGTATCATAGTTTTAAAGTGAGTTTCACTAAACTAAATTTCATTCAATATTCTTACTGGTAAGTCTTATAGTTTTAAACATGAGTTGAACTTATCATTAATGATAATCAAGGCATTTACATCAATATGAATAATACCGGTAAGGATATACATGTAGTCAATAACCGAAATACAAATTGTACACTTAATTCTATTCTCTTCTACCGCGTTGTGCTTTTTGTATGGGTTAAAGTGCTTATTTCAGCTAGCAATAACATTCCTATTAACATTAATTTAAAAAATGGGGTAAAATAGTTTTGCATACACAGTGTATGAACGTTAAAAAGGATTATTAACAACTATATCTGTACGTGCTAAAAAATGGAACAATTACGTATAAAACTGTAAAATCAATCAAAACTAAAATATACATACACAACCTTTTATTAAAGCCATCCCAAGGCACTTTATACAATTCTGTATATTGACCTGTAAAAAAAAAAGGATTTTGAACCCAAATCTGCCAACAAAAAATAGGAATTCCAATAAAAAGTCTAAATTATTAATTGCATTTTCTTGAAAGAAATCATAATTTCAAAAGGGCATGTTCTAAATCAAAATAAATGTGTGATCAACAACTTAAAACCAACATTTAATCATGATTTTGATGTATATCATGCATTTATTCTAAATTTGTAACTTTTCCTACTGGATTTGTCAAATTATTCGACATAACAATGGCAGTTGCTGTTCCGCAGGAACCTAAAAGAACATGCACACTTCACTATGAACATCACTGACAAAGAAAGCGGACAAAATATACAGTTCCTCAGGTAGACAAGGGAACATCCCTTCACTGCTATTATGTTAAAATGTGTAGAACAGGTGAATATGCATGTGACACCTGTTCTACACATTTTTACATAATAGCAGTGAAGGAATGTTCCTTGGTCTACCTGAGGAACTGTATATTTTGTCCGCTTTCTTTGTCAGTCATGTTCATAGTGCTTGTAACTAAACCAACAGTGTATGGCATGAAATCATATTATCCCCTAAAATGGTAACAATACATTTATAGAGAGTATAGTGATACATTCTTCGAAATTTGAGCAGCAAAACATGGACAGAATACCTGAAAGGATTACAATGAATACAAGACCAATAAGTTACCAAGTAGTAACACTGTGCATCAATGGTGGTTCGACAACACATGCTCCGGCGACAATAGCTTCACAGTTAATATTCAACCCTATCCAACTTTCTAACTTCAACCCCTATTAAACCTAGAACTATATATTTATCCCTAATTCAGACCCTAAAGGCTTGTTCAGGAACATGTATGATGCAGTAAGCAACCATAAAAAATATATATATAATTAAAAATTAAAAACCGCAATGCTGTAAACGAATGGCAACTGCGCACCAAAGGACTTGAGCGTATTCACTGAGCTCTATGTTATAAAATTGAAAAATGTGAAGCGATATACTTGACATCATCGTAAGAAACCACCCCAATTTTTGCAGCATCATACCTGAACAAGCCTTGTATTAAACCCTACCTCTTAACCTTATCTTTGATGACTAAACCTACAAGCAAATGTCACCACAGTCAATTTTGCATCGCCCACATGCCAATTACTACTGATTCTTTTCAAATTACATACCAACAAACACCCCACGAAGCACAATAAAACTTTTTTTTTAAGTTTTTAAAAAAACGAATATGAGCACATTTTAGAAATCACAAAGTTCCTGGAAAAACAAGGAGAGAAAACCATCCCGAGCACCTTTAGTAGCAATTGATATAAAATAAAAGAACACTACGTTTTTGCTCTGAGGGATGAGGAAACTGGGTGTATTGGGTTGTGTTGCATTGAATGTTTGTAATTGTCTGAATAAACATGCTCAATCATGCATTGCTGAATCAAATGCAGATTTTTTCTTTCTGCATCCAGTGTTTCCAGTCCGTATTTATAGATAGCACTGAGATTCTTCCATTACTGTAACATATCCATTTAAAATGTAAACTTGAAGATACTACATGTAAATACCACAAGACAACGTAATCCCAGTGAAGTCTACAATGAGACAATTGAAAAATTATACATAAATGTTCATAATCTACATGCAGATATTTACCACATGTACATCTGTATATATAAAAGGTAGGTGGGCTAGACATATTATATCATTTACATGTACATGTAATTTGTAATGTAATGAACTCTTTACATCTTCATGCACGCATTTCCTAGTTTGCCTACCTTACAATTCCACCCCGCTTCCCCCCCCCCCCCCCCCCTGCAAAAAAATAAAGAAATAAAAATGAAGAAATAAATATATGAGCGAATCAATTAAAAAGATTTTGTTTTTTTAATTAATGAAGAAATAAATAAACAATTTTTTCTTCAAATAGTCAAGATTACGAATGTGTTATGTACGCCTGTAATAATATAATATTCCGCTTTTATATAGCGCTTTTAAATACATCTACGATGTCTCTAAGCTGTACTAGATCTTTGTCTTCCAAACATGACGACTCTCCTATACTGTAACAGCTACAGTGAACATTAAAGTGTGTTAAGTTAGCATCCCATATTTCATAGACTTTATTGTTTCATAGACATAGCATTAAATATACATGTAAGTTTCTCTACTATAATCACAACATGTATTTCAAAGACTGAAACAATTTTGCCACAGATGTAAGCTAGTACTCCATCTACAAGCTCACCCATTAACAAGATTGCTACTATTGTATCTACACTGTCCACAATCAGTCATCTGTAGTAGAGTCATAAATCCAGGAATATACTTAGAGAATGCATAGCATAGAAGTTCAGAAAGTTATATATCACAACACCATACATGTATATTAAGTCACACGATTGTCTTTAAAAGAAATTATGAGACTTGGGTAAAAAATGCCTAAACATAACAAATGGTACAGCCACATCATGTCGGTACGTTACAATATGTGCGCTTTCGCCATGAAGGTGTCTGCCATGGGGCTGTTATGCACTATTGGAGACCATTTGGATAGCCTACGCAAATGTGATCTTTTGATGGGCTGATTGGATTTTTGTTTCATGATTTCTATGGGATGAGAAGAATGACATTGTCATCTTTCATTTCATACTAAACTTTCTATGATTTATGTTTTCGGCAGTTTGTTTCGCTGCACTGTTTCACAAGAGCCACGTTTAGTGCCATTCTGTACCCTGATCCCGCATTCAGGATAAGAAAAAATGTATCTAGGATGATTGGTTTGCTTTAGGTGAAATTTCAGCAAAATCTATGGTTAAGAAATATGTTTTTTGGATGAGAAATGTGAAATGTCATGCAAAAATGACGGCCCAATTTAATAGCGGTTTTCGCATATTTACCTACATTTTTTGTAATGAAAAAGAATCTTTCGGTCACATTTGAGATCACAAGTTTTGTTTTAAAAACAAAGCAATTAAATACATGATTTCTGGGCGTTTCAAATTGGCATAACTTTCTCATTACTGGGGCTATTAGGATGAATGAGGCATCAAATAAAAGGTCTTATCAAGCTCTGTTTGATGGCAAAAGCAAGAGCTTGAATTCTGAGATTTGATTTTTTTTATAACATACCTACATCATTCACCTACATGAATAATATTGATGTACCGACTCTACATGTACGTAGGCAAAATTAGGGAGGGAAACAACAACAAAAATTACATGAAGGATATTTCATAGGGCCTACACGAGAGGATATTTCGAGCTATTTAAAAAAAAGGCTATTGACTAACTAAGACCTAGATGATGCTTGCCTGCGGGATATAACGTCACGATTTAGCAGTCCTCTCATCTATCTGTTGCAGCATAAAGAGAAGGGCGGTGCGTAGACCCTCCGCCAGCTCGCGGCCGGAGTAGGGCTGGTTTAGAGGGGGCACGTGTATAAAAACAGAGCTGTCCGAAGACTGGTGTAGCGATAGGTAGTAGCAATATCCACACAGGTATCTATTGGTAGAAAGAACAAGAAAGGTGGAAAGGTAAAGATGCATTGTGTAGATCTTTTGAAGACATTGAAGATCAGGGGAGTGATTCACAAAGACTAAGATCAACTTTAAGTTGGACTTAACTATGGCAGGCTGTTCATGCCACTGTTTACTAGCATTAGTCTCTCAAGGGATGTACAAAGCATGGTCACAAATCTACAGAATTTACATTTGTTGATAATTCATTATAGAACGAAAAATTATTATCTAAAGAACATAATGAGGGCAAACAGTGGCATGAACGGCCTGCCATAGTTAAGTCAAACTTAAAGTCGATCTTAGTCTTTGTAAAACACTCCCCTGATCAGTGCGTAATTTAAAATGGTCATAAGACACATGCTCCTGCAACAAATTGCTCCGCAGTACTTTCCTGCACTAACCAAATTCCCATTTTCTACACAAGACTTTAAACTACACCTAACTTTTACCTCAAACCCAAACCTACCCTATAACTGTATAACCCAATGGCTATTCTAATCCTTACCCTCTATTTTCACTCAGATTCAGATGTCAGATTTACTTTCAACAGATACATGTACATGTATGTGAACTGATTCCAAATGAAACATTAAGACGGTACAGAAAGGGTGATTATAAATAAGTGAGGTAATAGCTTTAACCCTTCTACAGCTGTAGGCATTTGCATACCGGTATGTTTTTTAAAGCCTGTCTGCACTAGTTTGGCCAGGAGGGATTATACCTCCCTGCATGGTCACTGACAGGTGGTTATCTAATCATATCAGCTCTCAATTAACATAAGAAAAAGGGGATCATGGGGGACCAGAGAGTTGATGAACGGAGAGACTGACTACGGTGTGTAGTCTGCGTCTGCTCCTTTTTATCTAAATTTCACGAGTTTTTTGGACGCTTGGAAGGAAAACTTTTACTTTAACAGTTTACTGTTACTTCAGGGAAGATTGTAGTATCTTCGTTGCATCTTTTAAGGAGGAATTCGCCATGTTATCAAGGATCTTTTAAATCAGGAACTGGTGAGACATCAAGAGTCATTCAAACTAAGTGTGCTCATGTAGTATGTGCTAGGAATGTTCAATGTGTGCGGAACAGTGTATATGGAATGTTAGCAATGTTCTGAGTTATACACACAACACTGTAGTGGCTAGTGGAATTTACGACTTTACGACTTTACGACTTTTAATGGCTGGAGCTGGAGTCGGCAACCCCTCATAATAATCTGCTGTGCATCCGCAACTATGTGACACTTCTTCACTTATTTCTACCCCTAGGCTCTCGGACTGTCGCACCTGTGCTATTAGTTTTGTTTCTTTGATTCCCATTAAGTCCTCGATTCCTCGCCCTGTCAAAATGCCGCCAAAAAAATCAGAATCTTCAGCTGACATAGCTCGGCATGTTATTAGTCAGCTAGAGAACAGCGACGCTTTTAAGCTTATAGTTAAATCTGCCGTCAGGGAGGCGGTTGCTGATTTGGCTGTCCGGCTTGAGGAGCAGGAAGCAAGGGTGCTCGAGCTAGAGGTGCAGGTGAAAGCTCAAGCATCTGAGATCGAGCAGCTTAAGAAGGCTAAGGAAAGCACCCATGATGCTGCTGGAATACTCGATTCCAAGCTTGACGCTTTGGATCAGTACTCGCGGCGGAATAATGTAAGGATCCACGGCATGGAGGAGACGGTTGGGGAGTCGACGGAGGAGGTGGTCTGCAAGGTCGCTCAACGAATGGGTCTTAAACTGACCCAATCCGACATCGACCTCACTCATCGCCTAGGACCGGGTACCAAGCCAGCTGGTAGTGACAAGCCAGATCGATCTATCATTGTAAAGTTTTCATCGTACCGTACCAGAGCCCTTTTCATTGGAGCGAGGATGAAGCTCAAGGGCTCTGGTATATATGTCAACGAGGACTTGACAGCCAGGAAGCAGAAGCTCTTCCATGCCGTCAGGCACTGCAAGAAAGCTGTCAAGGCCTGGAGTATTGACTGCAGAATATTCGCCGGTCTCGCCAATACCAGTGACAATGGTCGCCTAACCAAAAAGCTGATTACGTGCGAGGAAGATCTTGCGAACTTATGACTGAACTTCGCAGATTATATAGTAACTCCTTACTTGCAACTAAGCCTATTCATGGCAAATATGTTTTATATACAGACTGTTTTTTTCTTGCCTTTGTTCATTATATATTTACCCCACTTTTCTACTTTATTTTTCCTTCATTCTCTGCTATTTAATTTCAACATGAATTTTATTTCTCAAGCTGTCTCCTTTCCCTTGGAATCTAAGCACATTGGTGCTTTATATATAATGTGTATTTCCTATCCTCTCTATCTCATGTCAGTTTGCTACCCGAATTACGAACCGCAGTTACATAGTACAATATCTATTTTCTTACTCTCTCAATATGATCCAAACTGATGATGATATTACATGCAATTTTTTTTAATCCAATGCAAGTACCTTGCAACAGTATGATGAAAATGATGATCAAATTACAATAAATTGTAATTATTGTACCGAAAATCAATTCTTTGATATGGTCTGTGGTTCAGAGAGTAATGAACTTGCTTTAATTCACTTGAATATACGTAGTATGTGTAAGAATTTTGAAAATTTCAGTGTTTTCACCAAGCGTATATCAGGATTCACAGCAATAGGTGTTTCTGAGACCTGGTTTCCTTCTGAATTCGATACTAGCTTATATTTAATTCCTGGTTATAATTTGGTTTCTAATAATAGACGAGATAAAAGAGGTGGAGGGGTGGCTTTATACATTCCATCTGTGATGGATTACCAAATATGTCATGAGCTTACCATTATGAATGTATATTTGTTGATGTTTTCATACCAGGAAAACGTAATGTTGTTTTAGGTGTCGTTTATAGGCCGCCACAAAGTAATCTAAATCTCTTTATAGATGAGGCACACAATATTCTGTCAAATCCATTACTTAATAACAAGACAATTTTCCTCATGGGTGATTATAATCTGAACCTGCTCACTTGCGATGGAAATAGCTGTATTGATGACTTTTTGAACCTGTTGGTGTCCTTTTCCTTGATGCCTTTGATCACTAAACCTACAAGAGTGTCTGAAAATTCCTCTACTCTCATTGACAATATCTTCACTAATTTGCAACCCTTTCCAGATGCTGGCATCATAATTTCTGACCTATCGGACCATTTTCCTATTTATGCCAAGATGCCATTGAGCAAACCCTCTTTCATTACTAGGCAAAATAAACATGCCTGTAGGAGCAATCCCGAAAATATTGCAAAGCTTAAGGAAGCCCTAATTGCAACTGACTGGAGTGATGTTTTACTTGATCAAAATGTTGATAGCTCTTTTGAAAACTTCTTTCGAAAATTTATATTGCTGTATGATGAGAATATACCTATATGTAAAAGAGATAGTGGAAATCACAGGAAGATCCCCCGAATGCCATGGATTACAAGATCGCTATTGAAATCGATCAATAAGAAAAATAAGCTATATTATAAATACAAGATAACTAAATCAGAACAGTCACGCTTGAATTACACCAGATATCGGAACACCTTAACTACAACATTACGTGTTTCAAAGAAAAATTACTATTCCACTCAGTTTCAGGCAACCTTGAATGATATAAAAGGAACATGGAAGGTAATCAAAAATATTTTTAAAAGCAACAGTAAAACATCCAGCATAAGATCTCTGCAAATTGATGGAGAATTAGTAGATGATACAAAATCTATTGTTGAAAAGTTCAATAATTATTTTTGTAGTATCGGTCCAAATTTGTCGGAGGGTATTCCAAATTGTGATAAATCATTCCATGACTTCTTGAAAGAACCTAACCAGCAAAGTTTGTTTTTAATGCCAACAAATGAAGTAGAAGTACTCAGTATAATACATTTTTTGAAGATTGGAAAAAGCCCAGGCTGTGATACTATCTCCAACAGTCTAGTTAAAAACTTAGCAGTAGAAATCGTACAGCCATTAGTGCATATATTTAATCTGTCACTGACAAATGGCATTGTACCCAGGGAGATGAAAGTGGCAAAGGTTGTCCCAATTTTTAAGAAGGGTGACCCAAAACTATTGACGAACTACCGACCCATTTCCCTATTAACATCTTTCTCTAAAATTCTTGAAAAACTTATCTATGTGAGAACTGTAAAGTTTCTCAATTCAAGTAAAATGTTTTCCAACTTTCAATTTGGCTTCCGTGAGAAACATACTACCACCCATGCTATACTGCACTTTATCAATAAAGTTTCTTATGCTATGGACAACCACATGCACACACTTGGAATATTCTTGGATTACTCTAAGGCATTTGATACAGTAGATCACAAAATATTGTTATGTAAATTATCCCATTACGGGGTCAAGGGTGCTGCCCTGGATTGGTTCAGGAGCTATTTAGCTGACAGACAGCAATTCGTATCCATAAATGGTTTTGATTCAGAGTTACAAAATGTCAGCTGTGGAGTCCCACAGGGATCACTTCTTGGTCCTCTTTTATTTATTCTTTATATAAATGATTTTCAATATTCTTCTGATGTATTATCCTTTATTTTGTTTGCAGATGATTCAAGCATATTTTTTTCTTGTGTTCTTGTGCAAACAGTTAACTCAGAGTTGCGCAATATTACCTCATGGATTCATGCTAATAAACTGTCTCTTAATCTTACAAAAACCAATTATATGATATATAGCAATTCGCTCAAGATGTTGCCCGGCGACATTATGTTCAACGGTGTTCTGATAGACAGGGTAACATCAACTAAATTTTTAGGTCTTTATATCGACGAACAATTGAAGTGGAAAACTCATGTAAATAATCTATGCAAAATATTATCAAGGAATACTGGTGTAATTCGTAGGTTGAAGTCTACTCTTCCTAAAAGCATATTACTTATCTTGTATTCAACTTTAATTCTACCTTATATTAATTATGGTGTGCTTGCTTGGGGCAAATCTCTAATAACGCAATTAGATAAAATATTCTTGGCTCAAAAGAGGGAATTAGAACAATCTGTAATGCTGACTTTCGTGCTCATACAAATCCTCTTTTTTATCATCATAGGATTTTAAAGGTAGAAGATATTTATTATATGCAATTGGGTTCCTTAATGTATGATCTCAACTCAGGTGTACTGCCACTGGCATTAGCCAAGATTTTCAAGAGAAACAATCAAATTCACAATTATGCCACAAGAGGTGCTTCTGCATTCCACTTACCCCATGCAAGGACAAAGTTTACTCTCAACACTTTAGTTTGCACTGGACCAAGGTTTTGGAACACTCTTGACTCAAGCATTAGCCATTCTGTCAGTATATCTGTCTTCAAACATAAACTGAAATTGTACTTATTGAATAATTACTTAGTTGTTTCTTAATCTGTAGTGTCGTGATTTATATTTGAACTTAATCCATTCCCCAATTTACTACTGTATAGCAACTGCCGACTTACCTTTTCCTTTTTCTTTCCTTTCTCGCCTGTAGCTAGCTTTCAGTTTACAGTGAAAGTATTTTTTTTTCTTTCTCCCCCCACTCGAGCTCTCCCTCTCTTTCCCACTCCCGCCCCTCTCTTCATTTCTATATCCCACATCATTATCACTTTTATCTCCCCCTTTTGTACATAGTCTCTTCTCCCCACCCTTTTTTATTACTCAGTTAAACCATGTGTATAATTATATGGTTATTGTTTATAGTTATTTGTTTTAGTACTTTAGCGCCTTTGACGAACATTTCTTTTATTAATCTATTATATAACCAGGCTGTTCTTGTTGTTTATGTTATTGTTTTTGAGGGACCTGACCTCTACAAGCTAAGCTTTAATTAGGTCTCCTCGTCTTTTCTTCTTTTGTTTTCTCATGTAAATGCATTGTGTGAACTTTATTCTTATAAGTGTTTCCTCTTATATACTTTGCATGTTATACATTTGTTAAATTGTATTACATTTATGTTGGAAGAAAGACAAATAAACTTGAACATGAAATTGAACCAATGGTCACTGATGAGGCATTGTTTGCTATATAGAGGGCGCAATTAGCTATAAGTAGTGCATGCAGTGGGGCTTCAAAGCATTCCGGAGAGCTGACCTCGAGTATTGCAGGGTTATCCGACTTTGACTCTGTGACCGCAGATAAAGTCCGCAAGGTTATCATGGCATCACCAAATAAGTCTTGCTCACTTGATCCTATTCCAGTGTGGTTGCTTATTAAAGGAGAACATTGACATATTTCTACCTCACATAGTTTCAATAGTCCAGACATCCATGGAGTCTGGGAACTTTCCGTCATCCCTGAAGGAAGCTGTTGTCACGCCTCTCATCAAGAAGCAGAACCTCGATCGAGATAACTTGAAAAACTATCGCCCGGTCTCCAATCTGCCCTTCCTATCCAAGATCATTGAAAAGGCAGTTCTGGTGCAGGTTACAGAGCACTTGGAATTAAATGAGCTAAACAGTGATTGTCAGTAAGCCTATCGACAGCATCATAGCACGGAGACAGCACTTCTGAAGATGAAGAATGATATCCTGCAGGCTATGGACATGAAACATGTGACTTTTGTTATTCTCCTAGATCTTTCAGCTGCTTTTGACTCAGTAGATCATACAATCCTTCTTGATCGACTCTCCGAAGTGTTTAATATCACAGGTAGTGCTTTGTCCTGGTTCACTTCTTACCTGTCGGGTCGCACCAGCAGATGCAAAGTAGCATGTGAACTACATGTATCTACTCAACAGTCTCTTGATTACGGCGTACCGCAAGGATCAGTAATCGGACCGCGACTCTTCAGCATGTACACGCAACCACTATCGGACATAATTGGACAGTATGAAGGTGTGCGCTATCACTCATATGCAGACGATATTTCATTGTATGTTTTTGCTGATCCTAGGAGTACAGAATCAGTGAACAATGCTCTTTCATCTTTATCAAGCTGTGTTGAGTATCTGCAGAAATGGATGGCGTGTAATATGCTGAAGCTAAATTGTGACAAAACAGAGTTTCTTGTAGTATCTACCCCACATGCACGGCAGTATGTGTCTGATGTCAAACTGTCGATTTCTGGCCTCTCGATCAATCCAACATTTGCTGCAAAAAGTCTTGGTGTGGAGTTTGATTCAGCACTCAAGATGGATCGTCATGTGTCAACCCTCTGTCGTGGACTTCACTACCACCTATCAAATATAGCTCGTATCAGACCTTTCATAGATGCGAAAGCATGTGAGCATGCTGTCCGAGCTATTGTGTTGTCTCGTCTTGACTATGCCAATTCGTTATTGTATGGGATCAAGTCATCACAACTACAGCGTCTCCAGAAGATTCAGAATCGCGGAGCAAAGCTGATCTACTTGGCCCGTAAGCACGATCATGTCACCCCGTTGCTTAAAGAACTACATTGGCTTCCAATCAAGCAACGCATTGAGTTCAAGATCCTGACGGTTGTCTACAAGTGCATCCAAAACAAGGCTCCAGTGTATCTCAATTCTCTCATAGTACCCTATCAATCTGCTCGTCCTGGCCTTCGCTCGTGTACTGACAGCACCCTGCTGCACGTTCCTCGAACATACACTAAAGCTGGCGACAATGCTTTTCATGCATGTGCTCCACGACTCTGGAATGAGCTTCCACGTTTTATTCGATTAGCACCATCGCTGGATGTCTTCCGAAAATGTCTAAAAACTCTCCTCTTTGACCATGATCAACAATAGATTCTTTTATAACTTTTTATGTAAAGCGCTGTGAAACAACAGTTAGTTCGTAAGAGCGCTATATAAATGACTTTATTGTATTGACTTTATTGTATTCTACCCTAGTCCCATGCATTACCTTCCAGCGTTGTAGGATACGACAGCCTTGACAGGGCAGTTCTCTGTCCTGTTCAGCTTATCAGAGGCCACGGCCATGTTGATGTGGCTCAGGATACAGTCTGGTCCACCGATGATGCAGTTAAAATCCTGGAATATTAAAGGTAAAATAGATTCAGTGTTTACAAAGACCACCTGTCTATAAAAGCCACACTTTTTTTCTTCTGTGTTGCTCATGCATCAAAACATTTGTTAGAGCTTTGGTCAGATCCATAATGCAGGAAAAGTGGGTGAATAATAATAATTTATTCTTATCATAATTTGTATTAATTTTATTAAAAGTAGGTGGAATAATTCAGACCTTTAATGTGATATTCGGGCATAATTACAGCTAGCATAACTGTATTTAATACTAGAAAGACCTTGAACAAATCACTGACAAGCTTAAACAATTACCAGTACACGAAAGAAATTTCAGCTCATTAAAATATTTAGAAAGAAATTATATGATTGCGAGTTTCTGGTTCCCAAAGAGCAATATCAGGCTGACAAATCTTTTCTTTCATTTAAAACATTTAGTTAGTTTGTGTGAAAACAAATAAATGCAAAGCAGAAATCAAACTTGTTGATCACTAGTCACTACCTCACATGACATACATGTATAGACTACCTTGGTTTCTGGAAACTTGCTGGTGACATCTGGCTTGTTATAGCCTTTGTTGTGACCTTGTTGCTCCAAAGTCAGCTCTGACGCAACACTAGACACTCCAACGTGTACCATCAACTGTTGCATATAAAGAAGTGATAAAATACACATCAATAATCATCTAACAGAAACACCATCACCACAACAATAGCCATTATAATGTGTTTTTGTATGCACATCACATTATGTAATGTGCCTATGTGGCTATGCACACGTTTCCAAAAATTAACACGCCTGCTTTATCTGTACATATACTGTACATTAGCTCCAGCAACCATTATCAGCGCACCATGCATTTCAATGAAAAAATCCTACCGGGTACTGTATACAGTATGTACATACAGTGTACATCTTACTATAAAACCCAAGCCAAATGAGGCAAAGGACATTAATAATTGGAGCAGGGACTTGAACTAATGAAAATAGCCTGTTATTGTTAAGAGGTGCTGTACACATTCCCTTTAAAAATGCATTAAAAACAAAAATGCTAATGCTATTCAAATAGAAATAAGAAGTACATTTGTAGGTCCAGGAATGTGGATGCTTAAAGTTTAACATACCTTTAATACAAACAACTGTACATGTACATGTAGTAGATCAACAATATTTATCAAATGCAGTTGCTGTCTAGTTTTTTTAATGTGAAAAAAAAAAAGCAATCAGCATGCAGATTAGTACCATTCATGAGCTCCTTTGTACAAGGGTATTACGAAATGGCAATCTTCACATGCATACATGCATGTGCACATGCAAACACTTTTAATTATATTGACTTGTACTTTCCAAAGGTGAAATTCTGGTTACTACATGTTTACACTACCGGTGATCATCATTCTGAGGATCCTTGGTCAACAATAGCTAGGCTACAAGTTATTTAATCATCGACAATTCCCACCCCACTCTGATTAATAATTAATAAGTTGTCTATTGTGTACAGCACATAATCAGTTTTCCAATCACTAAAAATTATTTTGCTCTGTATGATATTAGAAGTCTTAATTAGAACCATGTACATGTACATATACATAATCAAGTTATTATATGTTGATTAATGTACTACTACCAGCAATCTCTTTCTCATGTAAAAGATTATATCATGTTTTGTGTGGTTTTGAATAAATGAACTTGAACTTGAACTTGAACATGTACATTGTACATGTAGAGTAATTCAGAATATGAGCTTTAAATATTAAATCTGTAGTTCTTCATACTCCCAACTGTTAGTCCATAGGATGATAGGTAAAGTCTTTTAAAGTTGATTTTACAAATTCTAGGTCTACACAAGTTAAATTTAGGTGACTGGTACACTTTAATGCTTCAATCATTATGCATTGTCACGTTTATACACAGATCAACCCATGCATGCAAGGCCAAAATAGGATTTATCACCTTGGATACAGTCAATATTGTGAAGACTTTCAAAGTCTGATACACGTCTGATCAACGTGGAATGTCCTTCAGTGTTGTTGTACAATCAAGAATTGTGTGAATGTTGGATACAATGTCTATTTTTCAGGTACTGTAAACTGTATCTTGCCCATTTTTTTAGTAGTACAGAATACTCCCTTTGTCAGATTTCAAACAATTTCATAATCTCATACTGTACAATCATACTGTATACACTGTACATACACGCACATGTACACAATATGTATCACTTGAGGACTAGATACTGTACATGGTATCATACTACCTTTTTCCTAATGTATCCTAATAGGTAGTTACAAATGCATATACATGTATGTACTCCCATCATGTTTATCTTGTTGCTAATTTAAGTACCAGCCAATTATTTGGTACAGAGGGGACCCTAAAACTTACAAGCTCTGCTTCTACCAGGGTCTCCTCATCTTTCTTTTATATGAGTTCACTTTGTTTTTATCATTGCCATAATTTGTTTTTTGCATTGTAAATGTGTAATGATCTATTAATGTTATGCTCTGTGTGACAATTTGAAAGAACGATAAATAAATACCTTACCTCATCTTATCTTAAATCTTATCTTATCTTACATGTACATGTAATAGGTTAATTACAATTTACATTGAGAGAATCTCCTTTTGTTAGGAAGGGGCTGATTTTTTATTTCGTTTTTTATTTTTAAGTACATTTGTACATGTACAGTACTGTACCTGTACTGTATATATATATATATATATATATAACAATTAAAATAATAATTAATAGCTTAAATAGAAAGAGAGAGAGAGAGGGGGGGGTGAGGGGGGATTCGGCAAATACTGACAAATACATTTATACATTACGGGAAATAGGAGAATACTAAACCCTGTATTAAAAGCATGTGGTAGTGGATATTAACACAATTGGCTAAATAATGCATACACATGACTGTATTGTATTTATCTACTTCATGAATAATTCATGATCAGATAAAATTAATGCAGCACCTTGACTTGTGACAGATAAATGTATAAAGAAGTTCTCTCCCCGTGCCAATTAAATTTGATTATAAAATATACTCTCATTGTCCGATTTTGATTGATGTCAAATTAAATAAATGATATCGCAAATTAGGACTGAGAAAAATTTAAAAATGCAGAACTTCACTTGATGTTTTAAAAAAACATATTATTACACATTACGGTAAAATGTCCCTACAATACTATTACATATACCTAATTAAAGTTATGAAAAAGTAACCTTTTAACACTGCCATTCCGCTATGTAATTTGAGTGTGGAGGAAGTTCATTTTTAATACAGGGCATATCAAATTTCAAGGCTTTGACAACTGCAGGGCTTCCAGTATCAACATATGATGGTATTATTGGCATATCACGTAGACGTCAGATCCAAGTACATTGTACATATTATCATACAATACATTGTATACTGTACAGTACGTGTACATTGTACAGTGCATATCTGTACATGTACAGTACATACCAGCATAGATGATTCCATTTGTAAGGGTGATAACATGTATCATTTTACATGAGTGAATGCCCTTCTGACAGCAATCACTAAGTTTGACATTTCACATTTCAGAAAATTTGCAGGAGGGGGCAGGGGAGAGGAGAGAGAATTTCTTCTTTTTTGTTTTTTTTCAGAACTCTGTTTTTAACATACATGTAACACGAGTTAATGCCCTTCTGGCTTTCTAAAACAGACAATTGAACGAGCTGACACATCTTTAATTACTAATTTAACTGCCACATGAAACAAAATACATAGTACGATGCAAAATAGGCAAACATGAAATTAAGACAATCAGTAATTAAATTGATCTGATAAAATGAATTAAAAAAAGAAGAAGAAGAGAAAAAAGAAAAAGAAAAAGGAGAAGAATTAAAACCAACAAAATATGAAGAAGAAAAAACAGAGTAAATACTGTATGGTTGATAGTATTAAAATTTGAGTTTACAATTGATATTTATAAAAAAAACAGTAATGATTTTCTGTATACATACGATTAGAAATTCATTAATGAAACTGTTTAAAGAATTAATGCTCATCATATTAAAAAAAAGTTAGTGTGGACTCCTACGAAAGCATCCTTACTATAGATCACTTACCACTGGGTTGTATTCCTTCCATAGAGCCGGCACAGTGATGGCCACCGAGTCGTAGATGACCGGTAGCTCCTTGACCACAAGTTCTACATCCTCTTTCAAGCCGAGTCGTTCCAGCTCTTGGACTGCCACCCAGCTTGCATTCACCTCATGCTCACCAAAAGGGCCGAAGCCTGCAGGAAAACAGAGCAAAGTTATTAATGGTACTTTTTGTTTGTTTACAATGAGATCTTTTGGGATCTGGGCATGTAAGCCTGTAATGTATGTGTAAATGCGGAATTTGCTTGCATATTTTTAAGTACCATGTGTTTTACCATCTAGAGATCCTTCTCAAGTTTTCCAGAGATACTACATTGTCATGAAAGTGCAGTTTACACAGATCCAAATATTTGCACAATTGCATCAATTACATTTACTTTCACAATCTTTATTTAAATCCCCACTTGCGCTCAGGACTGAAACACTGAGTACATACTCCATGTACATGTACATGTACACCATATAGTCAGTATTCCTTTAAATCAACCAGTTGGAGGCATTTCACGTGTTAGTAAAATCCCGAGTTATCTCTGGGCTTCAGCGCTCGCAAGATGTCACTGAACATGACTTTGTCTCCTTGCAAAGCTGCATGTACCCCACGGTAATGTAGACTTTAAGGGCATGTTAGTCTAGCTACGAATACATTGCATGAATCACTAATCACTCACCTCCTACCTATTCCAGTCCCCCGGCAAAAAATGTGCAGCGTGAGTCAACATTTTAAAGGTGGTATACAGCATCTATGGTAATTCAATGTAATGTGTCCTGTAACTCTATGTGAATTCTTGATATATTTATGTGAATTTCATGGATCTACAAATAAAAATAACTGATATGACCATTGAATAATGGTTCTTTATGGTATTACAATCATGTCATGAGGGTTTCATCTTTGAATGAAGTATAAATGGAAAAAAGTAATATGTTGTATGAAACAAATGGCACAAAATTGCCCCACCCCCCAAAAAAAATAAGTGTCAGCTCCTAAAAAAATATCTTCACCATATCAGGGATCTGATACAAATTTATAATTGCTCAAAACATAACAACTGAATAATATGATCCGTACACTGGAAACTGTAAAATAGACTCTTTTTCTGATGCAGAACCCCCAAAGTTTATCATGGACAAATGTACATGTATATCATGGGTCTAAAGAAGAAATCTTTGTTTTGGTAAATGGTCAGTGCCATTCCAGCAACAAGTATGACATATACAAAGGTAGCTGAGGAATTAAATGGGTGTACCTTTAAAATCTTATGTTAATCACACTGTATTTAAGATGCTCAAGGGCCTGCTTAACCACAATTGCATTTTTTCAAGCATACCTAACATTTCTTACAAAAACCAAACTTTGAACAGACTATTTTGGGCATTTTTCATCACAATAAAGCAAAGCTTTATACTAAACTTTGCAATATGTTTCTCTTACATTTGAAGAAAAAAGACAAATATTATTTAATCAAACTGCTAAAACTAGGGCAAGAAATGTGGAATGCCAGGAGTGTCACATTGAACAGACATGAGCACTATACAAAGACCCACTGTTATTATAATTTCATTGTTATTATTATTATTTATAACTCCAATTATTATTATTATTATAAATATTATTGTTATTGTTATTCTAATGATAATTATTATTGTCATTATTATTATTAACAATATTATTTTTGTTATTATTAGCATTATTATTATTATAATTGTTGGTATTATTATCATTATTGTTATTATAAGACTAATAAAATCAGTAGAAATTTTATAAACATCATCAACAAAATATAATAAAATGGACATATCAAGTTAAAGAATAATTAATAGTCTACCAAAATCAATGAAGATCAAGTTCTGAACTATCACACTCGGATGGCATGTTCATCAAACCGTTACAAGGTCTGATTAAGAAAATTGTAAAAGATAGAGCAAGTACATGTAGCCATTCACATGTAAATAAACAAACATGTGCATCTGTAGACATTGTTGTTCAACAATGAAAACAAAAAATGATAATCAATGAGGATTGAGCTCTGGATGTCAACTGTAGTCCACTGCATGGTTCTGACAAGCACATTCAAGATTCCTCTCCTACAGTATGTGTTTCTCATGATTGATTTTTTCTTTCTTTCCTGGTTTTATTCAACTCCTTAAGATGGAATTGCTCACCAACTTTTGAATGGCCAGATGCCCCATTTTCGCAATTTCCTTTCAGAGACTCATTTCTTGTTAAATGGCTAAACTCACTCAAGTATGAGTGAAATTTAATTTCAACTGCATATCATCTCAAAGAGCATTTTATTTCAGTATATAAGATAAGTTTATATAAAATATCTACTTGAAAATCTTAACTGTAAAGAGTGTCCACTTTCTTTTCATCTCGTTGTGGAGTGTACACAGGCGCGTACGCAGGGGGGGGGGGGGGGGGGGGTTGGGGGACGGGGTTGAACACCCCCCCCCCTTTGACTTTTTTTATGTGTACATTTTGGACGAACCCCCCCCCCCCCCCCCCCCCCCCCCCCCCCCGCTTATTCAGCGGCTGGTTGAGTCGTTGCGAAATTTTTAACGTGATTTTCACATTTTAAACCCCCCCCCCCCCTTGAAAAAAATCCTGCGTACACACCTGAGTGTACTGTACATACATCTACATGTAGGTATAATTTTTGTTGTAATTTCCTGTTTTACATAAGTTACAAGTACTTTGAAGAGGTTTATAAATTCAAAGAGGAAAAATCACTCATGTAGATTCTTTCCAATTCAGTTTTGTTTGAAAGAACTTCCCAGTTGGATTCGTGGTCTACATGTACATGTACAGAGATTGTTCTTCCCTCATAAGTTGCATACAAGGTTTGATGAAACCGTACTGGATCATCTTTGAGCTAATTACCCAAGATGGCCTTGAACCTTTGACCTCATCATCAATGCTATGTAAACCTATAAAGTTATTGCATGTTCAGCACTATTCATGTGAAGTTCATTGACCTTGGTCAGAATTGTCCCATTTTGTTTCTCATGACCTCTGTCTTCCAGAGATGTACCTGTAACTGTGGTTTAAAAAAATATTGTGTGTACAGTTCACTGAAAGTTCATTGATCTTTTTAGTAGTCTCCTCCTCCTCCTCCTCCTCCTCCTCCTCCTCCTCCTCCTCCTCCTCCTCCTCCTCCTTCGTCTCTCTGTCTTCTCCTTCTCCTTCTTCTAACTTATTATTATTAGCTTCTTTATTTCCGACTTCTTCTTTGTCTCTCTGTCTTCTTCTATGTCTTTTTCTTTTCTTTTTTGTATTTTTCTTCTTCATCTTTGTCTTTTCTTCTCTTTCTTGTCTTCTTCTCCTTTTTCCTTGTCCATAAATTTTAATTAATTTCAATTCAAAAGAAATAAGAATACCCCCACCCCAACGAGGAAAAAAATCAGCATGCTGGGGAAAAAACAGGATTTCTTGGATGAGAAAGTAATGAAAATAGATCTAGGCAGAGATGATCACTGGTGATAGGCATAAGAATAAAACTAATTGTTATACATGAATTTATGAATCCTGTTGATCTAATAATAAGATGATACTTGATAGGAACATTTGAAAAATTGTATGTGACAGTCAGTGTGAACAACACTTTGTGAATGACAGATTGGGATAGAGTAGAGTCTCCGGTTTGCGGCATCGCCCGGTTTGCGGCCAGGGGTATTTGTTTCAAAAATAAAATGAATATGACTCGATAATAATCATTGAAACCTACCGTGGATTCCACGGTAAGTTCTGCTTTGCCGAAAATGTCCGTAGCAGGTGCTCCTATCGGTACGGAGTATCCGTCAGCGATGTCGGAAATCTACGGCACCAGTCGCCGATGAAAATTCCAGCAGGTGCTAACTTTTAAGTTAAGAGATCGAGGCATGACTAGATCAATATTGTAGCTCTATTTGTCCGATATTTGTCCGATTGGAGGTGAAATTTGATGTTTTTGTGGAAGTATGATGGCTGTGGTCTGTCTCCTATCGCAGATATTTTGATTGTGCCACCGCATGGCTAGTTGCATGGGGTGACCGCAAACCGGCACGTAATTACGTGTTTTTCTGGTTTGCGGCAGGGGGTGTTAATACACACATAACATGTGGGACCGTGTATGATGGTATGTGTGCTGATGTGTGTACCCCCTATGACCCGATAGTTTCTAGTAGTACGTACCCCCGTATGGGATGATCAATTTACCGTAGCAACAGATAAACATGAGAATTTGGGTTACCCGTAGTAATTTGGTACATGCTTTCATCGTGACGTAGCGCATAAAGCTTTGTGACGTACGCGTGCCGCAAACCGGTACTGCGTGCCCGCAAACCGGGGAACTCGAAGCATTTCGAAACATGGTCAATGCTGACCACGCTGTGGGTCAGTTTGGTTATTTGTGACTTCTATTTAATAAGTAAGTATATGGACTCTTTATTGAGGGTATTGAAGTATTCTGTGAGTATTCCAATAAAAATAGAATCGGCAGTTCCCGCCGATCGGCCGCAGACCGGAGCCACTACTCTATACAGTGCGTCCCAGAAAAAACGAAACCGAGAATTATCGATGTTTTATCATAACTTAATCACAATTATAATTGATAAATGACACATGTTTGGAAAGCTTAGATCTTCCTCTTTTATTTGATGCAACTCATATAGTGCATATTTCACGCATGAGTGATTCAAATCAATTTGAAGAGAGGAAACAAAAAAGTGATTTGGCGGACGGTATCTGAATTTCAAGGAGAAAATCACATTTCTAGAAAGTTGAGTTTCTGCCCTTTCATACGACACCTCAATCAGGAAAAATGAGCAAGGAATGACAAAGTTCAATTTGTTTAAAATAGTGCTTGCATTTCCATAATTTTATCAAACAAATTCGTTTTCACTGGCTGCCTGCCGTAGCAGCAAACAGAGTTGACAAAAGTCAAAAGACTTAACTCCGTTTCGTTGACAATCAGCTGTAGATGAAAGACTTCATGCATGGCTGATTGTCAACGAAACGTACCATCATTAAATGGTTCATGTCGCAAATGTTTCCGCTTTTGCGTGTTCAGTATATGGGAGGAAAGATGATGCAAGTTCATGACGTCCGTGGTGGCGGCCGCGCCGAGGGGCTGGGTAGTGAAGCGTCGAGCCCCGGAGGAGTCACAGCAGGCACCGGTACCGGTACCGTACTGCCACCGGCTCGTATGCACAATAAACAAACACTGCACTAGATCTATAGTATAGTAGTACAAAGACAACTCAGTCAAAACGTAATTTTTTACACATACCAGTGACTACGATGGTTTTCTTCTTATCTCGCATCTTCAAAAAATAGTTCCTTCCACGAATAGATATGAAATTTAATGCGATTGATTCCCAGTTGACAGCTTTTTATTCTTGAAGTTCGACCAAATAATCTCTGCTCAGCTGACAGAACAAGGGAGGAATGACCTTATTTGCCCTGGCCTGATTTTGCACCTATATGGAACACCAACTGTAGAGTAATAGTAAACAATCATTATTTCGATCATTATTCGATTGTTTTATTTATATTAGTTTTATTTTTATTATCTTTAACAGTCAATGTATATAGATATGATACTTAACCATTAGTCTAATGTGTAAAAACAGAGTAGGCCTAAGATAGGGATGGGGAGAAAAATTATTAGCACGTCATGCAAAAAATATATAGTTTTTTTTCCCCTCTTTTTTAAATTATTAAAATCCTTTATGAGTTCCACCGGTCCTTCCAGGCTCTCTCAAAAGGATTGGGTATATGGGGAGTCGGGAGTGAGGGGGGGGGGGGGGGGGGGCGAACATTCGTTACTTGTTGGGGCAGTGCCTGACGGGCGTTTAAAAAAAATAAATAATAATAATCTCTTCATTCATAATGATACAGAAGCGAATTGCGAAAAAGCGCAACGAGCGAACAGAAGTTCGGGTTATTTGACAATAGTTTTGAAGGTAAACAATTATGTGTATAGGTATAATCGAATATTTTTTATGTTTGAAGATACTTAGATTTTTAGTAAATTCATTATGAATAATGCATATGTTTAAGTCCCAGTTGCTCTGTCTTTGGTATAAGATACCGCTCCTCAGGCGCGTACGCAGGATTTTTTCAAGGGGGGGGGGGGGGTTTTAACATTTATAAATCGGTCCGAAAATTTCGCAACGACTCAGCCAGCCGCTGAATAAGCGGGGGGGGGGGGGGGGGGGTAAGAGGACACATTTTTTTTTTTTTTTGGTCCCAAAAAAATCGCAACGACTCAGCCGACCGCTGAATAAGCGGGGGGGGGGGGGGGGGGGGGGGGGGGGGGTAAGAGGACACTTTGTTTTTTGTTTTTTTGGTCTCGAAATTTGGAAATTTGACATTTTGCTCCGTTGGGGGGGGGGTAAGGTCACCTTTTTTAGGTCGGCCATGGGAATAATTTTTTTTTTTTTTTTTTTTTTTTTAATAATTAAAAAAAAAAAAAAAAAAAAAAAAAAAAAAAAAAAATCCAAAAGGGGGGGGGGGGGGGGGGGGGGGGGTTTACACACAAAAAATTTCCAAAGGGGGGGGGGTTTAACCCCAAACCCCCCCCCCCCCCCCCCCCCCCTGCGTACGCGCCTGCCGCTCCTTAAGATCACCTTTATTTACGTATTGGCCTTCAAAACCTCAGTTGAACGTAATTGTTTGCGAGGTCGCATTGACGTTCAGAATATCAATATTTAAAACAAAATATTAAGAGAAATTTGATGTTTGATTTCAATGAGGTAGTTTATCAAATGTTATTAAGGCGCTCACTTGAGAGTCTTTACTTTGCCTTAATTCCCAGTTCTAACTTTTGGCATAGCTAATAGTGCTTTTCAATTTATTGCCTTTTATTCACGAAAGGCCCTGCTCTTCCATCATTCTTTGATAATGGTTTTTGATTATTTCCTACCCCCCCCCCCCCCCCCCCCCCCCGGTCACAGCCTATATCTTCATGCAAATAACGGATGCAAGAAAAGGGGAGTGAAAGGAGAAACACCGAAAGCACGGAAGAAAGAAGGAAAAAGAGAAAAGTAAGAAAAGTAAGAAAAGTAAGAAAAGTAAGAAAAGTAAAAGAAGAAAGAAAAGTAAAAGAAGAAAGGATAAGAAAGGAAACAAAAAGAGAGATACATGTAGAAAAAGAAAAAAAAATGAACGAAAGAGAGACTGAGAGAGCGACGGAGAGAAAAGAGAGAGAAAGGAAAAGAGAGAGAGAGAGGGGGAGGTAGACAGGGAGAAATAATGAGAGAGAGAGAGAGACGGAGAGAGAGAGAGGGGGTCGGTCAAGGGGTGACGGGGTAACTTACAAAGTGGGGGGCACTAACAAAAAGGGGCATTTCTGGAGAGAAAAAGGGACACCTACAAATTGATAAGTGAAAATATGCAATTTTTAGACATTGTTATATACCCCTATACATTGTGATTACATGATAAGGGATGATTTCAATGTTTGTTTATCTCTTTAAACATGTTCCAGGATACTACTTAAGCATCAAACATTGCTGTTTGGTGCGATGGTTTTACAATGAAGATTAATGTGCCAGCGAACAGGGTGAGCAACATTTTTAAGATTCGTGAGGACACAGTGCGATAAAATACATCAAATAAAGGGGGGAAAAGAACTCAGTCCTAATGGGGTTTTAAGCACAATCTAATCATGCTAGACTGAAAAGATAAGAAATATTATTATATCAACTTTAAGTGCGAGCGAGCAGAGTGAGTGAGTTTGGGTGAAATTAAAGGAAAAGTTGCTCTTAGTCGCTTTAAATTATGAGCACATTCAATTAATGATGAAAGGAAAAAAAGGGTATACGAATCCAAAGAGGAAATTATTATAAGAACCAAAAAGAGCATGTGTTAAAGTAAAAAGTGGAATTATTAGAGGTGAAAATGGGGCACTTCTCCTACCTGAAAAAGGGCACTCACCAGAGATTAAAAACTTATAGGCCTACTAGAATAAAAAGGAGGCATACAGGAGGAGGCCTAAGTTGAACAATAATGACAAAAACTGCAACGATAACATTCAATGGCAACTTGCAATTATATCACTGACACCAAATTCAAAGAAAACAACATCGGGTAGGATCGATGAAGATGAAGATGTTTGAACAGTTTAAATAATATGTTCCTCTCATATTCTTGTTCATTGTTTTATCTACGTTCCTACATGGACCTCTGCTCTTGCAGCTGAGTCTGGAATAAAGTCTTGAATTGAATTGATAACAAGAACAACATAATAGTCTACAAGAACATATAACGATCCACAAAAAGCTAATAATGATTAAGAAAAGCGAATTAGACGATGACAGACGTACCACTGCGTAAATACTATTTTCGTAAACGAAAATAAACAATGGGAGGAGCCAAGAGGAAGGGATGGGAGGGGTCATTGGTATGGCCTTGGGGGAATCCACATCAATCTCCACTCAATGTGGGATGGTGACTCTATTCGATAGTATGGAACGCTGTCAGTGCTGTGGTATTATTTTCGCTAGAAAAAGCGATAAGAAATTAGTGTGTATTTTTTTAATCAATCCAATAAATGTCTTGATAATTAATCGTGAAGAATTATCGTACAAACAATTATTATGATTTTGACAAAAATAGAAATTCTCATAGGCTTGTAGCTTTTTCTTCTAACAAAAAACAGCTTCAGTCCGAGCGCGCGCCACCTCTCGACAGAGAGACGCCAATCGTTCAAATCCGAATCATCGATTTAGCTTGGAAATTATGAGGAAGAAGGTGTCTAAATTTGCCCATAAGAGAGGTTAAAAGCTATGTTATGGTGACATGTACGAATCAATGGTAAGTTCTGAATAATATGAAGAAGATATTATGAATAATAGTCTACAGAATTCTTGAGAAAACTAAGGCATAATCATATGATATTGCTCATCTCGAATCCTCGATAAAAAATGTAGTGACTGATGCCGATGGCATCGGTGACCGGTGATGCACGACCGCGACCGGTAGCGGGATGATGAGTCTCCCCAAGGCCAAGATTCTGCGGAGTGTTGACCAGTGACTAAGGACAAGCACTTCGATAGTGTTACGTCTTGTGAATTTGTTTCTGGCATCCTTTTATTTGTTAAGGTAATGTACATGGTGTGATGTAGAATGATAATAATCTATTTAATTTGTTTCATTTTTGTATTGACGGCTGATTGTCGTGGTTTACTTAGTTTAGGAAACCACTTGACACTTGTTCTGCTCGTTTTGGCGTTTGCTTTTGTTTGTAAATTGTATTTGTAGTTTGTAATTGTACACACGCCCTTGTCCTCAGTCATGGTCGAGGTCCTAGGCTTGTGTTTCGATTCTATGACTGTTAATGGGGTTAAAAATAAGAATGCGTGTGTCAAAATAAAGCACTAGGGTAGCGCGCCCAGTATTCGGTCGATTCCCAGTATTCGGTCAGACAGCCGTTTCAACAGCTGTAACAATTTAAAAAATAATTTATGAGCCACGAAACTTGCACAAATCAGGCAGCTGAACAACTTTTCTTAACTCTCAAAATTAAATCAGATTTAGGGCCCCGGAAAGATCTCCAACTTAGCTCGAAATTGGTCAGTGTCGCACAACTTTCCGCACTTTCGCGTTCTCTTAGCACATGCGCTAACATACATAGCCATATGTAGAAGTCTATTGCGAAACAACTACGTGTGCTGTCACAATGAATTTAGTATGTGTGTGAAGAGAATCACTTCCGTGTTCGCTCCATCGCAGCGAATTTGCAAATGACGCACTTGCCGATGTGCAAGAGGTATTTATACGATACCCTTGCCGTGCGGTATCGCTCAGCCAGTATTCGGTCAACGCATTGACATTCAGTGCTTTATCGCGCAATTGTGTGAAAATAGTGCGCAAATACGCTACGCTCCTTTGCAACGGAGATACCACGCACAAATCGCGTGACCGAATTCTAGTCGGCGCGACCGAATTCTGGGCAGAAAAATGCTCCGTCTTCTTTCGGAAGTCTTTTGCTTATCGTTATTCTATATTTTCAGTGACTATAAAATCCTGTTAGAGGAATAAATTTCTTTTCTTTTGATGGGTAGATTGCCCAATGAAAGAGGTAAGAATTCAAAATATTAGTGGTTTCCCCTTAAGTGACCGAATACTGGGTACTCTACCCTAGACTTTTGTGCTACTCTCTATTGCTTCAGATGTTGAACTAAATCCTGGACCAAGAGCTTTAAAATATCCTTGCCAGATATGTTCTCGAGCAGTTACCTGGAACCAACGTGGGGTTGCTTGCGACGATTGTGATGGGTGGTATCATGTTCAGTGCATGGGCATGACAACACAGGTGTACGAGGCCCTTAATGATCCCAATGTCTCATGGCACTGTGTTAAATGTGGCCTGCCACAGTTCTCAAGCAGTCTTTTTGATCATACTCACCTTGAAACGTCCAACACCTTTGAAACGCTGGATCTCTCAACTGACAACACCACCGGCTATAGTGGTAGTGATGCCGAGCAGGACACTATCAGCAGCTCTTCCTCTTCCACTGCGAGTTTTGGCCCACCACAGCACACTTCCTCACCCACAAAGCGCAGAAAGAAGGGATCCAAGCAAGAACAACAACTTCGTAGCATGAAAGTCCTTAATGTAAACTTCCAGAGTATAAGGAACAAGAAGGAGGAATTGGCTGTTCTTATAGAATCAACAAAACCCAGTATCATCATTGGGACGGAAACCTGGCTCACCAGCTCAATTTTCACCTCAGAGATTTTCCCGCCTAGCTACAGCGTAGTGCGAAAAGACCGCGTGGGTGGTCATGGTGGAGTCCTACTAGCAGTAAGAAGTGACTTAACATATAACACCTTGCAAATACAAGACGAAGGAGAACATGTATACATCAAGTTGTCATTCGGAAAAGATGTAAGCCTGATTGTGGGAGCCCTGTATCGCCCTCCCAACAGCGACATGCAATACATGGATAAGATCTGTTCTACGATCGAAGAACTCTCTGTCCAGAACAGAAAGGCAGTCTTGTGGATAGGTGGTGACTTCAACTTACCAGACATTAATTGGGAAGACTTAAGTGTTGGTGGTCACAGTAACCCAGCTTCTATCAACAATCGATTCCTAGACATGATCCAGAACTGCAACTTACAACAGATGGTTACCTTTCCAACACGAGGAGATAATGTACTTGATCTCTTCTTAACCAACAGACCAACGCTGATCAACAAATGTTCTCTACTACCTGGTCTTGGTGATCATGACATTGTTGGTGTTGATTCAGATGTAACAGCGAAAAGGAGTAAGCCGGTGAAAAGAAAAATCTACCTATGGAAGAAAGCCAATCTGCTGGGAATGAAACAGGACTGCCGTCAGTTTCAGCAAGAGTTCGTGCACAAATATACCGAACAGAGCTCAGTTCATGAGATGTGGAACTGTTTCAAGATCAGCCTGCTAAACATGATGGACAGCCACGTACCAGCGAAAATGACATCCACTCGCTTTAGTCAGCCATGGGTCACAAGGTCGGTGAAACGGTCATCAAGGAGGAAAAAGCGGGCCTTCAATCATGCCTTAGCGACTGACAGACAGGAGGATTTCAACAGATACCGTGAGATCAAGAAATCAACTCAAGCAGCCTGCAAACAAGCTTACAGTGAATACATCAACAACATCATCAGCCCTGACTCCAAGGCAAACCCAAGCGATTCTGGAGTTTCATTAACAGTAAGAGGAACGACCGTACTGGAGTAGCCCCACTGAAAGACACCAATGGGATTACACAATCAGGCAGCAAGGAAAAGGCCAACATGCTGAATCACCAGTTTGCATCAGTGTTTAACAGGAATGAGGACATGTCAACCATGAAGGATAAAGGACCAAGTCCATTTCCAGACATGGATGACATCCAGATCTCACCAGCTGGTGTCTACAAACTGCTTTCGTCTCTCCAGGTACATAAAGCTACTGGACCAGACAAACTGCCTGCACAACTACTGAAGACGCTGTCATTGGAAATAACTCCAGTGTTGACTATGCTTTTCCAAGCTTCGCTGAATCAAGGAGACGTCCCAGAGGACTGGAAGAAGGCAGACGTAGTTCCCATCTTTAAGAAGGGAGAGCGGTGCCAAGCAGTCAACTACAGGCCAGTGTCACTGACATCTATTATCTGCAAGACACTGGAACACATCGTATGTAGCAGTATCCTTGAGCACCTTGATGACTTTAACATTCTGTCAGATGCTCAACATGGATTCCGGAAGAGACGGTCTTGCACATCCCAACTTCTCCTCACTATTCAAGATCTTTCCAGTGGAATTGACTCGAGAGACCAGATAGATGTAATCCTGTTGGACCTATCAAAGGCTTTTGATAAGGTTCCGCATGGAAGACTCCTACATAAGATCCACTACTATGGAATCCGAGGTAGTACCCATAACTGGGTTGAGGAATTCCTTGCAAGACGCTCACAGAGGGTATTGCTTGATGGATGCACGTCTCACACCTCTCCCGTCCTGTCGGGCGTTCCCCAAGGCAGTGTAGTCGGGCCTCTTCTCTTCCTGCTGTTCATCAATGATCTTCCTGACTGCATATCAGCGAAGTCTACAGTGAAATTGTTTGCAGATGACTGCATATTGTACAGGAAGGTGTCAAGTGCAGATGATGCTGAATGCCTGCAGAAGGACTTAGATGCACTCCAGGAATGGGAAGCAGACTGGCTAATGCAATTCCACCCTCAAAAATGCCAGGTTATGCATGTCTCTAGTAAAAGGCAGACATCCAAAGCCTCCTTTCCTTACTTCATCCATGGAGAGCAGCTACATGTAACAGAAACTGCAAAGTACTTGGGGGTCCACATCCAGAGCAACCTGAAATGGAATCACCATGTAAACGTCACCACCAAAAAAGCCAACTCTGTACGGTGCTTTCTGCAAAGAAACATGGGGGCCTGCCCACAGAAGACCAAGGAGTTGCTGTGCAAGACATTAGTACGCCCTGTGATGGAGTATGCTGCAATAGTGTGGGACCCGTCCACCCAGGAGAACATCAGAAAGGTGGAAATGGTGCAACGTCGTTGTGCACGCTTCGTCCTGGGTGACTATCGGCGCAGAAGCAGCGTCTCAGCCATGCTGAATCAACTTAAATGGGTAAGTCTGCAGGAAAGAAGGGCTCAGCAGAAAGTAGGCATGGTTTACAGCATACTCCATGGCCTGGTTGATCTTCCAGTCACCTACTTCATACCCGTTGTTGGTCCCAGCACCCGTGGAAATCCACAGAAATTCCATGTCCCCTTTGCCCGAACTCTGCTATTCCAAACCACATTCTACCCAGATACTATCCGACTGTGGAACTCCTTACCATCTGCTGTCGTCGATTGCACCTCTTTGGAACTTTTCAAGCAGAAGGTGCAACACATCAAGCTCCGTTGAGCTTCAGACTGTTTTTTAGCTGCACATAGAATTCTTGTAGAACCTTTTTACTTGCACTGTACACTCGGCACTTGACAAACACAAGGTACGATAATACGCCAACGGCGGACTGTACTATACTGGAAGAAGAAGAAGAAGAAGAAGAAAGCTTCAGTCTCTATACCGTCGGTTGTTCCACTGAGACTACGTCTGGCTCCACTAGACCTCCGGTTATAGAGACAGAACGACTGCCTATGCCAGCCTGTGTTGAACTTATTCCGCTAGATTTTAGCCGCTAGGCCCCTCCCACAAACTTGCCACGGCCGTATTGTTATGCCCCCAAAATCCCCAAAATGTCATTTTACCTCGTCCATATCCAATTTTAAATTAGGCCTAGGCTATAATACATCGGTTCCACTTACTAATTTGATGGAAATAATCCGTTTAATGGTCCCTTTTAAGGAAATTATGGGTCAAAATCGACATCCATGTTGAAAATCTTGCAAGCCGTGTTAAACTCTCGTTGCCGTCAATCTCATCCCTTCTAGTCTACGCCGAAGGCAAAATGATTATGAAGGAAAAAACTGTGATAACGCCATTACGAGCGTGTAGATGGCGCACAGTTTTTCCTTCATTATCATTTTGCCTTCGGCGTAGACTAGAAGGGATGAGATTGACGGCAGCGAGAGTTTAACGGACGGCTTGCAAGATTTTCAACATGGATGTCGATTTTGACCCATAATTTCCTTAAAAGGGACCATTAAACGGATTATTTCCATCAAATTAGTAAGTGGAACCGATGTATTATAGCCTAGGCCTAATTTAAAATTGGATATGGACGAGGTAAAATGACATTTTGGGGGATTTTGGGGGCATAACAATACGGCCGTGGCAAGTTTGTGGGAGGGGCCTAGCGGCTAAAATCTAGCGGAATAAGTTCAACACAGGCTGGCATAGGCAGTCGTTCAGTCTCTATAACCGGAGGTCTAGTGGAGCCAGACGTAGTCTCAGTGGAACAACCGACGATTATAGAGACTGAAGCTTTCGGTCTACCCTAGACTATGCTGTGGTTGTAATGTTTATGAGCTGAAGTTATGCAGCACTCCCAATTTGAACATAACTTATGTGCTCATTGTTAAACAGCTATGCACATTCATTAAGAAGCAACCATGCAACCAACACAGTACTCTTGGTACACAGAGTGTGTGATGTATTTAATGAATAATTAGCCGTGCACACATTCAACCCTCGTACACTGCCTTATGTACTGTACATGTGAGAGTGGTAAGTTGCACTTGACCACTAGCATGCACAGCATAAGCATGATGTTTTAGCTACACCAATAAACTTCTGAACCTCAAGCAAAAATATGTGGAGCTTTATTACTTTCTGGACCCACCTACATTTAGTAAATTACTAACCAAGAAGTCAACATAACAAACTCACTATTTTTGACAGTGGTGGTGCGGAGCAAATGGTGGTTTCCTATTTCAAGATAGTCTAATGCCAATTGATGTCATTTGTCTTGCTCAAAACCGTCATAAATCTAACTTCATGGACATCCCATTGAAATGTGTGTTGTAGAATAAACAAATGTTTCTATGGGATGTCCACGTCCACGAACTTAGACTTATGACGGTTTCGAGTAACGGGCCCCTGGTCGTGTGGATATTAACTATATTTCGCCCAAAATTTCTTTCTATTCATTTGGAACAGATAAAATAACTGCATGGTTCGAAAGCCAGGCAAGGCAAGTTGATGAGCATCATGACAGCAAATCTACCGGTCAAGTTGAAATGGATGGAGCACATGAATGCTTCTTGGGTGGCAGAGGACTGGGCCAAGATAGCCAGTCGAGATGGAGTAATGGAACTCTACTCTCGCCTTATCACCAACAAAGAGATCATTGGGGCTCCACGTCACACCCTCCACCTACAGGGTCCACAGCTGCCTGACTTTGAGCGTGAGACACCCTCCACAGAGGAACAGGAGCATTTCCTAGAGCTTCTCCTCGGCACGCAACTGGGCCTCGCAAGGTCTGTCTGCACTGATTCTCCATTCTCTGTGACTCTGAGAAAACGCCTCTTGGTCCTGCGAAGGATTTTTCACTCCGTTTCCAGTAAGTATCATGATTGTGAGAAAGTGAAACAGCAGCAGAAGCTGCAGCAGGCTCAGTCAAGGACAGTTGAAGAGAAATCCTCAGGACAATGGGCTCATTTTGGCACAGACGCCCTGATCGAGATGGGAGTCAGGACCAGCCTTACTCTTCTCTTTGCGCTTCTACGTCAGAACTGGATGCAACCACCTGCAACGGGGGCACCGCACCTTTGCAACGACGTGCTGCATACGGCGAAAGATGTCGTCATCTCGCTACCGCCACTCTCGCTCGCCAACGAGAGCAAGATACCCCCGCTTGGCACCGAATGCCTGAAGCAGGTGACCTCGTTCCTGAAGTCTGTCACTATGCCGACGTCCGGTGCGGACCTGATGGGGAAGAGGGTGGCCTGTGAGCTGGTCTTGGGACTGGCCAGTCAGAGGGGGTCTTTACAGCACCTCTTGGACTGGGTGGAGATGGCTGTGGGAGCATCGACTGCAGCAGCCACTCAGGGTCTGATGCAAGGGCAAGATGGCCCAGAGCAGAACAGCTGCATCTCATATGACTACTTCATGTCAGTACTAGGGCAGATGAGGAAGGCCACTGTGAGTGAAACCTTCTTTCTAAGTCACATAATGTTTTTTCTTATCTTACATGTAAATATATTTGTTGTGCACAACAATTTTTGTCTCACTATAATGAACTTGAATGAATGACTGCCAATACCTACATGTACATGTGTGTACATCTACTTTGAATAAAAAAGTATTGTAGTTAACTTGTGGATATTTTTGTAACACTAGGTTTTAAAGAAGAGATTGAAACCTTGAGCACCTTGTCTGGTGGCAATGTGCACTATAAAAATATCAAATTTTATCATTATTAGTAGTATTATTTATGGTATGGTTTGAACAGTGAAGTTATAGTGCACTTAGTTCCATTGTAGTGAACTTCTAAGTGGGAATATATTGTCAGAATAAGAAAGATGAATTAAGTCTTGATTTGGTACTCTGCCCTTTCTATGCCTTCGCAGGGGTCATCGGCTGAGAGGGGGTCTGTACTATCTGAAATGCAGAGCACTCAAGGATTATGTCCTCTCTATCAAGCAGCTCTTTGTCTTATTGAAGAGGTGAGTACAGAAAGTCATGTTCAGGTTCAGTCCTATTTATATTCAGGTTCAGTCCTCTACGTTTTACAGCGCATGCTCTGAGGGCAATTGCTCTGTTTGAACTTTCCTACACTAAATTCCTAACTTTAACCCTGGGTCAAATATTAACCCTAACCTTACCATGAGCCTTAACCTAATTTTCAACCCAATTGCAACCCTCAAGGTTTGATCAGATCTGCAATGGAAAACTGCATCTTAAAAAATTGCCTTAAAAAATAATACTTTTACTTGTAAACAAATTGCGACTGCATGAAACACTAAGATCTGTGTTAGAAGGTACAGAAATTTGAGGAAGCATATTACACTTACATGTACGTCAAAGAGTCAAAATGCTCAGTCTAACCGCATTGTATCTGAACACGGCTTTACGCTTTCTTCTCATAAGAAAATAAACTTCAAGTGTCAATTCCGATCCTCCGTAGGTGGCAAGACTGGCTTCGGAGTACGCACGGACCTGCATCAGTCCCGACGACAAGAAACCCAACAGCCTTGTGGTGTCTGAGAACAGCGAGGTGTTTGTTTGGGGTAGTAACAGCAGCCACCAGCTTGCAGAGGGTAGCCAAGAGAAGATCCTGCTACCCAAGATGGCTATCTCGTTTGCAGAAAGTCAGCAGGTGAGATTATCTCAGTATGAATCTTTGTCCTGCTTTTTTGATTATATTTCAGCTTTGGTGCAGTATCCAAAGCTCGTAGAAATTGACATGTATCTTTGCATTTTTATAGAATAGACTGGTTTACTTACATATTCAAATGTTATGCATACTGTTTGCATTCTTGACAAGTCTTGCCGGAGACTTGCCCGACACAGCAACAATAATGTACGCTGCCTGGATTCCAAGTATTGTAGTTCATTCCTTAATAACGGCTTAATGTAATACCTTGTCACTAGGAAAGAAACATCCATAAATTTGAATATGTTTGTAAACTGGTCTATTAATTGCTGTTTTGTATTAAGAAGTAAAAATCCTGACTTCATGTTGGGTTCTTGGTAGTGCTGTAGCCCGGAAGGCTTACCGGGTTCTAACCCGCCGGGTTGAGCGTCTCGGGCCGGACCTTTTCCGAGCCGAACTTTAGCCAGAATTGGGTCAACTCGGTAACACAACCCGGCAGTAAAAAAAAAAGTTTTTAAATAGCTAATTCTTCGTTATCTACTTATCTTTCATCATGATAAAACCGTCAACTTAACTGTAAAATGTAAACAACCACAGCATGTGTACGATTGCCGTGAAGATGCTAGGTGAATGCATATACACTGCAGTGACTGCACACACATAATAGCTAGCCCATCACAATGCAGTGTATTGCTAATGTGTTCTTAAAGAAATCTGTGTGTGCATGTGTTTTAGCATTGAATGTGTTTCTCCGTAAGCAAGAGTGGGCGGGAAGTGAAGCCAGCATAAATTAAACTTGTCAGTGACCGCTGGCACAGTACTGACGAATCAGTAAAATTATGAAGTGTGTTGACCTGTGTGTAGGCAAGTGCTGAGCTGTGAGACAGTGAGAGGTGTGCATGTGAAAGTTTGCTTTATGTGACTGATCAGACCAATCAGAAACTTTCCTTGTGAGTGGGCGGAGAGTGAAGCCAGCATAAATTAAACTTGTCAGTGACCGCTGGCACAGTACTGACAAATCATAAATTATGAAGTTTGTCGACCTGTACTGTGTAGGCAAATTCACATATTGTGCATGCTGAGCTGTGAGATCGAGAGTACGTGTGCATGTGAAAGTTTGCTTATTCTCCTTGCCCCCAGTTGTCTCTCTGTCTGTCTCCCATTTTCGAGCGACTGGTACATTTAACTCATTCTCTTCCTTCCATCTTTGGTCTCTCTCTTCTTTCTATTTTTCTATTCTATTTAATCATCTTTCGAATATTTGTAAAACCTATTATCCCCCTCAAATCTTGCCTTTAACAAATTTTGATCTTCTTTCTTTAAAAAGTAGTTTTCGCATGTTTTTTAAATCTTTCTCAAGTTTCTTTCATTTTGTTTCTCGATCCCTCCCAACATTCATTCATTCACATCTCTTTATCTCTTTCACTATCGACTTTCACTCATTCTCAGTTCCCCCAAAGCATGCCGTGCCGTAGAATTATTTTTAAAAGGCAGAGATATTCATATTCCCTATCAAAATCAAAGCAGTATTTTTAACTATTGTGTTTACAAATGGCAAGGATTGGTGCATGCATGCCAGACAACTGGCGCCCGGCGTGGTGTAATATTACACGTGGGTTCTCAGAACAGGGTGCGCGGCCTTTGTTTGTTATCGGTTACCAGGCGACCAGCACATAACAAATTGATGTAAATTTCAGTTTCATGTGTAGCATGGGCGCTGCATGTCATGCTTGTTTTTAATTGACAGACAAACGGACCAATCATAGTAAAGAATGTGGGATGGGTGCTCTGACAGGGAGTGTACTTCTGTATTTTGAGAAGTGGTGATGCCTAGCCTTTTAGGGAGTGGTCTAGAAGTCCCAGGTCAACATGCTTAAAGCATGTTGACCTGGGACTTATTATAACTGTCTTGAATCATGGCTGGTAGACAGCAGGATTACAAATGTTGCGGTGTTATTAAGGACAAGGTCAGTAGACAGTAGGTCACACAAGATGTGTTGTAGAGTAGACTTGTAGTAAAAGTCAATATTATTTCCGGGTTACCGGACCTTTCCGGGTCCCGTTAAGAAATTTGGAAAATTGCCGGGTCGGGCCGGGTCCGGGTTTTGGGTTCCGAGCTACAGCACTAGTTCTTGGTACAGTTCTTGGATTTCTGGTGATGCAAGCTAGGGCTGATTTGACCACTGTATTCAAGAAATGGATGATTTTTCAGTGAGAGTGTTTCATTGTTCAACACTTCAGTACCAGATTCACTACAATTTAAATGTACAAGGGTCAGCAAACAAGATTATTTTAAGTGGTATGTGTTGTATAAATAGGATGTCCATGTGTTATCTATTGTCTGGATTTCATCTACTCCGGTAGTGTTTGTTTCTTAAAATTAAGTCAAGCAAACAGCCATGATTCCATGGTTAAAAAATAAAAATGTCTTCCGATTATATCAGAATACGGATCAATTTATGATCAGATCAATAATTAATACAGCTGAAATTCAGAAACACAAGTATTCTCAACACTTTTCTCCTCCAATGTTCTCAACTCTCCAGATTGAAGCTGGACAGTACTGCACATTTGTGATTTCCTCCGATGGCTCTGTGAGAGCGTGCGGGAAGGGTAGCTACGGCAGGCTAGGTCTAGGTGACTCCAACAACCAGACGCAGCTCAAGAAACTCAACTTTGATAACAGTATCATCACAAGAATATCTTCATCAAAGGTGAGTTGATCGGAGTTACTGTGCATTTTATCGCTGGGCCTTTGAATGAGGTGCCAGGTGCCTGTTTAACCCTCCAAACGGCATCCCTAGGCTGATGGAAGTGGATCAGACCACTAGGGAATGACTGCTCCCCCAATACTTAAGAAATTTAAAAGTTTTTGTTCTCGACATGCGCGAGAAGTAGAAGAAGATTAGATAAAAAGCGCATAAAACAAGAAATAAACATGAAATTAAATTTGACTAATATGCGAATCCACACAATTAAATACATAATTTTGTTCATTGCACTTCAGGATGAATTATTATACTAGTATTATAATGATATGGAAAGGGATATAGGTATACAGTAAGAACTGGAGCAGGGCATTCTAACTTCATTGTCATCGTACTGTATTTGTACATTAACTGATGTACTGTGTATATGGATGCTCATTTCTTGTACTGTGAAAGTCATCATTTCCACCAAGGTAGGTAGGTAAAAAAACCACACCAGCAAGCAAAATTGAGATTGCAATGCAATGCATTTGCAAGCACATGTTCTATAAAGTAGCCTTTGTTTATTATTGCGCAATAACATCTTGCGAAAATGCAAGTGCATTTTTTTGTCATCAACGATAGCATCATATGCAAAATATGTAATAAGTTTATATTCTGGACTGAATTTAAAAAACCATATCTTCTGAAATGTTGACATGATTTGTCTTTGACCTTCTCTCAGGGGTCAGATGGTCACACCCTCGCCCTGACCTCCGAAGGTCAGGTGTTCAGCTGGGGAGACGGCGACTACGGCAAGCTCGGGCACGGCAACACGCTGACCCAGAAGTATCCAAAGGTCATCCTGGGGGTGCTAATGGGGAAGGTGGTGGTGTGTATCTCGGCTGGATACAGGCACAGTGCGTGCGTGACGGACGACGGTCAGCTCTACACGTGGGGTGAAGGGGACTATGGAAGATTAGGTAATTCAGTCTGCTTCATTCTCATTATTCAAAATTGTTTAAGAACATCATGAAGGTAGTCTCAATCATCTCTAAGGGAATTTCTCCCATTATTGCTTGGTGATATTTACATGTACAGTATATTATATCTAAGGTCATTATATCAAAAATGCTGTTTATGATTTTCCTCTGGTTAACACCAAGCTTATTGAGCTGAATGTTTTTGTGTGATTAAAATATAACGCAGTTCTATATTCCCAAGATTTCCAGGAATAAGGGATCTATTGCAAAATGATATTCAAATCCAGATGAAAGTCATTATGATCTTTAAAATGACAATCTTTCATTAAAAATTCACTAAAATATCTGTATGAAGTAAATAGTGAAAAATATCTAACATTTAATGAAATTGTGATTTTTTTGAAAGGTGTAACGTTCATAATTTCATATTTTTTTTAAGCTACATGTACTTTATTGTAAATTTTTTTAAAACAAAGACAACAGGTCCATGCTAATGACACAACTGTTTTTGTTTTTTTATTGCCAGGGCACGGTGACAGCAACAGTCGGAACGTCCCCACCCTTGTGAAAGACGTGAGCAACGTAGGAAAGGTTGTGTGTGGCAGCTCCCACACCATCGCCGTGTCGCAAGACAGCAGGACGGTCTGGTCCTTTGGTGGTGGTGACAATGGTAAGCTTTAAAAAAATAAAAAATTGCAAAACTCTCAGTCTTTTTAAAATTAAATATAAACAATTTCTGTTAAATAAGTATAATAGTCAGTATCAATAGCATGGGCAAGTTGACACTTTTTTTTTTTACTCTGATTGTACATGACATTATGTTTCACTGTTTAGTTTTTGTTCTGTTCTTTTGTTCTTGTTTCTGTTTTTTCCTGTATGTGTGTGTTTTAGTTTAGGGGTAGGCTTTCATATAAGGAATCCCTCCTTTCTTCCTATCCCTAATGCTCTCATAAATTGCCATTGTTATTTGTTATCACTATCTTGTTTTTTTTAACATTCCGTTCTGTATTTATGTTCTGTTTTTATGAAGAGTGTTGAATAATATTAGAATTGAATTGAAAAAGCTTGCATCTCAATAATAGATTGAGAAGGATTATATTGGCTTATTGGATAGTGTGATGGTATACCAGCGAATATATAAAGACACCATGTATTTCGTTCGCCTGCCACTCTGATAAGGCTGTAATCCAGGATTATGTCAAAGGAATGGGAACATTTAAACACTCTCTCGTACAAGCCCCAACCTCCCTAATAAAAACAAGTATCAACGAACCTACCAACCAACCAACCAACTACATGTATCCATCTTTCCAAATTTAAAAACAAACGAAAGAAAACGTTGCTGTAGATTCTAATTTACTTTCAAGATTCTGACAAGCAGTATTTTAAGTCAACTAACTTTGAATAATGTAATATGATGTACAGTATATCCTGTTCTATTAAAACGCACAGTTTACCACTACATACATGTACATGTGAGGCAATTTTTTGTCTAAAATAAAGCCGCGCAATATTTCTAAACATGTAGAGGAGGCCTGAGTGTCATGTCTGCTACCGTCCTATTACACTTGTTCAAACTCGCATCTTCTCTCTGTCAGCACCATATTTGTATCACTGTACACACAATGTTTAAGGAACCTATTGATGTAGGGGCTCCTTAATCCCCAAAGAATAAACCTTTGTAGTTTTAATCCTCAGAATAGCCCACAAAGTCTTTGGGCGAATGCCTCTAAATTCATTTGTCCTCAATGTTTTGAACTTTTAATCTGATAAAAAGAAGGAAGTTTCAACAATGTACACATTTTCAACTCTTGTGGAAGACACACAAGCTCTCCGTTCACTCTTCATCCGTTTGTTCCCTCCCTCTCTGAAGGTAAACTTGGCCATGGAGACACCAACAGAATCTACAAGCCCAAGATAATAGAGTCGTTGATTGGTCTGTTCATTAAGAAGGTTGGGTGTGGTAGTCAGTCTTCACTAGCTCTCACCTCAACAGGACAGGTGAGATTTATATTCTACAAGTATCAAAGGCTCAAAAAAAAAAAATCTTCATTGGTAATGGTAATGTAGTTGACATTTTTTAATAATGATTGAATTGAATGGTTTATTTTTTGTTTAAAGTGAAAATAGCCCCCTGATAGCTGAATTACCTTCAGTTTACAATAAAAGCACATGAAATACATAGCAATGTTAAAATAATTGTTACATGTACATAAAGCTCACAAGAAAACATTCAAAGTTAGAATTATTAAGATATATTGTTACAAAAATTCAGTATAACCAACACTATTTTACAAAATTAACCTGTATACCCGTGATAATGATATTTACAAAACCAAAAAACTGAAAGTTAAGATGACAGCCCACCCTTTGTATAAATATTTGTTCCATTTCACAAACCGTTAAAGCATTTTGTTTAAAGGAAAACATGTATTACAGCTAAAAGTGGCAAGTGTCGACACAAAGTTAACTGTTCAAGTGATCAGAATTTATGAAGCATCATTTTTGGTTGAACTATGCATTTTGTCACCTTTCCATTTGTTACTAGGTGTATGCATGGGGCCATGGGGCGTGCCTTGGCTGTGGTTCTTCGGAAGCAATTTCGCTGAGACCCAAACTTGTAGAGGACCTGCAGTTCACAAGGATTGTGGATATTGCGTGTGGGGACAGCCATTGCTTAGCACTCACCCATGGTAATTTGATTTTGACAGCTTTTATTTTTGATAGTATATTTCAGGAAAATGTCTGATTTAGAGTATTAGAACTATTTCCTTTCCTTCCAGAGGGTTGTCATTGTTAATGGTTTCTTTGTGTTTTACAAAGATCATAGTGAGAGAAATGAAGCGATCCACGGCGAGACGGCCCGGTGGCCAAAGCCGCCCCGCCTAGTACCGACTCAGAAAATGTTAAAGTATAACTTTAGTTCTTCAAGTGTAGAAAACGAAGATAAATCAAAGTCACTAAAACAAATTCTTGATTGGAGTTGAAGATTTATTAAAATAAACGTAGAATTAATAAAATCACGAAGTTCATGTTTTGGGGCTGGGCAACCCAATTGAAGCAAATTAGCAACTCATGTCGGAATCGTAACGGAAAAGAGGTCCCGCTCCAGAGACGCAACTCGGTTTTTATCCTCCCGAACTGACACGCCTCGTCCTCCCAAAAATTGAGGCGTGTCACACAGACGCTTTGCGTAATATCAATCCACCCATAATTAGTTTCCGTATTAAAAGGTCCTATATTTCTTGGCGAATTTACCCCCCGGATATAAGGCGCTCCGGATGATCCGCATCTCTATTCCTCACATACTTCTTTCACGCACCCACCTGTGTCTCTTACATTCTAATCTTTCAAGCAAGAGATGCAAATCACCCGGAGACCCAACAACCCTGGAAATTAATTCAATGAATATAAAAAGGGATAAATGTTGCTATGTCCGTCCACACTAGCGAGCCCACATGCTTCTGGCTATTACACACCTGTAATCCTCACTTCCTCTCTCATACTATTTCGATAGTGTGAACAGACCCGGCAACAAGGAAAAACCCTTCCAATTGTAATACAAATCTATTCCCCAAATTTGCCTAATTAAATTTAAGTCAACTGTGGCGACACGCCCAGCGACACCTAATCCAATCGGCCAAGCCGAAAAAGTAGAGCAAAAATTAAGAGCGCAACGTCTCGGAACAGGTGTTAAAAATAGCATACAAGGAATTCACCATGTATGTTTGTAAACATAGTTCTAGCGAAATCTACCAGGAATTTGCCTTGTACATGTACGTCAATGAACCTTTGAGGAAAACGTAAACACGAGAATATCCATATCATTACAGAAACTTCTGGAAAAACTGCTGTGAATGGTACATTACGCCCTATTTAATACTCCATTGTTGATGAGGAACTTATGGGGACTTCAGGAAAAAAAAACAAAGGGCAAATTATTCCTTACAATTGTACCAAATTTTCTTTTGATGTGCAAAACCGTTTAAGTCTTGAAAGATGTTACAGGATTTTGTGTGTTTAGTAAGGATCTCCCCTGATGCCAAAATTACATTGTTGTTAACATTTTGAAGCTGTTTCTTACATAGGAATCATTCTTCAAAATTCCAAGAATGGCACATTGATATGAGAACAGATTGAAAGTTGTTGTACCTTGATCAATCCAGAATGAAGTGTACAGACATGCACTCACATTTTTTCATTCACTTTTCCTGTATAGATAATGAAGTATATGGCTGGGGCAACAACGCTATGGGCCAGTGTGGTCAGGGGCATACCACTAGCCCCATCACAAGGGTCAAGAAAGTGGCCAGTCTGGAAGGAGTGACCATTCACCAGATCTCTGCTGGAACCTCGCACAGTGTGGCCTGGACAGCGCTTCCATCGGACAGGTAGCTGGACTTCACTGAGAATCATCCTGAATATTCATCTTTACGTTTGCCATTGGTCCAATGGGTCTATTTGGAACAACTACAGAATTCTGCTCCACACAAGAAACCCTAACCCTTTGCCTGACCCTTAACCTAAACCTAACCCTTACTCTAAACCTAACCCTTACACTAAACCTAACCTGGACCCTTAAAATTAACCCTTACGCTAGGCCTAACCCTTGCCCTAGTGCATTATACTGATGCTTTATTTAGTATTGTGCAGTTAAACTGTGCAATTAATGGGGGGTGTGAGTCAAAAATATATCTGTATCTAGGTGTGGTAAAATGTTTTCTTTAAAAAATTATTTAAAAAAACATTTGCAAAAATTTGCAAAAACATAAAAATAAGCCTTAGTACAAGACAAATGGAGAGCCTCTTGAAATGGAAATCCAGAATTGTTTATTTGTTGTGTTTTCTTTATGCCAAATTTGAAAGATCCCAACTTTGTTGTCTGTAATTGGACTTTCCTCAGACTCTCACTGATCTGTTTCTCTCATGTTCTCACATTTATTGAAACCCTCTTGATAGCAGGGTGGACTTTCCTGTTTTACCAGCGTGTACAAATAAAATGATTAGAGAGATGTATATGTACATGCTTTTCAATTTTGTTTACTACAGGCAAGTTGTAGCTTGGCATCGTCCATTTTGTGTGGACCTTCAAGAGGGCACTTTCTCTCACCTGCGATCGTTCATAGAGCACTATTGTGAGGGGTTCAACGGAACCCAGCCCCCGCCTCCATTCCCAACTGCCAGGTAAGTGGGATGTTACCGTCCAACCTCACGTCAATAAGAAAGATATATATCAGGCTTTTGTAAAGGTATCTGCAACATATTTTCACAAGATGAAGCATGTCCTAATAGCTATTAGTACTTTTCAGTATATTAATCATCTCTATGTATATCATGTACAGGTAAAAAAAAAGTACATACATCCGTAATGCCTTGTATTGTTGCTCTGGTTGGGTCTTGAGACTGCAAATGTTTTAATGTCACAAGCGAAGGGGGGGGGGGGGGATGTTATTATCATTAAGTATTTGACATTACCTGTGCATGGAAGGCGAAAAGTGACCTGAATCACTATAACCCTCGGGGTCTCTCCTCCCGGTAGAACTGATTGGGGTGGGCAGGATACATGACAAACTTATTATTCCAAGTTAACCTATTTTTCCCCCCACAAAAAACCAAATTTCCATAATTGAAATTCATTAGCTGTTCTATCCTATACACACTGCCATTCTATCTTATCGCAATTTCGCATGAGAAGAGTATTTAATGCAAAGCTTTCTTATTCTGATCTCCTTTCATGACAGAGAGCATCAGCAGTTTGTTCTGCTCTGTCTCAAGCTACTCTGCACCCATCTCCAGCTGGCGTTGGCCGGAGGTCTGACAGCCAGCGTGCTAGGCAACCAGGCTAGGCCGCTGCGCCATCTTCTCTTCCGCCTCATCGATGCCAACACACCAGCATCGATACAGAAGGTTCGTACAGTCAGAAGTGTAAATAAAGACGGGTAAATTTGAGAGGAAAAGGTCACCGTGGTCTTTATAGATGGGCAGGCAGTCTCTTGGTATCTGTTGTTTTCTGTTATTTTCAGTCTGCATTATATACAGTTTCTATCGTCTTAGGAAGGATCTAATTTTCATGCAGTTTGATCGAACTATTTGGTTTCCTTATTCAGGCATTTTCTTAAGAGTAATTTGGCAAAACATGGTTAAAGACCAAGTATTAAGAGAGACAAGAGTTTTACCTCTTAATAATGCGAGGGTTAAATTTGGTACATTAATTAAAATAGTTTGAATCGATTTTTACTATGTGCAGTGACTGACTAGCATATACAGTTGTCAGTTAGTTTTTACCTGGCTGCTAAGAAAGCATATATATTTCTGTAAGTAATCAACTAGGCAACCGATGGCTTTCAGTCCTTTCCGAGAAACTTGGTATTGAGGCTTAACCCTATTTAGCCCGGGCTATTTTGAAACTGCATAGCCCGGGGGGGGGCTTCTCAGGCCCCCCCCTATGATCTCGGCCGTGAAACGCCCGATCGCCGCGAAAATTTGCATACATGTCAAGTGAAGTGTATAGAATACTATGGTAATTTCAATTTTTTTGAAAAATTCACTCATTTGCATATTTATGGTAATTTATGCAAATAAGGTCATTAAATTCACATTTTTGCCCATAAATCAGACATTATTCATATTTAAGCATTCTTTCTCACTACATATATTTGTTAGACCATTTGGAATAATAATACAGCACAAAAATTTGAAAAACCAGGGTTATTCCTTATGTTATCTATTGTTTTGATAATTTCTTATGTATTTCTTTGTTTTTTTAACTTATGTATTGTTGTTTTTGTTGTTTTATTTCATTTCCAACTATAATTCAACTATTTTGACCCCAAAATAAACACCTAAAATCTAAACAAGACCAAATAACCAATGTTTTACCTCTTTATTTGAAAAATGAGATTTCCATATGTTTTGTACACAAATCACAAAAATGAGCGATTTTAGGGCTGACATGCGAAGACAAAAGGACACGTGACTTTTTAATGGTAGGTCCGATTTTCGAAAAATTTCTTTCAAAAGTTGCGCAAGACTCGAAAGAAAAAAGTCACAAAATTTCAGTGCAAGATTTTCTTGCGTTAAAAAATTATCGCGAAAAATGTCGAGGGGGGGGCTTCTCAAGCCCCCCCCGGGCTAAATAGGGTTAATGCCTTACCAAAGGGCATGAGTGCATTGACTTGGTTTTAAACCCGAACCACCAGGTTACGAGAGCACTGATCTACCACTGAGCGATCGCACCACCTCCTAACCGATGCGAGGGTATCACTTTGTTCATTTTTTAGACTAGTTTGAAGAGATTTTGACTCTCTGCAGTGACTGACTAACATTATTTTTCTTTTTTCTTCAAACAGGCTGTGAGTGATACACTCTCCATAGGTGCACCCCTGCTCCTGCCTCCACTGAGAGAGAGAATGGAGCTCCTGCATTCACTGCTGCCACAGGGACCTGATCGCTGGGACTCCCTATCCAAGGGACAGGTAGGTTCTCATTGTCTACCTGTGTATAGGAACATCAAGTGTTGGCTTTCAAAAGAGAATTGGTTAAAGGGATTAGGTAACTTTGCCTCGGATTCTAAAAAGAAATCCTTGATTTAGCTCATGCTGCAATAATAATTATAAACCTTTAGGTCATACATGAATCCCATGACTTTTAAAAGCCAATCGCCTGTCTGATTATCAAGATGTCTATGATTGGAATAAGAAATTTCAGACATAGTTTTCCTAACGTTTTTTATAGCACTACAGTCTATTGGGGAAAATGAGTATGGTAAAACCGGTCACTCAAAGATTTGTACTTTTTGAGCCACTTCTTAGATCATTTTAAAGCGCAAATTTTGTTAAGGCTTTAATATTACATCATATCAAAGACATTGATAACACGTAGGGCCATGCATCTCAGATTTAATATCGTTAAATGATGCCTTTAATTGCTATTGCTGTTCTCAATCTCTGTACTGATATCCTCTTAATCTCTTTCGAACAGAGAATGCAACTGGGTATTGTCCTGACAAGCCTTCAAGAGAACATTCATGTGGCCTCCTTACTGGGGTTCACCTCGACCCTAGAGGGGGAGCTCAGTCCACCCCTGGAGGGGGACGGGAGTGGCATGTCCTTGGGGGCTTCCCCCACCGAAGACACGCACCTGGCCGAGGTCCTGATGAAGACACTGCTAAGGAATCTGGGATATCACACCGTAAGTTTCTCAATACTGCTGAGAGATAGGTGAAAGAGAGAGGGAGAAAGAAAGAGAGATAGGTGAAGGAGAGAGGGAGAAAGAAAAATGAGATTTAGGGAAGTGAAGTGAGAAAAAGTGAGAGAGTTTGAGAGGGAAGGAAAGAGAGAATGGGAAGGGGTGTAACAGAATTTAAGAGATTATAGAAAGATGGATAAAGTGAGAGGAAGATAAAAAGGCCTCAAGAATGAAAGGAAAAGAAAGCAAAGTGTGTGTTAAAGGAACGAAAAAAAGATACAGAGGGAAAGAAAGAAGAGAAAGAGGGAAGGAAAGAAGAGATATAGTGAAAGAAAGTAGAGATAGAGGGAAGGCAAGAAGACAAGATAGAGAGGGGGGGGGGGGAGGGGGAAGAAAGTGTCCATTGGGGCTTCCCCTGCAGAGGACACACACCTGGCTGAGGTCTGTATGAGGACACTGCTAAGGAATCTGGGTTATCACACAGTAAGGAATGTTTGAATAGGATTGCAGAGAGAAAGAATTTTGATGAAATATAAGATAATCAAAGGGACAGGAAGAGAGATAATGGAGAGAGACAGACAGAGAAAGACACAGATAGAGACAGAAAGAGAGAGAGAGAGAGAGAGAGAGAGAGAGAGAGAGAGAGAGAGAGAGACAGAGAGAGTAAAATGAGAGAGAGAGAGAAAGAAAGAGAGAATGAAGAGATGTAGAGAGAAATGTAGAAAAAAAGGGATGTAGAGAGGTAAAGGGGTGTTTATATATATATATATATATAGGCAAATTAGAGAGTAAGGTGTGGAGAATAAGTTTGATCTGATATTATTAACAGGCTACATCAAATCATCGTACAGACCGCATGTGCCTCATGGGTGGCAGTTTAAAGCCTGTCTGCACTTGTTTGGCCTGAGGGGATTAGACCTCCCTGCAAGGTCACTGACGGATAGTTATCTCATCAAATTAGCTTTCAATTAACATACTGTAAGAAAAAGGGGATCATGGGGGACCAACAGGCACCGATTAGGCATTGTTTGATATAAAGACGGCGCAAGTAGCTACAAGTAGTGCAGTGGGGATTTAAGAACCCACAGTAGGCTGTAGGTCATAGCTAGTGTTACTTGTAATACATTGTCTCATAACATCCCTTTGCTTTTACCCTCTATTCAGGAACAAGCCTTTGGGGAGCTGGAGAAGAACAGTGACAAACGTCAACCATCCATCACATGTGAGGACGGTGCCCCGCCCTCCCATCTCCGAGAACTCCTCTCATCTCTGCAGAAACATCTTCTGGCTTACTGCCATGCAAGCAATAGTGATGAGGTAAATACAATTTCCTGTGTGAAATAACACTTATTTGTCCAGGTCCCCGTTTCACAAAACTTGTCATCAGTGACAAATGACAGTTTGTGTTATAAGCTACTGAAATCCCTGATTCTGATTGGTTATCAGTAGATTTTTCACTGATTTTTTTTTCATTTGTCATTGATAAAAGGCTTTGTGAAACGGGTCCCAGGTCTACTGAATGATGGACCATATAAGCTTCCCTACTTCATGACATGAAATCTCACTAATTTTCTGGCGCAAGAATTTTTTGTTCTTGGGCTATAAGTGAAGATGGTCGCCATCGCCCCTGCAGGGAGTACCGATGATGTGGAAGGGATGGCAGCGGTGGGATATCTGTTCCTTTCTCCGCTCTTGGAATCAGCTGTGAATTGATGGTTTGTTGGTTTGGTTTGACACTAATACTGATAATAATGTATGAGATTTGTAAGGTGCCAAAAACCCACTTGATATCTACATTTGGCGCTCTCAACACAGGTGTAGTAAACTGGTATGTGGTAAAAAGTGATACCTTGATAGCTTGACTAAAACCAGGGTAAGAACAAAAATCTGTGTGTGTCTTGAGCATCTCCAGGTATTGACATGTGGATAAATAAATGTAACTATAATTATTGCTGTTATCATTTCAGATTTCATCAAGTGTGAGCTTGTTGCACAAGCACCTATGTCTTCTACTACCCCATGCTGTGGAGGTCAAAAATCTGTGTGTGTCTTGAGCATCTCCAGGTATTGACATGTGGATAAATAAATGTAACTATAATTATTGCTGTTATCATTTCAGATTTCATCAAGTGTGAGCTTGTTGCACAAGCACCTATGTCTTCTACTACCCCATGCTGTGGAGGTCCTACAGAGATCCACAACCCTATTGAAGCAGAGCGGAAGCAATGCTTCTCAGGCAGTTAGGAGCAAGCTCAGAGGTATGGCTTGAAGTCACTTTGATAAATAAGTTACAGTAAAATTGTATTTTCCCCATAATATTTTAAAATTCATGTATGCGATATGATGATGTAGAATCGAAATATACATATCTGCATATGAAATGTACTTGCGTATTCAAAAGTGTCCATAGTCTAACCATATCGGTTTAATTAACACAGCATGGAGTTCTTCCTGTTATAACAGTGTTTACCAAGTGTGAAATAATAATAATAATAATAATATAGAGTATTTGTAATGCACCAACTCCACAGGACTAATGTGTTTGAGGCGCATGGAGAAGAAAAAATATAAGTACACAAAAATACACACAAAAATGGAAAACAACAATGTGAAGGTAAATCTAAATCTACTGGAAAGTTTTGAGGGCATGTTAAAAGCAATCTACGCTTGAAATATAACGCATATGTTGTGGCAATTGATTCTATAGGTGAGGTCCAGTGTGTGCAAATGACCAATCTCCCCATGATTTCTTAGTTTTCGGAGCAAATAAATACGTATTTCCCAAGCCTTGACTAGAGAAACGATTCATAAATTTAAGTAGTATTAAAAGACTGAATGTAGTTGTTCCTTTCTACATTTCTTCTGTTTGTCTCTCCTAGGAACAGTATACAAATAGATATGCATGAATTGTAACAAATATAAACCTCTTCCACGTCTACCTGTCCACTCGATTTGATTTCCTCCTGCAGATGTGCTGGTGAACTCAGCTGCAGGGTCCATGCTCTCTCACATCCTCCACTCACTGCTCCTCCTGCCGGTGACGGTGACACGCCCTCTTCTCCATCACCTCCTTGCCCTCCTACCGGAGCTGGACAAGCTGAATCGTCTTCTGCCTGCAGCGAGTGTGCTGGAAGAACAGGAGATGGAGTGGCCTATGAGGGGTAAGAAATGGGTTTTAAAGCCCCACTGCACTATTTATAGCTAGTTGCGCCCTCTATATAGCAAACATTGTCTAATTGTTCCCCCATGATCCACTTTTTCTTATGTTCATTGAGAGCAGATTTGATGAGATAACCATCTTGTCAGTGACATTGCAAGAGGTCTAATCCCTCCTGTACACTAGTACAGATAGGCTTTAAATTTATGATTTTTTTTTCCCCTGCCAAATCCAAGAATAGCATGAAATAAAGACATACTGAGTTTAAATGAGATATGAACAGAAAATAGAGATTAAACAAAGCCCATTTTGAAGCATTTTGAAGTAGCCTTTGACTAAGGTTATTTTTATGTGTGGCAGAGCCCATTATCTTTTGTATGGTTTGTGTTCCTGTTTGTGAAGTTTGATTTAGGATTTCTGATATTATTTGTTTTGAAAATACTACTACAAGTAAATAAATGAAAGGATATGAATAGAGAGAGAGAGAGAGAGAGAGAGAGAGAGAGAGAGAGAGGATAACAAGCAATTAGAAAATTTGGGAATGTTATGGAAGATTGAATTCGGGCTAACAGGACCATAGACAACTCGGCCCAGCTGTAAAAACGGGCTATTTTTGTCATTTTACCCTAACCCTAACTCTAACCCTAACTCTAACCCTAACTCTAACCCTAACTCTAACCCTAACCCTAAATCTGCAAAAACTGCAGCTGGGCCGAGTTGTCTTTGTTCCGAGTTAGCCCTACTCCAGAAGATTATATATTCACATCACAAAAGTTAGACATAAATAAACGGATTGAAAGAGATGCATGTTTAATCATGAATGAAAGAGCATGAAATGTATTCTGGTTAGCACCTAAACCCTCTCTCTCTCCTCCCCTGACAGTGTCATCAGACTCACCTGATCCCACAGCCATGCCCCTACCCCAGCCTGTGCGAGGCTGGGTGTGGCTGGTGGACCTGGAGCGCACCTGTTCCCTGGTGATTGGCTGGTGTCTAGGGGGTATGCTGGCCTGGAGACCCCTCTCTAAGGAGGAGAGGGAGACCAGTGGTTGGATGGTATCCAAGCTCATGCAGAACGGCATGGAGAAGCAGGTCCAGCACGTAGGTGAGTGGTACAGTCCCTTCCTGTTTCTCTGGAAGTGGCAATATATTTCTCTTTATTTCAACTGCATTATTGTATTGTATTCATCAAAATTTATTATTGTAAAGGGCTTTGTTATTCTCTCTGAAGATGAAATGCTCTATAGAAGCATAGGTTATTATTATATTATTATTTCTGAAATTAGTAAATGATTATGGTTTGTCAACAGGTACATTATATATGTAAGAATTTGAAAATTACCTACATGTAGATAAGATTATTATATGTTTTCTCTGTATATTGGAAAAAGTCTAAATAATCAAGAGGGGTGTGATTGTTCAGTCCGAATTAAGTCACATCAACTCAGAGATTAGCACAATGAATATTTCTGTCTGTTTTTAAACAGAAATTACAGTGAACAGATAAGGACATTGTGGGGGGTGTTTCACAAAGATCCTAAGTTGAACTTAACTCCAAGTTGGACTTAAAAATTATGGAGAGCCATTTGTAGCCTGAAGATAAATATATTCAAAAGCGAAACAAGTGTTTTAGACTTTTTATAAATTCCACATTAAGAACATGAAATCTCCTTTATAATAGAAAATATGAATGATTTGAATCAAAATTTTATGCCTTTTAAAATAACTTTTACAAAATATTTTTAAAGATGCCAATGGCTTTCCATAATTGTTAAGTCCAACTTTGAGATAAGTTCAACTTAGGATCTTTGTGAAACACCCCCCCCCCCCCCATTGCTATTTAATCTTTCAGACAAGCTTGTCAGCAAGATGTCCGAGGCAGCCATGCTTGGTGATGATGACTTTGATATCTCAGAGCACAATGTCCAGAAGGAATGTCTGTCTCTCCTGGACCTGACACTGGGGAAGAGCAGGGAACCAGGACAGTTCATATGGGAAGCCATGCAGGAGTATGCTCTCAGCAGAGGTAACGACTCGTAGGACCTCTTTCTGTGATGATGATTTTAGGACGTGCATGTTTTATCATATTTGTATAGAATGTAGATTTTCGCAAGTCCCATCATTTTTGGTTTTACTCTAGAAGGAGTTTAAAATACAGTATATAGATTGGACCCTGACATCAGACCTAAGAAAGCGACTGAAAAGTTGTGAAGTTTGGTTCCTGAGAAGGATGCTAAAAATTCATGGACGGAAAGAGTTTCTAATACTGAGGTATTTGCCATGGCAGGAACAAGACGAAAGCTTTTGAACAATATAAGATGTCGACAGCTGAGCTTCTTGGGTCGTGATATTTGAAAGAATGGTTTGGAAAATCTTGCACTGACTGGAAGAATCAAGGGAAGGTGAAGTAGGTGTAGAAGGAGGCTTCTGTGGATGAGTAGCTTAAGGAGTGGGATTTCTGAGGATGGTATTGATCTCAGGGAGAATTAATTACCTCATAGAATATGGGACAGTAAGTTGTGGCATTCCATGGTCGACAACGTCTCAGGACATCGCATGTAAAGAAGAAGAAGAATATAGATTGTAATAAGGTCAATTGACATATTCTATTGTTATTTATAATGTGTTGTTTCCACTCTTTATTAGGTTGGGAAACCAGTGATGATGATTTGGATGATCTGTTAGATAGAGCAACTCGCTGTCTGCTGGCATGTCTTCTCAAACAGACTCGCTTGTTTCATCATGCTGCACAGAGACCAAGGTATAATCATAGTCTAATTTTCATCGTGATCAAGAAAGGGATTTAATATTTGCTTTCAGATATTCCTAGGAAATTGGTCTATGAGCAATGCAGGATTAGCTTATTGGTGATTAGAAATGCATCTTCATGGTGTTACAAATAGTGTCATCATCATAACCATAACCATCATCCTTGTCATCATTCATCATTTATAGAAGTGTCGTAGTTGAGTGGTTTAAGCACTTGACTTGAAATTCAAAGATCCTGGTTCGATCCCCGATACGGCACTAATGCACTTTGCCACACTCGACCCAAGTGAGGTAAATGGTTACCTGGCAGGAATTAATTCCTTGAAATGCTGGAGTGCTGCAATGGCAGCTAGGCAGTAAAGCCAGGGTAAAAATTAATGCGCCTCGGAATAGAATTTCTAGATAGACGGTGCTATAGAAATGCCTATAATTGTTATTAATTAATTATTATTATTATCATCATTGTCACCATCATTATCATCACCATTTACATCATCATCAGCAGCATTTCTATCGCCATCGCCATTATTACCATCTTTATCAAAAGCACTATCTTTATTAAAACCAATTACCAGAGACTATTTCTAGATGTCTCAATATGTTCTGTATTCATCCCATCATCAGGGGACTCGTTTCACAAAGCCTTTTTTTTAATGTCAAATGTCTAATATCAGTGACAAATCTGCTGATAACCAATCAGAAGCAAGGATTTTTCACTGATGAAAAGTTTTGTGAAACGCCCCCCAGATCAACCATTGAGGACTCCAAGAGCCTGATCGAGGTCTACCGGACCGTGTACCGGGTGAGACGTAAGCTGGTCACCACCAAGCTCATGCAGAGGCAGGAGGCCCAGGAGCCTGAATCGGACCCCATGGACGAGGCCACCAACAACCTCTCTGATTCCGAGAGTGGAGAGAGGAAACGATATCCCACCGCTGCAATCCCTTCCACATCATCGGTACTCCCTGCAGGGGCAACAGCGATGGCAACCATTGTCACGTATAGCCCGAGGACAAAGTCATTCTTGCGCAAGAAAGTCGGTGAGAATTCATGTCGTGAAGTAGGGAAGCTTATATGGTCCATTGTCAGAACCTCTCCTTTGGATTGGTTTGCTACCAATAGTATAGATTGAATCTTATGAAAACTTTTTGATACTTGAAACATTTGTTTTACACTAACATGTATATTATGGTATTAAATAAACTTGAGGTCATACTATTGATATACAGTATCTATTACAGCAGTTCTCATGATTCTTTTCTTTAGACTGAATTTGTAATGAAAATTGCAAAACTTAATATAAAAAGATTGAGATTTACTTCCAATTTAGTAAATAATCAATCAAAGTTGTAGAAAGAATTTGTGTTGCTTCATACATGTATGCATAAGAAAGGTCATTTGATGCTGCAGAAGTATTTTTTTCTTTTTCCCCTTCTCATTTCTGTATTTAACTTATTCTAATTATATCCCTTTGCGCCTCAGAATAATTTACTAGATCGATGGCGCATAAAACAAATGCTGTATTATTATTATTATTACTATTATTATTATTATTATTACTGATAAAAAATTATGATGATTTTGTGAATACACACACCTATTTCCTATTAAAGTTCCCCTTTAACCCAACCCTACACAGAACAATCTTCAACTTCCAGCACCAGCCAGAACCTCAGTCTCTCTGACCTGGAAGTAGACCCTGAGGCTGAACCTCCCAAGCCTGACCCCAGCAACACGGATGACGATGACGAGGACACCGTCAGGGACGAGGACCCAGAGCGTGGGGGGGACTCATCGAAGGCTGCCGCTAAGCAGACCTACTTCAGCTTCAGCGAAGCCTGCAAGTCGTTGATCGAGAGATGCATGTTCCTGATCCTCGGCGTCAGTCCGGCCATTTTGGAAAATGGCCACCAGAGTGTCGTACCAGATTTTGATAAGACAGGTAAGGGGATGAGTGTGGTTGGGTTATGTTTCATATCCAGATGCATTTAAGCTATTCTGACTTGTAATATTAACAGAGTGTTGAGAAATTTCATTCACTTCAAATGAGTTGAAATCAGTTCATTTCAGTTCACTGAATTCAATGACAGAAAGTGTCAATCACTTGAAAAAATAAGCAATTCTACAGAGTATATATATTAATTGCATGAAGACTTCGATATGAATTTAGTAATTATAATGATGTTTATTGCTTTAATTTTTTTGGAAAAAATAAGCAAACTCTACAGAGTATTTATATAAAGATTGCATGAAGACTTCAATATGAATTGAGTGATAATTACAATGATGTATATTGCTTTAGTTTTGACATCGTAAGTTGAGCAAAAAAGAACAACCCAATTATCAACTTGCAAGCGTTCTTCTCTGTGTACCTTACCAATTTTTGTAATGATTCTAGTTCCCTGTATATTTCCAGATTTGATATTCATGAATGCGTATTCATAATTTATGCAAATTAACCTATGTATTTTCAAATATCATAAAAATAATGTAACCTTATGAATTTGAGATGATGGAATTATTTATTCAATTCATTTTCAACATTCTTCCCAGGCTCCCCCCCCCCCCCCCAGTCACGAGGTGCTCAAAATAGCCCTGTACAGTAAGGGTTAAGTTGGACTTAACTATTGCAGGCCATTCTTGCCACTGGCTGCTCTCACCATTGGTCTCTCGATTATGATCTTTAGATAATATTTTTTCCTTCAATAATGTATTATCAAAAAATGTAGATTTGTGACCATGATTTGTACGTCCCTTGAGATACCAATACCAGTAAATGGTGAGAGCAAACAGTGGCATGAACGGCCTGCCATAGTTAAGTCCAACTTAAAGTCGATCTTGGTCTTTGTGAAACACCCCCCCCCCCCCCTTGTCAGAACCATTCATACATGTATTTGATAACACTGCATTAATACCTTGAGACTTTGATCGTCAACATTTTTGTTTTCTTCATTTATGCAGGAAATTCACTGGACACAAAAGAAATAACGACAAAGTCTGAGGTATTGTACTTAATTTTATTTAATTTTTACATAAAGCAGTAATTGGAAAGGAATGTATTTATGCATTTTTGTGTTAAAACCATGTATTCCTCTTTTTTAAGCACTTAAATATGATGAATATTTAGTTTCTTAATTGTTAACTAGATTATACTTTATCTTTGTTGGAAATAGTTTACTCTTTGCTTTAATATTTGTCTGGTACATGTCCCTGTTCCCAATAAAACAGAATTTGACGATGATCATTCTTTGCGACTTCTAAGGCACATGTCATAAGTGTAAATATATCAATGGACTCCTTCTTTTTGCAGGGAAAAGTTAAGTCTCCAGAATCTACTTCCTCAAGCCAGGATGGAAGCAAGATCTTTGACAATGCAGATTCTAAATCTCCATCGAAGACCAGCTCTCCGTGTCATTCAAATAAACATCAAAACTGTCTCTGTAAGTTCAATCATTTGTTTATACTAATCCCAGATGAATAATTTATTTTATATTCAACTGCCAAGTTAGAAAATTACCTGTATACATGATATCGCAAATGGCAAGTTATTCACCTATTAAAATCATTCTACTGATTATAAGATTCAATACCTAAGTGAAATTTATTGTTCTCATTGTTCTCTCGTGCCTAATGAGTCCAACATTTTATTCCTTTCCAATAAAAAAAATTGGGACTGAGCTAAGAGTTTATGTAATTTCTTCCTCAGTCTGACCTTTCAATAAATATTATGCAAAGGTCTTTAAAAGCATTAATATATATAAACAGAATTTGCTATAAAAGTATGAGGGAGTTTCAAAAGGCCAACTACTTCGGTGAGATGGTACAGTGATTAAAGGTCATAGGTCATCTGTGAAGGTAAAAAATGACATACATGTACAGTGTATAGTAGATTTTTTGTTAGATAGGCATGTCTGTTGAATTTATGACATATTCAATCTAAGAAGTAGCTTTTTCTTTACATGCGATGTCTAAATGTTTTGTTGCAAAGCAATGTACAGTTGTTATTTTTAATGTTATGTGCCATTCTTTTTAATAACAGCTTGCCTTCGAAACATCTGCAACGAAGCAGTGAATTTTGTGTGTCAGGAATTCTCTCCTGCCCAGACTCATCGTGAGGAGGAAGAGCTCCTATACTGTACTGATCCCAACACAGTAGCACTGGCCTTGCAGAACCAACAGTACAGAGCAGAGGTACCTTGAAACACTACATATACTGTCAAACCTATCTATAACGACCGCCCAAGAGAAACACAAAAAGTGGTCTTTGTAGACAGGTGGTCACTAAAGCAGGTTGACTGTATATTCTGGATATCCAGGATATTGTAGTTTAGGGAACAATACACAAATATGTTTTGAAGTATTTTTCTTTGGTGTACTTAAGGTGGTCTCACAATATTGCTTTTAGTCGGTTGCACAGGCAAGTTGGCTTTCCTCTGTGTTTTGTTTTAATACATTTTTAAATGATGTTCATTCTCTTTTACAAAACTACATGTATAAGGAGCGAAACGTAGAAGCCATCCAAATGTTTTGGGCAGTTCACTTTCTGACACTGCCACTCCAGACTATCTGGAATCAGCCATGTGTGACTCATGGGTGACATATTTGATGTCATATGAAAGAAGAGAAAATCTGATTTCCAGTCGTTCATGTGTATACATAAACCAATGAATAATCTTAAATTATGGAGTAATTTACATGCAACTGTAAACATGGCTCTCATTTTTCAGGGCCACCCTGTATATACAGTATGTAGATATTCCATTCACTGATTATTGTTACATGTACATGCACCTGTATAGTAAACAAATTGAAAATTGTCTAATTGTTGTACATCTCGTTCTGCATTTTTCCTGTCACATCTGTCCTTTCCCAGATACGCTTCGATGCCTTGAACCAGATTCTTGCCCTTCTCCATGGCAACCAAGACGACAAAACCAAGGAGACACCAGAGGGCGGTGTTGAGAGCCCCTTCAGCTCTCTCTGTCTCCTGACGTCGGCTCATTTTCAGTTCATGCTCGGTGCCTTTGGCTTGGACACACTGGACCAGTGCAATCGGGACTCGTCTCGCACCATGCAGCTTTATCATTACAGCGTAAGCTTTGAAATTATCCCCCGTGTTCCTCACGATACAGCGAAACCTGTATTTAAAGACTGCTCAAGGGAAACATGAAAAGTGGTCTTTATTGGCAGGTGGTCTTTATGTTCAGGTTCCTTTAGTACAGGTTTCAAGGGAAACAAAAAATGTGATCTCTATAGAAAGTTGTTTTTTCTATACAGGTGATTGCTAAATAAGGTTTGACTGTATTATTCTTCGATTATATAACACATGTTCTGGCGACAGATTGCTCCATGGTTGTTTTCAGTCACTAACTGAATCCCAAACTTTAACCCTGAACCATTTTTATATGTTAATGCTAATCATAACTTATGTTTACTGGACAGACAAGTAAACTTCTCTGTTTTTAAATAAACATAATTGACATGAGATAATTTATGTTTATTGGTTTCCATGGTTACGATTGTATTAAAAAAAACCATCTTTTTAACATTACTTACATGGTGGTTGTAAACTTTTCCAAATGTTTTGCTAGCATGGCAAAATGTACATCTAGTCATAGTATTATTCATAACCTGTTCATAAAATGCTCAATACCTTGAAAAAAATATTCAGGCAATTTTTTATGACAAGATTTGTGTCTTTTTCTCAATGATAACATTCAGGATGGTATAAGATCAGCGACAATGTCCACACAAGACCAGATCAGGGCTGTAGCACATCGCATCTGTAATCATCTTGTGACAGTGCTAGCTGAGAGAGCTTCTGAAATGCCGGCCAAGAAAAGTAAGTTTTTGTTGTTGTCATGACTGCTCTTTTGTTCGTTTTAAAGCCTTAGTTTGGAATTTTGTTTTATCGTAACTGTCATGACGTACATGTATGTTGTTAAAACGAAGTACTGCTGGTTTATTCATAAAGTCTGCTAAGCTTCCCTTTTGATTTATGTGTAGGGTACTTAGTGTTTGGAAATTTCCTTTAATGATGAAAAAAGGGGGAAAAAAGGGACATATGCTAAGGATTATGTAGGAATGTGAGTTTGCAATTTTTTGTCGTTACAAACGCCCTGTATTGTATAGTATAAGAACATGACAGAGATGTAATTTTTGTCAGGTTGTATGTATCCTGTCAATTTTGTATTAACAGGCCGCTACTAAAAACAATCCTTAATTACTGGCAGGACAGCCCCGCTGAAATACATGTACACATACATGTGTAAAACTAAGAAGTAATGACTTCTAGCCCACATTAAATTTCTGATTTTAGTGGCATATTGAGATCCAAATCCTGGGTACAGCAATTGTAAATGGTTTATCACTCAACTCTTTTATGTTCATGATTATATAACTTTGAGGCAGGGCTCCACACTAACTTTTTTGGCAGGGGGTCTGGTAATGGTAGACACTTTTTTTTAAACATGTGTATGTATTTGAAAGTTTTGGGGCCTGGAAGTCGATTTGGGGCTCTCATGTACATGTACATGTACATGTATTCAGGATACTTACATGTATGTTTATCCCTTGAAGGTGCGCAACATCGACTGACCCTCGCCACCGTGTTTGCACTGAGCGTCAAGTACCACCCACCCGACATCTGCCTAGCCATCTCCAGCGGTATCCTACCCCTCCTGGCTGACCTCTGCGGGGGTAAGTCGGCCCTGGCTCGTCCCCTCCATCCGTCCCTCCTGGGCCTGCAGCTGCCCGGTGGCACACCCCCGACCCTGAGGATACTCCAGGTGGCCAGTATGAGACTGCTGCAGGTGCTAGCTATTACTGCTGGGTGAGTAGCATCAAGTTTTCTTCCCTTGTTCCACTTCTCGCTACTAGACCAAGTGGGGCGTTGCAAGAAAGTTGCGATTGATTGCAAGTTGCAAAATTTGCAACTGATATTTGCAATCGATTGCAAGTCAACTTTTTTGCAATGCCCCACTAGTCTCCTAAATTTCCTAGGATTTTGTTAGGATAAAAGTTTTAACACTTAAAGTAAGATAACTAGATCTAGCTTTTATTCTCCTTCTCTTTCTCTCCCTCTCTCGTACTAACTGGGCGTTGCAAGAAAGTTAAGTTGCGATCAATTGCAAATTTGCAATTAATCGCAAGACTTACACTTGATTTGGGGGATTTGCAATTGATTGCAACTTTCTTGCAACACCCCACAAGTGTGATGGGGAAAGCAGTGTTTTATACAAGAATATAAAGATTAACCCCTTCAGTGCTGTGGGTGGTATACCTCGTCCAAGAACAGGAATGTTCTAATAAAAGTTTGTTCTAATAATATATATTTTATTCTTCCTGATCCAGATATAAGTAGTGTTTCATTCCTGCCAAAGGTTATTCCCATGGAAAGAATAAACAAAATTTAACAATTAAAACATTTGAGCAAGATTAAGAAGTTCTTTGTACCCTCAGTTTTTTAGGAACATTCTACTGTTCCTTCGGTGGCTCATTTTCATTGGCCTACCATTTGATTTCATTTATATTTTTAACCCCACCTGAAAAAAAGAAGAAGATTAATGACAGCTATTATGTAGTGCATGTATGTGTACATGAAGCATCAGAAGTACAGTCTGATCAGAGTGCTTTACAGTGTATGAAGGTTCAAAAAGTCAAAGAATTGTTTTATAAATACAGATTTTTATTCAAAACACACTGCTAAATACAATTACAAATTATGACATTGTCCATACTTTAACTAACAATATTTCTTGTGATGCTGATTAGAACTTATGCCCAGCAGTTGGATAACAAGATTGTGCAAGCAGTCGTTGACCTTCTGTGGGACCAACTGGACAGTCTAATGTCCCTGGCCATCACCGACCCCCATCTGACCTCGGGACGGAGGTCAAAGTCAAATTCACTCACAGACACCAGCTCTGGATCGCAGAAAAGTGAAACAAAATCTTCAAAGTCAACTTCCAAAGGTAGGAACCCTTGCCCGATACTCCACTTTAGATCAGGATGACAAGGAAATATGATAGTAATGGCAAATTGATGAATATAATCTCTGCATTCACATGTACTTTAATGCGAAATGTATTTTTTTTAAATTTGTTTAACATTGCAGCTTCACAAAATTATGATACTACATCTCTCTGCACTTGCAAAAAGATGAGCAGTTCCCGTTGTCGATATCTTTTGAAACTGCATTAGATAGGAGGCACAGGGGGGGGGGGGTAGAGCAGGTTCCCCTACTCAAATGCTGCACTGAAAATGATATATAAAATGCAGGGAAAAGAGGAAGAGACAGAAAAAAAGGGAGAGAGGAACAAATATATGACACCTCTTACTCCCTCAATGGTCTGTTATTTTGTGCATTTCATCTGCCTCGTAAGGTAAAAAAACCCTTCCCCCCCCCTTCCGTGACACCAGAACCCATCAATAGCTGTGGCCATACTATGCCATTGCTACCAGATACCCATTTACTACATCTACATGGAGGTTAAACCCCCGAAAAGACAACTCTAGATACAGTGCCTTGGCAAAGGTGGTACAGTATGCACCAAGCCAGGAATTACATCAGTCAGCCTGCAGATTTCAGGGGGGGGGGGCATTTCACAAAACTCGTCATCAAAGACAAATGACAGTTTGTGTTATAAGCTACTGAAATCCTTGCTTCTGATTGGTTATCAGCAGATTTGTCTCTTATTTTTGTCATTTGTCATTGAAAAAAGGCTTTGTGAAAAGGGTCCCAGGTCCAGTCAGTTGACATTTTCCTCACACATTACATATTTTGTAGAAATAATTTTGAAGAGTTAAAGAGAAGGTTGAGTTCTGAGAAGGGGTGAAAAATTATTTGTGAGCGTCATCATTGTTATTATGCAAGGGTGGAAGAACATCAGATAAAACATTTTCCCTGAAAAGCATGGCTCTTCAAATGCCTTCATATTCTAAATATGGCATGTAACATCGTAAAAATAGGGATGGATTTTTACGCCACGTGTTTGTGTAGTTCCATATACATCCTTCTGTGTACAGTGCCTGTAACTTTGCGAAGACTTGGCCAATCTTTTATCATTTTGATGATTCCAGAACCTTGCAATACACACAAATACGTATATTCTAGATGATAAACCTTTTCTGATCAATTCCACACCGTTTCTTTCACAATGCAATCGCATGACCAGAACTCAACTTTATCTTTAAACTTGTATGCTTTTGAACTGTTCATTTCTATTGTGTTACAGATAAGGAGCACAAGGTAGGAAAGCGCACAAGGCAGGCAGCGCAGAACGCCCTAGGAGACTTCTTGGTGTTCCTGCGTCGGGTCTCTAGCTGTGGTGTGGTACAGTCCAAGATGGCTGAGAGTCGATGGACAGATATCCTCCTGGCCATTGTGGGGCATCATCCGCAGTCAGGTAAGAATTTGGTGACAGGAACATGTATGATGGTCAACTCCTTCATAAAATACTGCATGCTTGAATGATGTTTAACTCTTTGCCCGCTTCGTTCGGCTAGCGGAACATACAGCGGGCTGCCAACTTCGACACAAGTCACATTTCATTCACAATACACACGGAACGCATTTAATTCTATTGTACGCACACACACACAATAGTAACGCGTGCTTCGCATTGTATACACATCACACTTCATTGCACCGCTTTCGCAGACATTGTTTACATTGACATTTTCCGAGAAAAATCGAGTTTTTGAAACTGCTTTTGCAAATATTCTGATGAGCTAGGATGGCCCCTATTAGGAGGAGACGGGACTTCTTCACTGCTGATCAGGTACGAGAACTTGTGATGGACCCTGTTCCAACAGCCGACTCTGATTCAGAGGAGAGCGAGACTGACTCTGACGAGGAAGATGAGCCTGGTCCCACACGTACACTTTTGCGTAATCCCACAGAACATGATCTGTATCTTCTCATCCTCACTTTCTCTTTCTGCCTTTCTTTCTCTGTCTGCCTATCTGTCTTTCTCTCTCCGTGTCTCTTCTTATTTATATCCCTATCTGCCTATCTCTTTCTTCTTCCCCTCCCCCTCTATCTCTATCTTCTCACTCTCACTTTCTGTATCTGCTTATCTCTTTCTTTCTCTCTCTCTCTCTCTCTCTCTCTCTCTCTCTATCTCTCCCTGTCTCTTGTTATTTCTCTCCCTATCTGCCTGTCTCTTTCTTCCTCCCCTCTCTCTGCCTCTCTCTATCTTGTTCTCACTCTCATTATCTCAACCTGCCTCTGTCTTTCTCTGTCTGCCTATCTGTCTTTTCTCTCTGTGTCTCTTCTTACTTATATCCCTATCTGCCTGTCTCTTTCTTCTTCCCCTCCCCCTCTATCTCTATCTTCTCACTCTCATTTTCTGTATCTGCTTATATCTCTTTCTTTCTCTCTCTCTCTCTCTCTCTATCTCTCCCTGTCTCTTCTTATTTCTTTCCTAATCTGCCTGTCTCTTCGTTCTTATTCTCTTTCTTTCTCTCTCCCTCTCTCTGTCTACCTCTTGTTATAATGAACATGTCAATATGAGACTACATATGTAGACGAATATATTTTATTCTTATTTATTATACATCAGCTTTCTACAATTCATAACTTAGTACATGTTTCAAGCATACATTATGTTCATGGCTTGCCTTATTAGTGTAGAAAATCAATACGTTCTTCTATTCATTTCTTTCAATTCTAATAGCTTGCACAGTCTTGCAAGTAATAATAGAATGTTACACCATCTTACCTACAGACACAATAAAGGTCATCAAAGTACAATCAAGAGACAGGAAGTCTATTCAAAAGTACCCAGGGTCAATTTCAATAGGAGATTAGTTCATTGTCGGCTTACTCTTTATTCAATCCTAAATTACCAGGCTCATTGTGACCTTCAACACATGAATTTGGTATGTAGTGAAAGCTCATGAATACATCTTTTCAATGAACTAACTCAGGACATAAACCTCCATAACAAAGTATTAGATATAAGAGGTATAGAATACCCTTCTAAACGAAAACTTGGATACAAAATGTATAGTTGATAATCTCAAAATTTATGATAATATACATTACAAAAATGATACCATTGGCAAGACTATTAATTTCTATACAATATTGCTACACAAAGTTTTTCATTACAGTACACCAATCAAAAGTTATTGCGAGTTGAATAAGCATAGTCCATGCAGAACCCCTCCTAAGGTGGCACCCTAAAAACAATGTGGCACAGGGGGGATTGTGTACGTGGCGGGCAAAGAGTTAAGAAATCAGAGCAAATTTCTCTCCTTTGAAAACATCTCCCCCCCCCCCCCCCCCCACTTTGGTTTTGATCGGTGATATCATTTGCATTCTGTTAGATTACTTATATTTCTGAGAGGTTGACCTTTGAATCCTATCATCCCATATGATATTTCATGTTTCATTTTTTTTTTTATTATATCCCGCATACTAAGAATCTTGCAATCTGATTGGTCTTAATGAGGTCACATGATCAAATATAGATAACTACTATCTACATGTACCTGAGATAGTACTTTTGTAAAGTAATTTTTTGCTGCTACCCCACTTGCCCAACCTTGCCCATTGAATACGCATAGCAAAGTAGGTTACGCGAAATGTCAAAGTCAGTGTCAATGTCAAATGAGCGCGCATCGACTGTATTACATGTATGCCTGTTGCGCTTTGTAAAATCTAGCTGAAGCTAAACTGTCTGCAGAATCGGTTCTTATTATTATGTAAAATTTACTTAAAATAGACCTTATTGCCGATGTGGGATATAAAACAAATATTAACCTCCTTTACTCTGGCAATTGATACAAATTATCATCGCCTCGGTGATAGTTTGCAACATTACCCTCGTAGTTGATTAATATTTGCTTATTATACAACACCTACGTGGATCCTTGTCATTTGATTGGACGGTTGTTGATCACATGATATTCCATAGATGGTATATTGCACGGTCGTGCATTTTTGGTTATATGCGCCGTGCATTTTTGGTTATATGCAGACTGCGTACCTCTCTGCTGCATGTGCGCGTATCCCTGCGTGTATCTGACGCGAAGGCAATCTGCATGTAATCGAGAAGGCTTGACTCGAACTTTAATTTATCTTTATAAGGAGTAAAGCATAATTTGTTGATTAACGTTCTATTAGGTCTTCTTCGATGTTGTATAAAACAAATAATGAATGTTTTTCATTCGTTAATAGTGCAAATATGTTCATTCGTTGAAAGATTAACGTTAATTCTATTCAACTCGGCCGACGCCATGTTGAATAGAATGTTAATCTTTCAACTCATGAACATATTCGCACTATTGAACTCATAACCATTCATTATTTGTATACTATGTTCATACATATACATGTAGTAAATGCATCAGTTTTTTTTATCAGTTTGATGCGTGTATGTCCTTATTCATCTTTCTGACATGCCCTTATACAGTCAGGTAATCAATAACATAATGTCAGCTTTTTTTGTCTTTTTGATGGAAAACTCTGCTCTCCTTTTTTTTAAATGATTTAATGAGGGCAAGCAGTAAAATTAATATTCATGATTAATTGAATGATTGTTAGTGTGATACAAATGTACAAATCTATATTTTACTAAATCGATAGTTGTGTTGGCTTACTTACAGGTCTCCCCCGCATTGAGAATGTGAGAACAAGACTTCTAGCTCTACATCTCCTGGAAACTGTCTTGCCTGCACTAAAAACAAGCAACAGAGGGCAGCAAATTCAGGTAAGTTTGTTTCAGTATTTGAAAGTTTTCTTTTTTAAAGTTGTGCTATATTAGCTATAATTTTGTTCAACTATTGTTTTAAGAGTTAGTGCACATGTATATACCACATGGCTCCAATGTCCTTTAGCAATACATTAATCTACATTTGCCACTTTCAACCCAGGTGAAGTACAATAAATGGATACCTGGTGAGAAGAAATTCCTTGAATGTTTGACTGCAGTATCAGGGTAGCTCAGCCCAAAGCAGGAGGTATTATAAGCATTCAGCACTTTGCATCCTTGGGGGAAACTTTATATAAATTGATTTTAAATTGAACTGTTTTTTAATGCCTCCATTATGAAGTTGTATGTCTGTACATCCTGTTCTTGTGATCGCGTTATTTCAAGAACCAATTGATGCATACCTGCCGAAATTGCTCTATGGCGGATGCTTAATTTTCGACTGCGCAGTCGAAGATCCATCTAGTTGTTATGGTTATCATCATTATCATTGTTCTTGCAATTGATATTAATTTATGATATATTGCTGATATCACAGGTTATTGAGCAGCTGATGACCAACATCTCGGACAGCATGTGGTCAGCGCCTCTGGCCAGTGCCCGTCACTGTGCCAACCGCATCCAGACTGCCCTGGCCAGGCAACGGTCAGCCTCCACATCCTCCTCGGACGCAGGCCGATCCGAGAGCAACCAGAGGGCGTTGCCCTTCACCAAGAAGAGCTTGACGGACACGACGACGAGTAGTGGTAATAGCTGCTGGATGAATATCAGTCTTGCAGATGCTCCATCAGGTCAGTTTCTTGGATGAGCCACCTAGAGGATATCCTTCGTGTCCCATTGATTTTGTTTGTAAAGGGAAGTGGTGCAACAGCTCCCATATCTTTTGGAGATTCCCTGTATAATTCTACATATTTCAGGTCAAAGAAGTGTTGATTTATGGGCAATCAAAATAGTTAACAGATTCTTTCATGAAGCTTTCATAGTGCACTGTGCCACTCTACCGTTGGCTGTTGCCTATCGTCCGTTGAAATTGGCGAACATGACTTGTCAGGGAATAATTACATAAAATGAAATTGGCAGAAGCATAATTTTTGAGTTTGTAATGAAAAGGAACCTGAACCGATCTTGATAAATTCTTGATGTCTTACCATAGCAGATAATAATGCCAAGACTCTATTTAGATAAATATATATGTGCGTGTACCATCAAAATGTAAATTTGTTGTGAGAGTACTGCTTTGTTTAATGTTTGAAATTATAGCAAATGAAGTAGATAATTGAATACTCTCCAACAATTTCTCATCCGTGGACTCAATCATTGTTCTTCTCAGCAGATGAAGATGATGATGACGATGGTCTGATCCTGCAAGATGCTGTCTTTGACCCTGATAAGACAGTCTGCTGCAGCGTGGAGAACAGCCACACCCTTGTGCATGGTTCAGGCGGGAGAGGTTATGGGTTAGGAGCAACGGGGATAACTGCTGGATGCTACCAGTGGAAGGTGGGTTGGACTCTTGCTCTTTTGGGAGGGGGAGGGAGAGGAGGGCGGAGAGGGGGGAGGGAGGGGAGTGTTTAGTTAGTAGATATCCCCCAAATGGTTTAGGAAGGAGAGGTTACGGGTTAGGAGCAACAGGGATAACTGCTGGATGCTACCAGTGGAAGGTGAGTTCTTCTTTGGTTGAGTGGTCCTCTTCCTTGTTTTGGCTCTATTACATGTAGTTGATAGGAGGTTAGGTTACCCATTTGAGGAAATACAGTGGGCTGTATTCTGTACCTGCCATTCATCCTTTTTATAGCAACATGCATTTCTCACTGAGCTGCAGTCCTAAGTGTAGATGAAAAGAAGTTAACCAATAGGTCAAAGTTCTCTTGTTTAGTACTATGTGCTGAGCTGTACCAAATATAACTTTATAACTTTAGGTGAAGATTCTACCATCCATCGAGCATGTAGGCGAGGTGTTCTTGTGCGATAGCGTCTTGAAGTACAAGTCTTGTCGCTCTGGTGTCAGGTCCTCGCGCATGACTATGCCGGTGTTCTTCAGTCGCACCTTGGCAGCACAGCGTTGTATTTTGAGAATTTGACAATTAGTGCTTTTGGATGTTGTTTCTGCTGCTGGGTGCAAGAATGAGGTACACACGATGAGAGTACTGCTCCTGCTTCTCAAGCGCCGTTTCCAGCAATTTCACCTTCTTCTTGAGATTGTCAGACTCGATCAAGATGTTGTTGATCTTGTCATCACTTTTCCTAATTTCGAGTGGAAAGGAATTGTGAAGACCAGTGGCGCGCTTCTCGTAAACTGCGGTGTAAACAGCGTCAACAATCACTTTCACAACAGCCGGGGAGCAGAGGGCTTCTAACACCTGCTTGCCAATGAGATCTTGCATGTGCTCATCTGTATCAATAGATGGATTAGCATCTGAACGGGAAGCAACGGCTGAGTGGCCAGCAGCGTGAGTGTCATCGCTAACGGCTCATTCATGGTCTCTAGCCTGATCAAGCCATCTTTGTTGACAGATTCAAGCCAAACCTCAGATCTGGGAGGCTTTTTCTCCTGCTTATTTCTTGTTGTTGGCATGTTCAAAATATCTTCTAACTTAGTCCAAATGAAAATTGATGAACGGATGAATAAAACTGACTGTAAACTTTGAACTGAAGCAAAATACAGTAAGAGCGCAAATTTAGGTGAAAATTTAGTAGGTCAATTCACAGTAGTGTTACTACAGTCAAACCTGTCTATAGCGACCACCCAAGGGAAACACAAAAAGTGGCCTTTGTAGACAGGTGGTCTTTGTAGACTGGTTCCTTTATTACATGATTCAATGAGAATCTATTTTCAAGGGAAACAACAAATGTGGCCTTTGTAGACAGGTAACGCAGGTTTGACTGTACCACATCCACCTATAAGTTGCAAGTATTGTATAAAATATATCTTGAAACTTTCATCGCTTCCTTCCACAGTTCAACATCGTGAAGGAGAACAAGGGCAACGAAGGGACCTGCGTGGGTGTCTCCCGCTACCCTGTCAGGGACTTCAGTCACCGTACCACCTCCGACATGTGGCTCTACCGGGCCTACAGCGGCAACCTCTACCACAACGGAGAGCACACCCTGACGCTGCCGGGCTTCACCCAGGGGGATTATGTGACCTGCGTCCTGGACATGGAGGCCAGGACAGTGTCCTTTGGAAAGAATGGAGAGGTGAGACAAGTCGTGATTTTGAGGGGGGGGGGGACGGAATAATAATAATAATTAACCGTTCTTGTATAGCGCATAACACATAGTATTAAAACATGTCCCTAAGCGCTCTAGAGAAAAACAAAACAAAATACAAAGACAAGATGTACTGGGTAACAGACAAAATGGATGAATTAAATGTTAAATAAGTGCATCTTTAAAGCAATCTTAAACTTAACAATGGAGTCAATGTTTTTTAAATGTTCCGGGAGATTGTTCCATAAAGTTGAGGCAGTGTGAACTAAGCTGTGTTCACCATATGACCTGGTCATCACTGGTGGAATAACAAACAGTTTTTTCTTATTAGAACAAAGATTTCTAGAAGGTTTGTACAATGTTTGTACAATAGCTCTATCAAATAAGGAGGCGCAAAATCATGAAAACATTCATAAGCTAACAACAATATTTTGAATAAAATGCGAGAGTGAATGGGTAGCCAGTGTAAGTCTCTTAAAATAAGAGACACAGATTCATGTTTCCTAATACGATAGATAAGACGAGCTGCTGAAGTTGAAAGGGGGAAGAAAAAAATGAGAAGAATGTAATGGGACCCCTTCCATACTACTTACCTGTTCAGTGAACTTGTGAATGTTTATCTTATCCACCTAATAAAGTTGGTGCCTTTCCAGTAATGCCAGTTCTCCTCCATTCCTTGGCCTGTGGGTATGCCACTGTATTAGTGAATTAATTTGATAACAGCTGTGATCTCATAAAAAGTGTGGGGCATAGTCCTGTAGGGGATGGATCAGTAACTATTAATTCATTAGACAAAAGTATATAAGGTCATTTTAGTTGGTTCAGATTTACCCAAGATAAGATTCCTTTGTTAGAATATTTAAAGATTGATATAGATATTTCTTGTTTATCCTAGCCTTAATGTAAGTATTCGTCATGTACTGTATACCCCATATACGCAGTCTGAATTGATGGCTGTATGGTATATAATTACGTTGCTTCTGAATTTGTTATCTTTCAGGAGCCTCGCTTGGCCTTTGAAGACATCGAGGCTACTGAGCTTTACCCTGTGGTCATGTTCTACAGCAGTAATCCTGGTGAAAAGGTAAGAATATAATTATGTCTCAAGTTTCATCCATAGGTATAATGTACAGCTGTTATGGTGATACTCTGTATGCTGTTCAAATAAATGAAATATTCAAAAATTATACTTCTCAGACTTTTTGAATCACTAAAATGTTGTAATAGAAATACATGCAAGGGTAGATATGACCTGAACATCGAAAATGTCCTTGGAATATATTTCAATGTGAATGGAAGAATTAAGTGAAACTGCCAAGTCCTCTGACCAGTACATATCAGAAGCAGCCGCCCTGCTTATCTTTTTGTCTACTTATTCTCTTTCACAGGTCAAGATCTGTGACATGCAGGTCAGGGGGGCACCACGCGACCTTTACCCCGGTGACCCTCTCTGTGCCCCGATGACCTCCATCCTGTCCGAGTCCCACATCTCCCTGGTGAACTGGCTGCATCGGAATGACCAGTGGCGCGACGTGGTCAACACATGCCTCCTAGACCGCCTCACGTCCATAGGTCAAGTGCTGGGTCATCTCCATGGCGACGGGGTGCAGGGGAAAGGCAAGACAAAGAGCACAGGTTCACTTTCAAAAGGAAATAAGGATGGTACTAAAGTGCAGAAGTCGAAAGATGATGACACAAAGGGAACACAAAAGACTCTGGATGGGACTGAAGAAACAGAGAAATCAACTGAAAAGGTCACGAAAGAAAGCAGCAGTAAGGAGGATTCGAAAGAGACGGAGGTTGTACAGAATGGCCGGAGTGGTGAGACCTTGCTAACAATAGATGAAGGAAAGACTGAAGAAGTGAAAGAGGAGGTAGAGATGGAACATGATACCCCATCAGTGTCAGATAAGATTGAAGGAGAGAAGGATTCCTTGAAGGATGGAGACAAGGATGAGAAAAAGGCCGGTGTTAAGGATACATCGATAGCTTCTTCAGATGACCAAAAGGAGGACACTGCAGTACAAAGTGAGTCAGTGTTACAGTATACATATCTGATATAAAGCATTGAGTTCTGGTAATGGTTAAAAGTGGTTTGATAGCTTGCTTATTCTTTTTATTCCTATTGCATATGTTATCATGCTGAAGATTCCAAATCCTCTCAATACACAATTCTTCTCATTAATATTTTCTCCATGATAAACATTTTCTAATAGCTTTGAGATACAATGAAGTTCTTCCTCATGCAATCGCATATAGCTGTTTTAAACTCGGCTTTTTCTTCGAAGTGAATGTGCCGTTGGTCTGTGGATCGTCTCAAGAGACCCACTTGGCATTGACATACAGTTACCAGGCTGCTCACACGTCATTATGTACGAGCATAATTATGCAAATTGACAGCACCATGTGCAAATTCCAAGGGCGCCCTCTAATAGCTGCCAAATGCCATCTATTTAAAGGAAATACAAAGTTTTGGTATGCATTTGCTTCAAATGAACATATTGGAAGCATATGCAATCCTAAAATATTCAGTGATCGTTGGCGCGGTTGAAATCGAGTCTAAAGTTATGAAATGGTAAATAATAAACTCTTTATGTTGTAGCTCCCTCTCAAGCTCAAAATATTAATTAAGCTACTATTGTACGGCCGTAGGCGCTATTTCATCAAAATTTACCAGGAGCATCACTAAATTTTCATATTCAAATTTCTCGAAGGCAAAAGTGTTAAAGGGGCTAAATTTTCTAGTGCTTATAATGCATCCACAGGGGCATCCAAATATATCTAAATTGTAAAGAATTTACTATCCACCCAATTTTCAAAATTTCCCCAAACTTTGTATTACCTTTAACCCTTACAGGTCTAGAGGACATGTGCCAGCATGTCTGGCCAGCCCTAGCCATCATCGGTGGTATCGATAAGGGACTACGGATGGGAGGGCGGTGCATCCATCGACAGACCTCAAGGGAGGCGGTCCTTTTGGGCGTGGCCAAGGTCGGTAACTCCTCCGCTAAGGTGCAGTGGGAAGATGGTGAGGCCAATATCAGGTGAGTCAGGAATATTTTTCTTTTAAAGCTCATCTGTGCTAGTGTACAGGAGGGATTACAGCACAGTGCAAGGTCACTGGACAGGTCATTATCTCATCAAATCAGCTCTCAATTAACATAAGAAAAAGAGGATCATGGAGGACTGATGGTCACCGATTAGACATTTTTTATTATATAGAGGGCGCAAGTAGCTATAAGTAGTGCAGTGGGCCTTTAAACCGTAGATTTAGTCATTTTGGTTTCTTTATTATAGTCACCATTGTGCCACTTCTTTTTAATAGAGATCTTAATTCTTTTCTTATTTCATTTCTGTCTGTGTGTTATGGAATTTGTATTATTATAATTTGTTTTGTTTCCATTGACAATCATACATTATGAAACATGTATCTTTGATATTTTGAATTGATTGTTAATACTCGTATTCTTAAAGTTTTATTTTTGTATTTTTATCACATTTATAATCTCTGTTTTGTAGAAAATAGAATACATACCAGCTGTTCTTGTTCCGATTTAACACATGTACTAGGACATGTACTGTATATCTTGTAAAAGTGTGTGTGTGTGTGTCTTTAATCGTTTGCAGTGACAGTGCAATATCCAACTTGGAACCTGTGATACCCATAACCTTTGACACGGGTCGGCTGCAAGGCCTGACCCCATCACTCCTCTCCAACCTGGCCCTCCTCTCCGGCCTAGCGGAGGAGTCCCCTCCGAAGACGTCCCCCAGGGAAGGGGGAGCAAGGCGAGATGGGGAGAGGGGTAACGGGGGTAAAGATGCAGCGAAGGAGGGGAAAGAAGAGCAGAAGGAAAAGGAGAAGGAGAAAGAGTTACTGGAGAGGTCGTTAGATGAGGACATAGCGAAAGCTATGGATGAGGAACAGCAGGTTGCGGGTATGTTTGATGTTGATGTTTATTTTATCTGCCTGCTATTGAGGAGGCAAGTGAATGCTTCTATATTGTCAGTTGGGTGACAAAACCTCGTATCTCAATTTTTTTGCATAATTGTGTACCTCATGGCCTACGACACCACCTGATATATCCATGGAACGCCTCCTGTCTCGGTTTTTTCACAAATTCCACACAAAGGACGGTGTCACAGCACTAAGTCTGTTGAGACAGGAAATGTTTTTTCGCTCTCCTGAAAATTCGTGATTTTTGAGATACAAGGTTTTGTCACCCCACCGACAATATACTTCTCACACTTGTCATACATGTATTTCATTAAAACATATATATGCAGTATTTATGAGACATCTCTGTACATGTATCTGCATGTAGTAGATTTGATGTGTTTTTTATATAATGTACATAATACGTTTCCTTTATACTCCATATAATATTCATTATGTAAGATGCAGTAATGATACATACACGTACATGTGTACATGTAAACCGGTGTGTGGGAATAGATTATCTTTGAATTACATGCAGGCCTCACTAAGTTTTATGGATATTGGGCTCTATAGAATAGTAATGTTCCATCTGCAAAAATAGTGGGAGTAGACATTTTTTTTCTTCATTGTCCTCCCTCTACATTTTGTTTGTTGTTGAAATTCTCAGATGATGCAAAAACCAAAGAAACTACTGAGCAACCTGTAGATCAGACAGCATCAACCTTCAGGTCCTCTTCACCAGTGGCTGATCAAGCCGAAGCTGACAGTTCACCCATCGCGGTCTCAAAGCCGGACATCCCAGATGCTCCTGCCACCGACGATGCCAAGGCTGCAGCGGTTGCCACGTCAGGGTCAGTGACGACGGAGATGGTGGAGGAGGTCCTGCAGAGCATCACAGAAGACCTCCAAGCCATGTCTTGCCAGGAGACAACACCCACCGGCACGCAGGAGACGACGCCCACCAGCACGCAGGAGACGACACCCACCAGTACACAAGTGTCCAATGACACTACCACCTCCGGCGATATCCCAGAGACCGACACCAACGCGGCTATCGCAGCAGCTCCTCCCGAAATCTTTGTCACCACGTCTCTCAGTACATGTACATGTACTTGCACTATTCAACTCACTCAGCCTACCAGCAATGGCAGCATTACTACAACAACGTCATCAGCTACAAACATCGTGGCTCCTGCTCCCGCTGTGGACCAAACAATGTCGAACCCTGGGAAAACAGGTCAGAATAAATATTCCAGCCATGTATGATCTTTTTGTGTCATTCGACACACAGACATACATGTAGTCTTAGAATGGCATTTCTGTCCCTACCAGCTACAAACAATTTCTCCACTAGGCCTAATCTTGTATTTGACATTTGGGCTAAAGTACATGTATATCAAGATTAATATATCGCTGCTCTTGCATGTGGTAATGGAAAACTCCCTCGAGCCTGTCGTTGGCCATTTTTGGATGAAAATTTCTGCCATACTGTATGTGATTTGATACAACCTTAATTTATACAGTAGGCTTGCGGTTGCACCATGTGTGAGAGAGAGAGGGAGGATTGAGGGGTCCTGAAAAGGACTCTCTGTAATCTTTCTTGAGGATGTGTAGTCCTAAAAAGGACATTGTTTTAGTATTCTTTCATTTTAATTGCTTCAGCTTTGTCCCTCTACATGTATGTCTCCATGTAGATAGAGAATTGTGTGCACTGTTAATAGATTAGAAATCAAATTAGTTGTACACGAACAGTGTACTTGGTACTTGGGTGGGTAATCCCTGTGGCAGCTCACATAGGAAGCTATACTGGGATGGTAGGTGAGGCGAGTAACTACAAGGAGTGTCATGAAGTGGAATGGTGTGTGGACAAAGCACTTTATAATTTACAGTAAAATATGTTAAAGGAAACCAAAACCTTCATACTAAGTTACTTTTATTGTAAAGTTTAAGATATTTGAAAAATATTAGTGAAAATTTGAACAAAATCGGGCAAGGAATAAGGAAGTAAGAGCTTTTTGAAATGACTAGTCACTAGAGGGCGGTATTCAATTTGATGACATCATCTGTGGACAACTCTCCATGCCTTTTGTACATCAAATTTCATGTTTTTCCTTCTTTCTTGTGATTGAGATAATGTACTCCCCTGAAAGCAAGATATAGAATGCAAAATGATATTCTACTTCACATGTTATGAAGTCGGATCAAGAACACAAATAAATACGAAGAAAACAAAAAAATTGTGAAATTTTATGTACAAAAGGCATGGAGAGTTGTTCACAGATGATGTCATCAAATTGAATATCGCCCTCTAGTGACTAGTCATTTCAAAATGCTCTAACTTTCTTATTCCTTGCCCGATTTTGTTCAAATTTTCACTGATTTTATTCAAATCTTTTAAACTTTACAATAAAAGTAACTTAGTATGAAGGTTTTGGTTTCCTTTAAGTCCAGTGCAAGTGAAAACCAAGCTACCGAGTGTGTGTACATGTACATGTATGTGTACTAGGCATCCATGATTCATAGACTGTATTCTCTTTCATGGTTGAGTTTTTTTCTCCATTTTTTTTACAGATAAGGAACCTGCTGCTACTTCAGCAAGCACCAGTGGTGGAGAGCCTGGACCCACCAGTGACAGGAGAGGGAGCTCATTACTCAAATCAATAGACCCCATTGAACAGGCACAGCTAGAGATGAAGCAGGTCATGCTCGCTCTTGTCAGGGTAAGACTCCAGTATTTTGATTAAAGGCATCATTTAACAATGTTAAATCTGAGATGCATGGTTATCAGTGTTTGTGATATGGTGTATTGAAGCCCTAAAAGAGTTGCGCTTCAAAATGATCATGGAGTGCCTTAAAAAAGTAAAAAAAATACCCTGAGTGACTGGTTTAACCATACTCATTTTCCCCAAAAGACTGTAGTGTTATAAAAACCGAAAACGAAAAATGAATTTTCCAATCATAAATATCTTGATAATCAGACTGGCGATCGGCTGTAAAAGTCATGGGGTTCCTGACTGACCTAAAGGTTTATAATTATCATTGCAGCATGAGCTAATTCCAGGATTTAGTTTCAGAATCTGAGACAAAGACACCCAATCCCTTTAAGTTATTTCTTGATTTTTCAACAAACATGCAGCTCAGTTCTACAACATGAATATGTTTATAAACCCTTGATTGTAATTTGAGTGAAATATTTCCTTGCAGTATCCCATTGGGATGAATTAGCAGGACAAAATAAGTTGTTGGAGATTGGAAGTAGATGGAGTCAACAAGTAGAGCTTTTAGTGATTTAAACTTGTTACAATTGTGCTATTTCAGTGTATATTTCACTTTTAAATACCATTCCGTAATCTTAAAGAAAGAATAAAGAAATTAATGTTTTGCTACATGTACATCACTTGAACCCATACATGTACATGTTTGTGTGTGTAATAATAAATATCCTTAAAGGGCTTTTCATTTTTCACAGCTTTTCTAAGATTTGTAGCATATCCGTTAGTGTTTCCATATATGATTTTAATCTGCAGGAGACAGGTTTGCATATGATTTAAAATTATTATCTGTCAGGGAGACTGGCCCTGTTTGCTGTTGGTAGATTAATAAACTTCCTTTAATCTGGTTATCTGGGATGATTAGGTGATCCCCTAGGTGATCCCCAGGCATTGGCTTGTGCTAAATATCATACTGTTAATGTTATATATCATCATTTTGTCAACCCTGTGATGTTTTATACATGTGTATGTATTGTTATATCCCTTCTATGAATATTCATGACTTTCTAAATACATGATTGGTCAATTGGTGGTCACATGATAAAATATAATTTCACTATTAAAAACAAATCTCTGCCAGAGCCCCGAATATTTTTCACTATTTTTTTCTGGACAGAACTGCGCATGATCTCTTTGAGGTTTTCAGGTAGATAAGCATTTTGACATCACATGTTCAACCAAAAGTAATGCGCAATTAGCACGTGTAATTAAATGCGCGTTAATATAATTGTGCGCAGGTTAAATTGACAAATTCAAACTGATTACTTCTCCAATACCCCAATGTGGGTGACATAAGAATAAATTGTCATCGTCATTGATAGCGCGTTAAAAAACCATATAGCAGCCAATCATTAAGTCAAACGTTGACCTTACACTGACCTTTAAAGGGATCGTAAAAAAGGGATATAAAAACAAATGTACCAAGCATTTAGTTCGTAAGAATACGGTAGTGGAAATTATATATCTGAGGAGGGATTGGCATAGTTCTTTTTTTTCGGAGGGTTGCCCCTCGGAAAAAATAGTACTGTGCCAGTCTCTCCTCAGATATATAATTTCCATTATATACCTCACTGAGGAAAATCCAGCCATCTGATTGGTCGAATTGCATTCATAAACTTCAACTGTTCCTGTAAAATTCCCGGTAACCATGCTTAAAACATTTCAATATTTTTAATAACCATGGTTATTAAAAAAATAGGTCAGTCTCCATGGTTACCCCATAGGTTTACATGTTAAAAAATGGTTTGAGCGATGGAGGATACCATACGTGTGCGAAAAATTGGTCGGCAATTTCAATACAATTGAATCTCGATCGATCTTACCGACAATTTTATCTTGCATTGTTGACATGAAGACGAAAATTAACTCTCAAAAACAAAAAAACAACATCTGCCGATAGATCTTGATCTAAGTTCGTGCCAATATGCATTGCAAAAGTAAAAGAAGGGTCCGTTTCATGGAGCTTTTGCGAAGCATCCCTCACACGGAGCCGTTTTCAATCCATTTTAATGTATATATTGGAGAAAACTGCCAAGCATTTTAACGGCGCGCGATAGCCGAGTGGTCTAAGCGTTGGTTTTCGATACACCTCTTGTTGTACGCAAGAGTTCGAATCCCGTCTTCGACAAAAATGAAAATTATTTTTTATTTTTTATTTTTTAGTCTATTTTTTTTCGGCATATAAAAGTATTAATGACTGCTTTAATATTCGAGAAATAGTTGTTTTCATACGCTCTCGGGAAGGTTACAATTGTGCTATTCCCCTCGGCAAGCCTCGGGGAATAGCACAATTCTAACCTTCCCTTGAGCGTAATAAAACAACTATTTCTCTCAAAGCAGTCATTAATACTATACTATTTGTTCTCACAGCTTGGTATAATTGTATATTATCATCTTCCCTGGAACTAAAATAAATAAATAACTAAAATCCTGCAGATCAACGCCATGAAGTCTCTAGGAACCATCATCGGTTGCAGCAAGTACGCCGAGATGCTCCTTGTTCCCAAGATGGAGACAAGTAATAAACCCGTCAAGCGGCAAAACAGCAAAGAAAAATCATCTTCCCAGTCGACGTCCACATCATCGAGGCCATCGAGCCCCAAGTCGTCCGACAGCAATGACCCTCCAAAGAGCGGGGAATGCCTGGAGGAGCTACGCAGTACCCTTCGCTCCATCATGCGGCGCTTGGTCAAGCAGGCAGTGATGCCCTCACCAATCAAGCGTGTTGTTTCGGTAGCCGAGCTGGAGAGGGCGCAAGCCATGTTGGTCAAAGTAACGGCCCAAGCTCCTTTTGCTGTAGATGAGGGAGAAGATAGGGCGACAGGTGGAGGTTAGTATAATGGTGCTTTTTGATGAGTAGGAATTAAACAGGTTTCTGATTATTTCCTTAAGTTTAGTTCTTCATATTCAACATTTTTTAATGGTGTATAAGCACTGTATAGAGGTTACCCTGTTTGTCATTTGACACATTTGCAGTACAATGTCTTAATAGTTTTGTTATGTGAAGAAAGGAGACTGAGGTACATGTACATATATATTAATGTTGTTTACATGTATATGATCAGAACATTAGTTTTCAGGCAAAGTGTTAATGTAAGCTTGTAAAATTATATTGCTTTACAGTTTTTCGATAGTATGTGATGAGGTATTTCAGATAAGAAAGTAGAGAAATTTATATATTAGGTAAATTGTTCAATTCTGTTTTTTTTAATTGTGTTGCAGCACTCTTTTTTTTTTCTCATTCAATTTTTTTCCTTCATCTTTATTGCAGAATCAGCATCAGCTTCCTCCAAGCCCTCCCAAACCCCGCCCCAAGACTCGCTCCTCCCCCAGGGGGAGGGTAACGACCAATCACAGGACGAAGGCCTATCCCTAGCGCCCGTCTCTGCTCCGCCCACACCATCATCGTCCATCCCCCCTCGGAGATTGAGGAGGATAACCCGGAATAACGGCACCCTGACTCTCAGACGTCAACCTAGAGGGCCTCCCAGGGTTCCTGCTGACACGCCTCCTCCGTCACCTGATCCATGCGAGGCTGCAAGGGATTCTGCGGCAGGTAAGGACACAGTTGAGAAAATATAGCTACGGTGTGTGGCCGAGTTGGTAGAGTTGTGTGTGTTGTGGATTTGTTACTTCTCTGCATTGAGCACTACAAATGCTGGAGCAAAAGCCAGGGAATTAACATACAAAGTCCTATTGAAGCGTAGTATCATAGCTTTTGTTACTTCTCTGCATTGAGCACTACGAATGCTGGAGCAAAAGCCAGGGAGATAACATCCAAAGTCCTATTGAAGCGCATAGAGACGTTGTATCATAGCTTTTCAAAGACGTCATACTGTACATTACCATTGTTCTTTCCAATATGCTGTGACTTGAAATTTTCTCAGGGAATGGTTGCTCATCAGAGATACAGGGTTAAGTTTCAGGCTGCTATTTCCTCTTTCTGTTTCTGGTCAAATGTAGAGTTGGGTTGTGGTAAAGGGTTATGTCCAGGATCAGAGTTAAGAATTATATATATCCAGGGACAAGCCGATGATAGGCCTTTATTTGTCCCTCCACATTTTGATATGTTTTTATGTTATTTGTATCTGTTGTAATTTTGTTCTATACCTTTTATTTTTTGTTGACTTTCTTTATACCTTTACTACATTACCATGTAAATTGTTTGGGCGCATTATGTTGAGAATCCTTAATTAACATAGTTTTGATAAAATATCACATGATCTCCGTTTTGTGAATAAGCTTGCTTTCTTTCTTCTTTCCTTTCTCCAGCAGCCAGCAGGTTGGCAGCGAGACGTGCAGCATCGCCCCCTCCCCCTCCCATCGCTGGTCCTCTCCTTGAGATGGGCTTCACTATACAACACATCCACAAAGCCATGGAAGTCACCGGTAATTTTCACATGCCTTGTAAAATTTATTGGAATAGATGTAGATTATTACTCTTCTTTCAGAAAAATATATACAACATTATACATAAGGTTCATGTGCAACAGCATTAGCATTTTCAATTGTATTATTTTGTTATTTCATGCGCACACCCAGTCCGTCTCATTTTACTGCACCAGGGGGGTGTTTCACAAAGATTCTAATTGGAAATTAACTCTAGGTTGGACTTAAATATTATGGAGAGCCATTTGTATCCTATTATCCCCTCGCCGACGAAGTCGGAGGGGATATAGAAACGCTACCATCCGTCCTTCCTTCCTTCCGTGCGTCCGTCAGTCCGTAACAAATTTGGTTTCCGATCGATAACTTCAGTAATGTTTGACGGATTTTAATGAAATTTGATATGAAGGTACATGATATCAAAGCACAACCTAAGTTTGATTTCAGAGTATGTAGGTCAAAGGTCATAGCTCATTAAATATGCAAACCTGGTTTCCAATCCATAACTTTAGTATTGTTTGACGGATTTTAATGAAATTTGATATGAAGGTTCATGGTATCAAAACACAGCCTAAGTTCGATTTCGGAGTATGTAGGTCAAAGGTCATAGCTCATTAAATATACGAACCTGGTTTCCATTCGATAACTTGAGTAATGTTTGACAAATTTTAATGAACTTTAATATGAAGGTACATGGTATCAAAATACATGTACAGCCTCAGTTCGATTTCTGAGTATGTAGGTCAAAGGTGAAAGGTCATAGCTCATTAAATATGCAAAAACACCTAATTATATATGTGAAAATGTGGTAAACTTCCTTGCCTAGTAATATAATAGTATAGTCCAATGGAGGTAACTTGTTCTGACGTATATACATGTAGGCCATTTGTACCCTGCGAGGGGATGCTACACCGTGCGTTGACTTGTAATGAAATATATTCAAAAGCAAAAATTCTAGTATTTTAGACTTTTCACAAATTCCACTTCAAGAACATGAAATCTCTCATGATAATAGAAAATATGAATGATTTGAACCAGCATGTTATGCCTTTTAAAATGACTTTTACAAAATATTTCAAGGATGCTAATGGCTTTCCATAATTGTTAAGTCCAACTTCGAGACAAGTTCAACTAAGGATCTTTGTGAAACACCCCCAGGAGTGTTGAGCCGTATTATTGTCAGATATTGTCATTGATCAATTCTTATTAGTCACAACTCTTAATAAAGTAAACCTTAAAATGATTTTTGGTGCACATGCAGGGACGAGTGGAGAGCTTGACCCGGAGCGCATCAGCGTCCTAGCGACCTGGATGCTGGAGCATCCTCACACAGCCGTGCCGGACCCCGAGGAGGAGGAGGAGGAGGACGAAGGAGGCATCGATGCTCTATCGATCTTGACCGGTGCGACCGTCGGACTGAGCTCGACGACTTCCCTCTCCGTCGATGAAGGATCCAATGCTGATGCCATGAGCTTGGATGCTGGCATCGAGGAGTCCATCTTCATGGTAGATGAGTAAGTACTCTTAACATTTTATTACAGTAAAACCTGTATAGAAAGACCGATCTAGGGAAACATAAAAAATGGCCTTGATATACAGGTTCCTTTGGTACAGGTTTCAATGAGAAACCATATTCAAGGGAAACAAAAAATTTGGTCTTTAAAGACAGGTGATCTTTCTATACAGGAGGACATCACAGCAGTTTTTATTGTATTTGATTTTTATTGAACACCATTCATGTTGCAGAACTGCACTAGTACGTCTTTAAGTTTGAGCTGGATAATTCCTTGTTGTTTTGTTTAGTCTGATGCATCTATCCACAAGTAAAAGATTATTTAATTTTTCCTGTGTTTTTTGCATTAACTAGAATGACTTTGACCCTACCAAGTACCCATTTAACATTTAATTTGAATCATTACTCAGAGCTGCCAACCATTCCGTTTTTGCCGGAATTACTCCAAATTACGGTTCTACGTTTTTTCTTCATAAAATACGTTTTTTTTTGTTTTTTTTACATACCACACGTCAAACAACTGCCCTTAAATGGTGATTTGATCACGAATTCAATAGAAAACTTATTTTAAAACATACTTGAAGAGAAAAATATTCTCTTGCTTGTATGGAAAAAACAGCATGATGAATGAACATTTCTGCATTGGAAGTGTGTCGCGCGTGGTTGTAAGGTTCTTTTTATGAATTCCTTTTTTTGGCTTGAAATTCCTTTTTTTTTGCCATCATGATTCCTTTTTTTGGTCGCACAAGGTTGGCAGCTTTGATTACTCACCAAATTCACAAATGAATCTTATTTCTGTATCATCAGGGCTGGCATCGCACCGGCCATATCTACAGAGCGACCCCCGTCTCGTCTGGAGAGGTACAGAGCTGTAGCCGACCTGTCTTCACTGGCCAATGCTATGGCAAGGAGTCTGGACACACCAAGCGTTCCATGTAAGTACCACTGTGGATATCGCAAAAGGTCACAGTTCTATTACATATCGAGGGTTCTGTGACGCGAAGACGAAACTCCATATTTTGCCGAAATTGTTATTTCAGGAAAATTCAGATTCAGATTCAGATTCAGATTAATTTTATTGGTCCATTTGGAAATTCAGTTGTTGGCATTACATAAAGCACATGAACAATATACAGTAGAAAATAATATACACAAATAGATAATACACAGTAGCAAATGTACAATGACATATTCATATGGAAACACAGATATAAATCGTTTTACATCGTGGAATGATGTAAGAAAATAGAATAAATAAATGGACTTCCAACATTATTGAAAATGTATTGCGTAGAATTTGGAAATATTATTGTTATTATCTTTTATTATTATTATTTTTATAATTATTATCATCATCATCATTATTATCATTATCATAATTAATATTGTTACTATTATTAATATTATTATTATCATCATTATCAACAGTATTTATCATACATGTATGTATCATTCTTTGCCACAAGTAAAAATGTGGTTTTCCAGGAAACACAAAGACTTAACTCCACCCAACACCCCTTTGAAGTCAATGGCTAGTGAAACATAGACTTAACTCCTTAAGGCCCTAGTGCTCAGTGACACATAAACCACTTTTTCTCAAAATGGCAAAAATTGAGTTACGTCTTTGTGTCACTGACCCCTCGATATGCTTTTGTGTCAATCGCTCTGTGGTCAATCAATTGTTACCTACATCAGGCTGGTCCACGAGCAACAATTTGAATATATCAAACTGGAACTCGGAAGGAGTATTAATTGATGCATGCAAGCTTGAAAGCCCTTTTCTATAAAAGTTGCGTTTAAAGATAAACTTGAGTTCTGGTAAAAAAAGAAAATGAATTCTCACAGAATCAAACGAAACTTACACACTGGACACTGAATGTTCAAGATTACAAATAAATGTCATTTGCCAAACAATTTTGGTAGAAAATGTATCGTCGGTGGGGTGACAAAACCTTGTATCTCAAAAATCATGAATTTTCAGGAGAGCGCAAAAACCTTTCCTGTCTCAACAGATTTAGTGCTGTGACACCGTCCTTTGTTTGGAATTTGTGAAAAAACCGAGACAGGTGGCGTTCCATGGATTTATCAGGTGGTGTCGTAGGCCATTAGGTACAAAATTATGCAAAAAAATCAAAATCTCAAAAAATTGAGATACAAGGTTTTGTCACCCCACCGACGGTATACTGGCCGAGTAATGAGCATACAAAGATAAGGAAATCAAGGTAAGTGTGTACAGTGCTTGTGACTTTATCAAGACCAGAACCTTGCAGTACACACCAATACTTACATGCTACATGATCACCTTTTTCTGATCCATTCCACACCTTTTCTTTCACAATGCAATCGTATGACTAGAACTCCACTTTATCTTTAATCGCAATTCAAAAATTAAACGCAAGTCCGAAATACGCGATCCGGATTGGTTGAAAATCAATTTGCGTTCAATTTTTTTTTTTTTTTTTCCGGGCTAAGATTGGTACATGTACATGTACAATGATCTTGTATAGTGTAAATATTCCAATAACCTTGCATCACCACTCTGCATTTGTTGATACATATCCATTACTTTTCCTTCGTTCAAATAGATCAAGATCTGATGGGAAGTGCCCTCCTGTCAGGAACCTTTCCCCAGAACCTCCAGGACGTCACCATCTTTGACGAACAGGACATGGACATCGAAGAAGACCAAACCAACAACCTCCTTGGCGACATCACGTCTGAAACAGAGCTCCTTGGCCAGTGGTATGAGGAGGTACGTGAACAAGTAAAATTTCCCTGTACTTGTATGAAGCAGGGATAAAGTCATTATACAGTCAAACCTGTCTACAGCGACCGCCCAAGGGATACACAAAAAGTGGTCTTTGTAGATAGGTTCCTTTAGTACATGTTTCAATGAGAAACCATTTTCAAGGGAAATAAAATATGTGCTTGTTGAAGACAGGTGGTCTTTGTAGACAGGTGGTCACTAAAACAGGTTTGACTGTATCTCAATTACAAAACGGACTCCATGCTCACTCTTACCCAACCGACTTTTTCCATTCGGGGTAATGTAATTGTTGGTTCAGGCTATTGTTAATCTGGACCCGGTTTCATAAAACTTGATATCGATAACAAATGCTAAATTCCTTTGACAAATCGCTCTCGGCCAATCAAATGCCACGATTTCAGTAGCTTATAACAGTTATCCTTACTTGTTATTGATAGCAAGTTTTATGAAACAGGGCCCTGATTCCAGGCCCCCACACTCAGTGTTATTTAGGGTACGCGCATGCATGCTCCCTCCTTTTGAAAACACCCCCTTAAGTCCGATGTGTAAAGTCAATACAGGCCAGACTTTGGTGCGTGAAAAGTACCCCTTTACCGGACATTTTGGGAACACGAATGCGGGCCCTGATGTCAGTCCCATTGGTGTCATGGAGGTGCCGTTCAGCACTTTATATCCTTAGGAAAGAGGTCTCTGGAGAGGTTTATTCTAGATTTAGTTTGATAAGTTTTATTAGTTTTATTATAGAATTTGTAATAGTGTAGGAAACCTTTAGGTACTACTTGAGAAATACAATGTGGCACATGGATATCATTGAAGTGGCACGTGTGTATTATACTTGTGACAACCAAATTCATGTAGTTATGTTTCTGTACACAAAGTGAAGAATAAAGAAGAAGAAATATTAAAAAGTGATACCTGTAGATTTTCCCCCAGACTTTGCTCATGATTCCCCATCTGCCTTCTTCCCTCTCTCCAATGGCATCGCCGGTCACAATGCAGCTCTCACACGTCAGCAGCGCCCAGGTGACCTGTGAACTCTGCAGCACCACCGTCACCTGGTTCAACCGCCACATGCACCAGTACCACCCCGGCTGCGGCAAGAGCTGCGGTCACATGGGCTACCGTAGCAACGGCTCCTACGTGGATGGATGGTTCGGAGGGGCATGCGGGACGGGGACGCCGTACTACCTGCTGTGCCGAGACTGCAGGCAGAAGTATCTTCAGGACAAGCCTGCTTCGCAGCAGTCGCCTGTCGCTGTGGATCTTGGAGTGGGAGCAGACACTGGAGCAGATGGTAGATTATTTTAAAGATATTAAAGAGTAATGGGAAATTTGAATGCAACAACACTGCGCACCGCATCTGTCATTTCTAACAACTGTTTTGGTACCATTGTTATTCTTGGCTCTGTATAATACACATGTACTAGGTTACATAGAGGGGGTCAGAATTTTCAACTGGGCTGTGTAATTATATTTTCTTGTTTTTAATTTATCACATGTACTGATACGCACAAAAAAATAAAGTATGGCCATAATTTTTAATAGAGGTACAATCTTATTTTTTTTAGATCCAAAGCAGTGTTTGAAATAATGATGAAATATGAAATAATACACAATAGTAGGTTGTTATAAAAAAGTAAAACAATAGTATCAGTGAAATATCTCATATTTCAAATCTTTCAACTTTGCAATGTGCAAACTTCAATGTTATAAAGGTTAAGTTTATACTAAAGAGTGTCAATACATTCTTTTTTTCATTTTCAACTTGTTATAGCCAGGTTAGAAAATTTTGTAATGATGGAAAACTGTAAAGTTGTGTAGTATACATTGTAACTGAAACTTTACTTGAAAATATTGATGATATAAATCTCTTCTTTATTCTTCCTATCAATCAGACGAGACAGGTCATCTCGGCGTGGACGAAGACCTGCTCCTCTCTGGCCAGGAGAACTTTGAACAGGTGATGCATCGTCTGGGTCTGACCGACAGCAGGCCCATCCCCTCGGCTTTGGACTTTTCGGAACAGGACCCACTCGGGGCTAAGGCCTGCTCGGACTGTAAAGGACAGACCAACAATGGTGGTGCCCAACAAAATGGTAGGTGGCTGTGAATGGTGCTCAAAAATATCTAGTAGTGAAATTAGTAAGTAAGTAAGTAACTAATGAAATGGTCGGTTCTTGTGTAGCACTCATGTCTGTCAGACTTGTCAGACTTGACACTTCTGGCGCTCCACATTTATTACCCTGGCTTTAGCATGGCTGCCATTTTGGCACTCTAGCATACATGTACATTGCAAAGAGAGATTCATTTGATTGTAATAGTTCTTTTATTTCCTCAAGTCATCAGAATAGCAATGAGAGGAGAAATGGAATGAATTTTTCATATTTCAAAGAGAAATATATTTCAAAATACATGCTATAATACATTTACATGCATCTTGGAAACATACAATTCCTTGACCCCTCTCTGATTCCCAGGGAGGCACAAGGGCTCAGTGATAGAGCAGTGGTCTCATAAACCAGAAGGTCCCAGGTTCAAAACCAAATCGATGCGCTAGTGCCCTTTGGTAAGGCATTAATCCTCATTACTAAGTCCCTTGGAAAGGACTTGCAGCCGTCGGTCCCCTGGTTGCTTACTTACAAGCATACACATGCTTTGTTAGCAGTCAGGTAAAACAAAACAAAACAAACAAGGGGATACTTCTCAACAGTAATGCTTGAAAGTTAGATTTCAGGGCAAGTATGCGTAATGTACATGTACAGTGAAACCTGTCTATAAAGACCACCCAAGGGAGACAATAAAAGTACATTTTCCTTTAATACATGTTTCAATGAGAAACCATTTTCAAGGGAAACAAAAAATGTCTTTGTAGACAGGTGGTCTCTAAAGCAGGTTTGACTGTATATTGCTCGTTCACTCCTCTCACTATTCACTTTCTCTCCACAGATGGAAACAGTTTTCCTAGCATCAACGGACAACCCTGCAGACTGTCCTTAGGGGAGCAAGTCTCCATCCTGTTGACACCCCAGGAGAGAGGGGTAGCACTACGTAAAGTCGCTGCGGCCTCCCAGGTGCTGCTGGCACGTTCAATGGTAATGAGGGCACTCTCACTGCTATCAGTCAGGTAAGTTGCCCCCAGTCAGTCTTCTTGAAAGAGCCTCAAGAGTTCCCCAGATATATATACATGTATGCCTCCTTGAGTTGCTCTTGAATATTCATGTACGGAAAATGGAAAGCTGTTTCACATCTTTAAAAGGACGCTCAGTTATATATTCCAAATAAATGAAAAAAATATTTGTTGAAGCGATATGGATGACAGAACTCTATTCCAATTGTATTCTATTCACAGTGGCTCGGCATGCAACCTCTCCGAAGGTCTGGAGAGACTCGGTCTGGCCGACATCCGGCTGGTCGTCCGTCTCATGTGCCTGGCCGCAGCGGGCCGAGCCGACTTCACCTCGATGTCGACCTCGTACCCCGACACCAGCTTCTCGCAAACTCAGTACTACCCCAGTCCCTCATCGGCCACCAGTGCGGCGGTGGACGCCATCAGCCATAGCTCCACGTCCAGTCTCTCGTACTTGAGCTCGGCCATCGGAGCTCTGGTGTTGAGTAATCCCAGCGCGGCCAAGCTGCTTGTTCAGCTATGCACAAAGGTAAGTTCCAGGGGTCAGTGACACAAAGACGTAACTTCATTTTGGCCATTTTGAGAAAAAGTAGTTTATGTGTCACTTAGCACTTGGGCCTTAAGGAGTTAAGTCTATGTTTCACTAGTCATCGACTTCAATGGGGTGTTGGGTGGAGTTAAGTCTTTGTGTTTCCTGGAAAGCCCACATTTTGCTGAACATTTTGATATCAAATACTCATTTTGGCAAAATACGGAGTTACATCTTTGTGTCACTGAACCCTTGAGTCATTGTCTCTGTCATTGTTCATTTTAGGAAATACATATTATGATACTACAATCAAACCTGCTTTAGCGACCACCTGTATAAAAAGACCACCTGTCTGCAGAGACCACATTTTTTGTTTCCCTTGAAAATGGTCTCTCATTGAAACATGTACTAAAAGAACCTGTCCCTAAAGACCACCTGCCTAAAAAGACCACTTTTCTGTCTCCTTTAGGTGGTCTTTATAGATATGTTTCACTGAACCTTTAGATGTAAGTGGTCAAATGCTGTCCCATACATGTATGTCTCATTGTGAACGTGGCCTTCTTTTCAACTTCATATTTTAAAGATATCTTTTTTGTAGGCTAACGGTGGAAAATAGATTCATATTCAATACTGTCAATCGCCAAATGTAGGTTTCATCTTCTAATCTTGGCCAGGTGCTTTGCTCCTAGATAATACAAAAAATTATCTTGTTTCTCGCAACACTTTGTAATAAATAGTGCCCCAAAAGAAAGAATTCCTTTGTCCTTAAAACATTTTGAGCATTGTGACACTGCAGCTCAGCTCAAACCATGTTAATGCATGTACATGTAGTACATGTACCTTTGCTCTTTCTAGTCGTACGGGATAGCTTTTAAAGGCATTGTTTAACAATGTTAAATCTGAGATGCATGGCCCTACGTGTTATCAGTGTCTGTGCTATGGTATAATATTGAAGCCCTACAAAAATTGCTCTTCAAAATGATCATGAACTGCCTCAAAAAAGTAAAAATCTTTGAGGGACCGGTTTTACCACACTCATTTTCCCCATTAGACTGTAGTGTTATAAAAACCGTTAGGAAAACAAAAAATTAAATTTTGATTTCCAACCATAAATATCTAGATAATAAGACAGTCATGGGGTTCCTGACTGACCTAAAGGTTTATAATTATCATTGCAGCATAAGCTAAATCCAAGATTTTGCTTCAGAATTTGAGACAAAGATCTAATACATGTTCTTTAATAGTAGTTATTGTTTGTGCCCCCTTTCTATCTAAAGGACCTGTTGTCGGCAGCTTGTGGTCTGAACATCGCAGCCATAGATACCAGGCGAGTTGCCATGGCAACGGAGGACCCAAGCAGCTCCGATCAGAGGGCATTATCATCGCCTAGCTTTGCCGTCACCAAGGCACTGGTGGCCCTCTTGGCTAAGAGCTCACCAAGTACTTCAAAGTCTCATGGAGCAAGTGATAACAAAGGTGTGGCACCTACAATTGATATTAGTAGCACATACTCATAGTTTTTTGCCAGGTTGGGGGAATGTTGTGTAGTATACATGTACGTTGTGAAACTAAAAGGTAGCTAATTTTATTTTTTAATCTGTTTATGCTGAAGTTTGATATCATTATCGAACAGTGAATTAAATTTTCAGTCACATTGTGAGTATTAACTCTTTGTTTTCTTATTTAGACATCAAGTTATAATCAAGAGCAACAACAACAAAAACACCAACAAAAAGCTGGAATTTTGTATTTTTCCCCCCTGTATGTGAAATATTTGTTACAAGCAATTTTGTGTAATGAAAACGGAGTTGATTTTTTTATGTTTAAGTTTACACAAATGTGGCATTATTTGTATCATATATTATTTAGGCCTATATTCATTAGTTGGGGTTAGTCTGCCATGAAGTCAAGTGTCTTTCAAAATGATGTTATTTATCCTCATTCTCAAAACGAACTTAAAGCAGAAATGCTGCGAAGACAGTATTGTCATACATGTATACAGTCAAAGCTGTCTATAGCAACTGCCCAAGGGAAACACAAAAAGTTGTCTTTGTAGACAGGTTCCATTAGTACATGGTTCAATGAGAAACCATTTTCAAGGGAAACAAAAAATGTGGTCTTTGTAGACAGGTGGTCACTAAAGCAGGTTGACTGTACATGAACATTTACAGTGTACACTGTACCTGTTGTACACAAGTCATTTAGTAATTTATGTATGTATCATTTCATATCTTTCCAGATACCAAACCAAAGTCCAATCCTCTACTGCTTGCCAACGCCCTGGCGGCCTGCTGCCTGTCCAGTCGTCTAGCCAGCGACCATCGCCAGTGGGCAGCCCAGCAGCTGGTCAAGGCTCTGGCCGGCAAGGCCAAGGATGAGACGGGGTCCAGGGGGCCTCAGTCCCTCCCCATGGTAGCCGACGTCCAGGGGGAACTACCCCAGTGCCCTGTGGAGAAGGTGGAGGCTCACACGGCACCCCTGACGGCCAGCAGATGGAATACAAAGAAGGCACTTCTAGCAACGTGGTCAGTATATCTTGCTCCTTTTAGCACAATTATATTCTGACTTACATGTACAGTGAAACCTGTCTATAAAGCGCATGATTCAATGAGAAACCATTTTCAAAGGAAACAAAAAACATGGTCTTTGTAGACAGGTGTATCCTGTCTGACTGTATTTCCTGTTTTTATGACGCAATTTCTGTGACGCAATTTTGCAATGAATGTTCCCAAAAGAGGCGTTTACATGTCTGTATTGCATGTTTGTACACAGATATTTTGTTTTACCATGTTAAGAATGTTCGGCAGTAATGTTTCATACGCATCATGTATTTACTATGCACAGTGCCAGGAACTCTAGTACTGTGCATGGTGAATAAATAACCAGTTGGCCCTGCGCAGGTAAGGCGCACCTGAACATTACTGCAGAATGTCCTTATATAGTGTTTTTCTAAGGAGTTTTTTCACCAAAACACAGTAGAGAATCTATGTAGTAGCTGTGCTGTTTAATTCAAGTTTATTGATTTATTATAATTAACTAAATGTACAACGCACTTGAATGTAAACGAGCAAACTCTTATTTACATTAAAGTGATGCAGTGAAATACTTTTAATAATTGACATGTAGATGCACATTTTTGTTGTAAGTATTTGTATTACTTCTCTTCATGAAATATTCAATTTTCGTCATAGTAATGACCTTTGTTAATTATGCAGATGCATGTGCATGTAGCTTTGGATTATAGAAGTACAGGGAAAAAAAAGAGAGGCTGAGCTATAAGGTTCATAAGGTTCATATTTATTGTCCATTTAACAATGGAAATTTGTTGTGTTACATGGTATTGCGATACACATATATATAACATAATTATAAACTCATACAAAATTAATAAAATAATTTTTGAGTTCACAAAAAACAAACAATTAACAATCAAAACAAAGATATAGTATAGATATATATCTGGATTATTAACCAAAATTATTATTTTTTCACTCAGTGGTCGAGATGGGCGTGTCCGCACCTGGAGTCTGACCCCCTCCTCCCACCCCCTGCCCCAGCAGATCTGCACCTTCTCCGCCACCGAGGACCAGATTGCCATCCTGAAGGGGCGCTACCCAGACGGACTGCCCCTCTCAAACTTCTGCTGGACCCCCAGCGGTCGCATCATGGCAGGCTCTGTCGACAACCTGGTCAATATTTGGTTTACCACGGGTAAGACAGGAATCAATGCCAAATTTTTGTGGGGTTGATATTTGTCACCCATTCTGTGCTATTCGATGTTAGAACTTGAATCATAAGCAAGATGTTTGGACTAAATGTAGTTATATTTTTCTTTCACAATAAGGAACAGGTACAGTGTACATGTACTTTCACTGTGAATGTAGTCCTATGTAATTACATAAAAGCCCAATTTGACAAATAAAACAGCATTATCAGTGAATTTTTTTCTTGTAATTTAATTTTATTCGGCCGTTAAAAGACTACTTGGTGAGACAGAACTGGTTAAAGAAATATGAAACACAAACAGGTCTTGTTGAGAGCCCACAGCACTCTTATTAAAAGAGCAGGGGTATACCCTGGTTTTGTGTGACACTTGCACCTCCACATTAGTTTTACCAAGAGAAGAGTTCTAAAGTGTTATCGTTACCTCTTCCAGGCTCAGGTGATGCCAATTGAATAATGATCATAGAAATAATAATGATGAGAACAACAACAATCCTTTAAAACCAGTCAACCAACAGGGATCCTTATCTTCTAACACCATCCTCTGCTTTGCTGAATGTACTGCATCATTTCATCCTATCCCGCTCCAGCACTTCCTCTTCCACACCAAAAGTGTTTATAACTACATTTATTTTCTCCCCTTCATGTACCTCTCTAGGTGGGCGTGGTCACCTGGACATCCAACCCCAGCTGGTGACGGCCCTCACCTGGCCCCTCCACAAGGGTCTTCTGGAGGGCAGGGCCGGTACCACCACCGACATGCTGGTGGTAGGGAGGGTAGATGGTTCCCTGGGGCTCATCGAGATACTGGATCACACTACCTTCCATCGAGTAGAGCTGGAACAGTGCTACAGGCAGGGAGGTTAGTTTGGCTCTCATCTTTATAGTTGTTCTTGGAGAGAGAGAGAGATAGATAGAAAGAATAGGAAGGGAGAAAGGGGGAATGTAATTGAAGGGATACGGTATCTTTGTCTCAGATTCTGAAACCAAATCCTGGATTTAGCTCATGCTGCAATGATAATTATAAACCTTTAGGTCAGTCAGGAACACCATGACTTTTACAAGCCGATCGCCTGTCAGATTATCAAGATATTTATGATTGGAAATCGAAACCAAATTTTGTGTTTTCCTAATGGTTTTCATAACACTACAGTATATTGGGGAAAACAAGTATGGTAAAACTGGTCACTCTAAGATTTTAAATTTTTTTTGAGGCACTTCTTGATCATTTTGAAGCGCATTTTGTTTAGGGCTTCAATATTACACCATATCACAGACACTGATAACACGTAGGGCCATGCATCTCAGATTTAACATTGTTAAACGATGCCTTTAATGGAGACAATAAGAAAACATGAAAATGAAGCATGTGAGAAAAAGCAGGACAGTTGAGATGAAAGAGAGAGGAAGAGAAGGGGGATGGAGACAGAAAATAGGCCAATGGGAGAAGAAGTAAAGAAGGATGAAAAGAATGGAAGGTATAAAGATGAATTGAAAAAAAAAGAAAAGTAGAAATATAGAGGGAAAGACTGAGAGGGGAAAGAAAGGGAAAGACAGAGTACAAATACAAAGTAAAAACTGAGGTGAGAGATTTAAAAAGAAAGATGGAAATTCAGAAAGAAAGAATAAAGGATAAAAATTAGGAGAGCTAAAATATATGACAGATTGGTAGAAAGTAGAAAGCAGAAAAAATAATGAAATGCATAAAATGCTTAATTGTACTGTCATGTTAATTTCTGTATTCTCCAATTACTACATTGTAAAAAAAGTCCTTGGTCTGAAGGATGAAATAATGCATAATCTCATCACATCATCTTCATTATCTTCCTTTCTTTGAGTAGCAGCTCCTTAGAGGCCCTATTATATAAATGTCTGACAACCTTCACAGCATGCTGCTCTAAGTTATTACAATTCAAACACTTCTCTGTGATAATTTCAGTTGCTGTGACATGCCTTGCGTGGTATGATGAGGACCATAGGTTTGCTGTAGGCTACTCTGATGGTCAGCTTGCTTTCTGCAGCCGAGACACCTTTGATCCGGAACCAACCTTTGTACTAGAAGCTCATGAGGTACAGACAAAGTCAAACAATTTTTTTATTTTTTACAGTTTAAAGATGCATATTTTCTTTTTTTATTTAATGAACCATTTCCCAAATATTAATTGTAGTAGAGTACTTGTATATGAATATCTGTTCAACTACTGTCAAAGTTTTTTTTTTTGTGGTATAATAAACATATTGCAAATTTTAACTTCTTGTTTGTTAGTCATGACAGAACCAAAATAGGGAAATGCACAATTAAGATACTCTATGCAATTTCTAATACATTTAGAATCTTTATAAAAATGTAGATGCAAAATATAGAGCTACCCTCTAAATATGCAAGATGTACATGTAGATTTCATGTATAGAGTATTCTCTGATGCCTTCATGAAGTTTAAAGGCAATGTGAGTACTTTTGCAAATTCAAATGTACATTATCACAACAATTTGAAATAAATTTGGTGATATGATACAGGGTCAGGTGAAATTCGGCTTTATTTTGTCAAAGATATAGATGTTCATGTACATGTAGGTTGATATTAGGGTTAGGTACATGTACTTGTAAAATATTTGTCCTGGGGAGTGTTTCACAAAGACTAAGATTGACTTTAAGTTGGACTTAAATATGGCAGGCTGTTCATGCCACTGTTTTATCTCACAATTATGATCTTTAGATAATATTCTGTCCTTCAATAATGAATTATCAGAAAATACAAATTCTGTAGATTTGTGACCATGATTTGAACATCCCTTGAGAGACAAATGCCAGTAAATGGTGAGAGCAGACAATGGCATGAACGGCCTGCCATATTTAAGTCCAACTTAACGTCGATCTTAGTCTTTGTGAAATACCCTTCAGGTGTGCAGTTACATGTAGGAATTCAGTTAGTGTAGGGAATTGACAGGGGATGAAATCCCAATGGAGCATGTGTCGTAGAATCTCCTACATGTAATTGTTGCTTCAAATATTCTTATATATTACCCTTGCTCCCAGAACCAAGTGCTTTGCGTTGAGTGGAACACAACTGGTCATCTCCTGGCCAGCTGTGCGGCCGGCGATGCGGTCAAGATATGGCTTCAGACGGGCAAGCAGCCCAGCTGTCTCTATGAGCTTCAGCTACCGTCCTGTCCCCTGGTCTCTACTCTGGAATGGTGCTCGCTCAGCCCTCAAATTGGCAACGCGAACTTCTTTCTGGCCATGTAAGTAACTAGGGTTCATATAAGACAAGAAGTGATCCATAAGTATGATTGAAGCTGTGAAATATCATTGAAAAGTCCTTAACAATGTTCACTAAATTTAGCTCTTTAGTGATTTTCCATATTAATTTTTTATAAAATATGGATGTCTTTGCACTGTCTAGGGATATATTTGGCGTAAGAGGCTCTTCATTTCACAACAAATAAGAACAGAATGAATAAGCCACTTTTGGAGAAGAAAACAATCCTTTGGAGCGCCTTTAGGTCCTTGCAAGGTGGATATACATGTATGCCCTAAATGAATATCCAATATTATTATTACTATTATTATTACTATTTCGTTCTTCTTTCAGTGGCTGTGTAACAGGGAGTCTTCATGTTTGGAGGATTCCTTATCAGAACCGTATGGACATACCCACACCTATAGGCTCCAGACCAAGGCAGTTCCTTGAACCCCTGACACCCGCATCACCTGCTCAGGTAGGTAGGGGAAGTGTGAAGAGGGCTGGCTGGGGGGAGGAAGGGGCTGTTGTCAAGGGGGGGGGGGGGAATGGAGCTGATGAGAGGGAGAGAGAGAGAGAGAGAGAGAGAGAGAGAGAGAAGACAAGAGTACAAGGTTGGAAGGGGTGGTTAGGGATATCAAGAGAACAGAAAAATGGTTCCTGGGATTCTGTAAGCTGGCTTTGCCTGCACTGGAGTGACGAAGAGTTGAACTATTAATTGGTATAAAGATAAGGAGAGCAGGGCCCGTTGCAAATTGAGAAAGAATAAATAGAAAGAAGAGGGTGCAAGGAATAGAACAAAAGGAAGAGAGAATAGGAGGAGAGAACAAAAATAGGAGAGAAGGGAGATACAAATGTAGGGGTGATGAGGGAGGAAGGGAGAGAAAAGGAAAAAGGGCGAGAGAGAGAGAGCTAAATCAAAGAGGAAAGAGCTGTGATTTATACAAGATTATATAGAAGAAAATATATTAGCCATTGTTTTTAAAAATCCATTATTTTGATTGTTGACATAATTTTTTTGACTTATACTTCCCTTCAATCATCCAGGAAAAGATCGGTGTTGCTGATGAAAAGCCCAAAGAGCTTATTGTGGTCAAAGGTCATTCTGGGGTCATCACACATTTGACCTTTAGCCCAGATGGTCTGTTGTTAGCATCTGGATGTTCAGAAGGCCTTGTGAATGTATGGGCATTACATGTAAGTAGACATACAGTACATTATATGAGTAAGTTTGAGAAATAACACAGAAGAGCCACATGTAGGTTTACAGACCTATAGACTATTAAGTGCATCAACAGTTAAAGGTAAAGACCAGTATTGGAAACGCCCCAATTTCAAAAAATGAAATGGAAGCTCTCATTACCAATCATGTGAAAGAATATGTTTTGACTAATACATGATGATAAAAAATTTGCCGGGAAACCGCCTACTAATTCATATATTTGGTAAATTTGTTTCTCTCATGGTCTGTGAGAGATATAGGGTAGTCCCATATACATCTTTCTGTGTATAGTGCTTGTAACTTTACGAAGAATGGGCCAAATTTCTTATCATTTTGACGATTCCAGAACCTTGCAGATGCTAGATGCTAGATGATCAACCTTTTCTGATCGATTCCACAACGTTTCTTTCACAATGCAATCGCATGACCATAACTGGTCTATACCTTTAATCTTTGAGATACTGTAGTCAAACAAGAATGGTTGAATTAAGGAAAAGGAAATTTACCTAACTTTGTATGAGACTCTATTAAACTGGCTTGACAATCATTCATTCCTAGCCTGTTTTTATTTGACCTTTCAAAGTCAAAATGAAACTTTTGATTAGACAAATATCATGTAATTTGTATAGAGAAAGAACATTAGGCTGTCTATCTAATGAGTACAGTTCAAATATGATTAATCAAAGTATCTTTAAACTTTAGAATATTTTTATTGTACATTATATGTACACTGACCAAACTCAGTGACTTTTAAAAAGAAATAACAAAACTGTGATACATAGAATGAGTGAGTAGTACCACTGTACCTTTTTGTATTCTTCAATTCAAAGTTTATTCAACACTATTCATAAAAACATTTAAAACATAAAAATACAGAATGGAATGATAAAAAACAAGATAGTGATAACAAATAACAATGGCAATTTATGAGAGCATTTGGGATAGGCAGAAAGGAGGGATTCCTTATATGAAAGCCTACCCCTAAAACACACACATACATGTACAGGAAGAAAAAAAAAGAACAAAAAAGAACAAAAAAACAGAAACAAAAAACATACTAAAACATACTGTCATGTACAATCAGAGTAAACACATTTATTTTTTCCTTGACAACCACAGGAGGGTGCTGTCCTGCACACCTTCAAGGGTGACGGCCCCGTTCAAGACCTCTCCTGGACGTCCAGCTCCAGTCTGGCCTTCTGCTCGGCCAAGTCCCGCTTCCTGACCATCGGCGTCTGCTCTGAGGACTGGTACCTCAAGCACCGGGTCTACGCCGCCTGCCGCATGGCCCTCGTCTCCCAGGGCATCGTGGGACTGCACCAGGCGCCGTTCCTTCGTGCCTTCCTGGAGAGGCTGCCCATGATCCTCCAAACGCAGTACTCGGCTGAGAAGGTGAGGGGGAGGAAAGGAAAGGAGAAGAAGGAAGAAAAGAAGAAGAGAAAGATAGATAGATAGAGAGAGAGAGAGAACACAGACAGGCAGTGAATAATAATAATGATAATAATAGTAATATGGATATTTATATAGTGCTGGTATCCGCCAGGCTCTGAAGCTTATGGCGCTTTACACATATTACCCTGGTTATAGCCGAGCTGCCAAAGTACCTGTAACTAGCGCTCAAGCATATCAGGTACCCATTTACACCTGGGTGGAGAGTGGAAAATTTAGCTACAGGGTTTTGTGCATGCAAAGAAATGAGTAAAGAGGATTTTCCTCCAATGTTCTGCTAGTCTGTAGCCTTGTAGATAATGCTTTTATTTGAATTGTTTATTCTTCCTCCAGGGGCAAGTGTTGAGAGGGGATCAGCTTGTCCACAGCAGCTTCCTCCAGTGTCTTGCCGCCCTGGCCCTTGCCCTCAATCTAGGCCACGCCCTTTACCTCCACCCTCGGCCCCCTCACCGCACCCAGGAAGACGACGCCCCTATTCTACCGGAATGGAACTGGCTCTCCTCATTCTGCACTGCGATGAAGTCAGCCACTGCACTCATGCAGAGGGAGGTCATGCCCCCAGAGTTCCTGGTGCCCAACATGGAGCTGCTGCAGGCCAGCGAGAGACCGAGGCCGACGGTCAACAGTGACTGGTCCCTCATGATGGATCAGCAGATCATGTCGTGGGCTATGCAGAAACCAGAGGTGAGTGGAGTCTCTCAAAGGCTTGGGGCCACCTGTGTTCCCTCTGTTATAGGGTCAAAGGTCATATTTTGGTGGTTGTCTTTTGTCTTAACAGATTTCTTTCAAATGTTCTACATAGATGATTTATACTTTAATCTACATACATATTTTTTTGGTGATGCTGCTCCTAGTCTTGTTAATAGTCTGACCCACTAGTGGCAATCTCTATGTCATCCTTTTGTTTCAGGGAGGGGAGAAGGGATCTTTGTCCCTCCTTAGAACATAAGGATGACACAAAAATCGCTGCCACTGTCTACATTCGCATTACAGATTGCGATATTTCTAGTTTTCACATGAAGTAGAGGATAGCCTTCAAGCAGTATTTACAAAATATCGCCAGTATTGATATGTTTGAAGTGATTAATAACCTCATGAATTCATTGACATTTTTTGAATGGAACTGAAGTATAATGCCAGAAGAACCAGAGAGATGTGCCACGAGTCATGCTACTTCAACTCAATTCGGCGTGATTTACCAATCTAGCAATGTAGGTTGCCAAGGAGAATTGCCATTGTATCGGGGCTTGCAGTGTAGCTTGTACTGTGGAGCAAGCCAGCAGATCTTTCTTTGCTGTTATAATTACATGTATACAAACATTGATAATAATTGGCAATATTACGGCCGGCTATAATCTCATAGCTAAAATGCAATATAGTTCTGTCTCAGTAAAAATCATACCTTCATGTACCATTGTATTTGTTTTGTTGTTATGTTTCAGGATTGGCAGCTTGGTGGGCGTTGTGAGGTGTTTGTCTGGGGGAGCGGTAGGCAGGGGCAGTTGGCAGAAACGGGACGAGGTACTGCCACACCTAACCTTGTCACATCCTTCTCATCAGCACAGCAAGTGAGCTCATCTCATCTTCTTTCAAGACCAGTTGAATTCAAATCTTACAACCTGACTATGACCAGAATTGATGATTACATTTTGAACTTTGAAAGTGTAAATTCTCCCCATCTATTCATATGAATAGTAATAGGAGGGTGTTTGCGCATTTTGCACAGATCCTAAGTCGAGCTTAACTCTAAGTTGGACTTAAACATTATGGAGAGCCATTTGAAGCCCTAAATGAAATATATTCAAAAGCAAAAGTTCAAGTACTTTAGATTTTCCTTAAATTCCACATTAAGAACATGAAATCTACTTGATGATAGAAAATATGAATAATTTGAATCAACATTTATGCCTTTTAAAAAAGCTTTTACAAAATATTTTCAAAGATGCTACGGCTTTCCATAATCGTTAAGTTCAGCTTAGAGATAAATTCAACTTAGGATCTTTGTGAAACACCCTCAAGGTCTTTAGAACTGATTGATTGATCGATCGATTGATGATATATTTTACTTAATTAATATGAAATCAAATGTAGGTAAGCAAGCAGGGAACCAAAAAGCACCACCTAAAGATCTATCCAAGAGATTTGGTAATGAGGATTAATGCCTTACCTAAGGACACTCGTACTTGACTTGGTTTCAAACCCAGGGTCATCTGTTGTCATTAATGCTTCACAACCAAGGCTAGTGGATTCAAAAACTGTGACCTTTGAACCCCTTGCAGGTGATCTGTGGGCAGAACTGTACCTTTGTGATTCACTCCAACGGGACAGTGTCTGCCTGTGGTGAGGGCAGCTATGGAAGGCTAGGTCAAGGCAACTCAGATGATCTTCATACTCTTACTGTCATCTCTGCACTCCAAGGTATCAAATGATCTCCTTTCTTACAATTCATGTAAATTTATTCATCATTTTAGTTACCGTCTTACTCTCTCTCTCTCTCTCTTTCTCTCCTCTATCTATCTCTCTCTCTCTCTCTCTCTGTATCTCTCTGTTTGTTGTCTGTCTCTATCTCACTCTCTATCTTAGCTTCTCAAGCTTTCTGTCTCAATCACATAAACCCTTTCTCTTCCGTCATATCTATCATCATCCCTCTCTGTTTATCACTTGTTCCATATTTTTTCCCGTCTCTATCTTCTTCCAGTTTTGTCTCTCAGCATTTCCCCTATACAGATTTGTTCTCTCTCTCTCCCTTTGTCTGTCCGTCTCTCTCCCTCTCTCTCTCTCTCTCTCTCTCTCTCTCTCTCTCTCTCTCACTGTCTTTCTTTCTCTGCTCCTTTTTGTCTCTGTATTTCTCCTGTCATTTCTTAGTCTCATTTAATTTTCCTTTCTTCTAATCTCCCTGTCTCTCATTTATGATTCTAATCAGCTTTTTTATTCTCCAAACAATATCACATATTTGTCTTTCTCTTCCTTTCTCCCAGGTTTCGTGGTGACCCAGCTAGTCACATCGTGTGGTTCAGACGGCCATTCCATGGCACTGACAGAGAGCGGAGAGGTGTTCAGCTGGGGGGATGGAGATTACGGAAAGCTAGGACATGGTAACAGCGATAGGCAGAGGAGGCCAAGACAAGTTGAAGCATTACAGGGAGAGGAGATTAGTCAGGTGAGATGTGTTCAGCTTGGGGGATGTTTGTTGCCATGATCGTTGGCAGCATAATGGTCATCACAGAGCTGCCAACCATTCCGTTTTTGCCAGAATTACTCTGTTTTTTCTTCCCAATTACGGTTTATTTTTTTTCTTCAAAAAATATGTTTTTTAATAATTTTTTTAATTTTATTTTTTATTTTTTATTTTTTTTTTACATACCACACGTCAAACAACTGCCCTAAAATGGTGATTTGATCACAAATTCAATAGAAAACTAATTTTAAACATACTAAGAGAAAAATATTCTCCAAAAAAAAATGAAATGCCGATAATACCAAAATAACCATAAAAAAAATTACCTGCTTGTATTGAAAAATCAGCATGATGAATGAAAATTTCTGCATTGGAAGTGTGTCGCGCGTGGTTGTAAGTTTCGTTTTTATGAATTCCTTTTTTTTTGCTTGAAATTCCTTTTTTTTGCCATCATGATTCCTTTTTTTGGTCGCACAAGGTTGGCAGCTCTGTCATCGCTACCATCACCACCATTACCCCCACCATCATCACCACCACCATCATCATCATCATCATCATTATCATCATCATTATCATCATCATCATAATCATAATTATCATAAACACCATATTTCCACACGTCATCACAAACACTATCATTATCCTCATCATGATCATCACCACTTTCATAATCATCACTATCATAAATACCATCATCATCATTCTAATCACTATCGTTACCATCATCACCATCAACATCACTAAAATCACCAATATTTTCTTCCTCCTCCTCCTCCTCCTCCACCTCCTCCTCCCCCCCCCCCCCCTCCTCCTCCTCCTCCTCCTCCTCCTCCTCCTCCTCCTCCTCCTCCTCCTCCTCCTCCTCCTCCTCCTCCCTCTTATCATCATCACCCCCACCGTCATTATTATCGTGTTCATCATCATCATTGCCATCATATTCTTGTTCATTACTAATCTCTTTGTATTCTGTTTTCCTAGATGGCATGTGGTTTCAAGCACTCTGCCGTTGTAACGTCGGATGGTAAACTCTTCACCTTTGGCAACGGAGACTATGGCCGTCTAGGACACGGCAACACCTCCAACAAGAAGACTCCTGAGCCGGTAGTAGCCCTAGGCCAGTCAGTCGGTCAGGTACATACACACATATCACACCTTTCTGTTACCTCCATGTCCTTTATACATGTAGAGAAGCATGCATTCCTTTCACAAATTGCTAATCTCTGTTATGCATTCTGCAGACTCTGTGTACTACATCAAAAAGACACATTTTCCACAATTTCCACATTTACATACATTTCCACAATTATTACAAACGAAGTAAACAAAGTAGAGGTAGAAATCAAAGATAATGTAACATGGGTGATAGGAAAATAACAATTAATTTAGAGGTGTAACTCCATGGTCTCATCTTCCTACCCATGTGGCTGTACAAAAAAGAAATAATATAAAAATACAGAAAAATAACAGTTGAAGATAGATGGATTATGCTGCAATGAATGATGCAAGTATGTGTACAGTAGTTGGAGTATAAAACAAATAGAATCTGGAAGTGCGATGTAATTGAATTCCTGGACCCTGTCTTACAAAGAGTTGAGATTTCTCTTATGTACATACCGCTAGTTGCGATTGATATCAATCACAAATAAGTTGAGATTAATATCAACTCTTTGTAAGACAAGGTCCAGGTGAGCACATTTAAATATTTTGTATATTTAAATATTTTGTTGGACTTTCTGATTTTTCTTTCATTTGAATGGGAGTCTGAACTACCCTTTCATAACTGTATCAATACTCTTTGCTGTAGGTGTCCTGTGGTATGAACCATACCCTATGCGTCTCTGCCGATGGTACTATCGTGTGGGCTTTCGGTGACGGGGATTACGGCAAGCTAGGACTAGGCAACTCTACAGCCAAGTCTTATCCACAGGTTAGTAAGATATCATGTTATCCAACATAGATGTGTTGTGGTCTAGTGGATAAGTCACCAGACTGTAGATCACAGGGTATTAGGTCCATCTCCCCCCCCCCCCCCCCCCTCAAAGGACTAATGTCCTTTGGCAAGACATTATTCTATATTTGCCACTCTCCACCCAGGTATTCAATGGGTAACTGGTAGGATGCAAACGTTAATGTAGTTTGCTCAGCATTTTGCTGGAATGCTCCCCAGAGAGTGGATAATGTGCATACTTTGTGGGTGGGCAAGCCGGAATCCAATGACTGAGGAAATAATATTTCTTTAAAGTGCTTATAGACATCTATTATTATTATATCAGGTGATTTGTGTATATAAATATCCACATCTAAATTTTTGTCTGTTGATGAGGGCATTAGTTTTCTCCATGGAAGTTTAGTGATTTTGATTTTTGTTTGTAGACATACCAGTGATACTATTGTCAATAGATTTACCAAGAGCAAATTACACTATATAATGTGCTATGTTGAAATGTACCTACATTATACTGCAAGGAGTACAGTATATTTGAATATGCATTCAAGATTGATCCACTAATCAAAATTGAAAAGTTCTGAAACTAATAATTCAACTGTTAACCTGTCAGCTGTCCAAGATCAACATTTTAGTACAAAAAAAAAAATGTGCGTACTGATTCTTTTCTCTCTTGTTTATACTGCTTCCAGAGGATTGAGAGCCTGTGTAACATTGGCATCAAGAAGGTCTGCTGTGGTACTCAATACTCTGTAGCTCTCACTAAGGATGGCAGAGTGTTCACATTCGGTCAAGGTTTGTAGTCTGTAATTGAGGAGAGCACGACTTATTCTTGTTGTGTGTTCTGGTTTCCTTTACACTTTTTTTCTCACACCCACTTGTCTTATTCCTAAGATTGTCATGTTATTGATGTTGGGAAAGTTCAAATGAGAGGAGTCTACTCCCAAATATAGAATTTTACAGTTATGACCAACATCTCTAAAAATTATGATAATACAGTCAAATCTGTCTTAGCGGCCACCTCTCTATAAAAGGCAACCTGTCTATAGTGGTCACCCGTATTGTCTCCCACTAGAAGGAAATGTGTGTTGAAGAACATGTTTAGAAAGGCCACCTGTCTATAGTGGCTACTTGTGTTTCCCTTGGGTGGCCTTAATAGACAGGTTCGACCGTATTTATCATCCCATCAAATTTATCATCATCTTCATCATCGTTGTCCTCTTTTTCATCCTTATTACAATAATCATTTAGAATCATTTTCATTGGTAACTTTCAACTTACACAAAAAAGAGAAATGTGTTTCTGTGATCCATGCTAATATTATCCAACTGTTTAATATTCAAATGGAAACCATTTTCAGCTCATGAAATACACACTTTCACCCTTTTCTTCCTTGGTCACTCCTTCCTCAATCTCTTTAGATCGTCTTACTGGCCTATCGGAGAACAGGGCCCGTCTGGCCAACCGACCCCAGCAGGTCCTAGCCCTGGCAGGGTTCTTCGTCGAGGACATCGCTGTGGGCTCGGAGCACACCGTGGCCCTCACCAGTACCGGCGATGTCTGGGGGTGGGGTAGTAACAGCGACGGTCAGCTAGGGCTAGGTCACTTCAATACGGTCAGGGAACCTGTTCTGGTTGGCTCACTGCAAGGCAAGAACATTCAACAGGTGAGATCAGACACTGTAGCTCTTCGGACAGAAGTCTCTCTGAATTTTCTGTATTAGTTCTCTTGATGTTGTTGATTTGGTTTATGATTCTCAAACATTCATAAAGTTTCTTTAACGGAATGATGTGTTGACATCTTTCAATGCCATAACAGTCTCTAATGGTAAATTAAAATGTATAGACTTTCAAGGCTCAAATTTTGAAATTATATTTTTTTTTCATTGTCCAGTTCAGCTTTAATATGATACATGTAGTTTCCATTGAAGGACAAATTAGACAAGGTTTGTTTATGTTTCAGAGATTTAAAAGAATTAAAAAAAAGCTATTCTTAGTCCCAACAATCAGTACACCATTTAAATTTTGTGAAAAACTGTTTTTATGTCTCAGTGATAGGGTATATATTTATTTTTTGGGCTGGAAAGGGCATATCTTGAAGTATCTAAATCCAAAAATGTATAGGGAGGGAAGGAGGGAGGAATAACTGAGAGAAAGAGAGAGAGAGGGACAAACAGAAAAGAAGAGAGTGAGATTGAGACGTCCGAAAAATAATTCAACAGTATTAATATACTTCCTTTTCCCATACTTCATTTTTAAGATATTTTGAAAGCATTTTGTTATAATAATAATAATAATAATAATAATAGCCTAATAGTCCACTCCAAATTTGATTAAAACGAAACGGAAATTCTTTTTGCCCAATTGATCGTGAGACCGGCAGCCAATGAGCAGCGCCAGATCGAAGTTGCTCTATCCCTTAATGTTGAACGCCAAACAAGGTAGCAACAACTCCCATCTTTTAACGTCTTTTGGTATGACGCGACCAGGGTTCGAACCCACGACCTCCCGGTTGTGAGGCGGACGCTCTACTGACTGAGCCAACACTCCGGTACAGCCATTCAATAGCTATCTCCATTTTTCATACATATAGAGGCTAATTTTATGGATATGTGTAACAATCCAATGAAAGAATTATTACGTGCTCAGTTCTCCTTATAAAGGAAAGGTACATGTAGGTCACATGCACTTTACATGTAAATTTCTAACTTGATATGCAGATTGCTGCAGGGCGTAGCCACTCTGCTGCCTGGACGGCACCCCCTGTACCCCGATGCAGCCCTGGCTCCCCGGCCCCATTGCAGCTTGGTCTCCCCGATCACATCCCAACGCAGTATACCGCCCTCAAGGACTGTAGTCCAGGCAGTGTGAGGGCTCGTCTAAGACTCCTGCATCACTTCAGTGATCTCATGTATTCTTCGTGGAGACTACTCAACCTAGATCCAGCTCAGGTATTTAAGACTCATTGAATTTTTTTTTTATAATTTTTTTTTGATCAAAAAAAAAAAATGTTGATGATTTTTGAGGATTGCTTTTACCTGACTGCTATTAAAGAAAACATGTATATGCTTGTGAGAAAGCAACCAGGGGGAGATGACTTTAAGTCCTCTCTGACGGACTTGGTTTTGAGGATTAAAGCCTAACTAAAGGGCATAAGCACATTGACTTGGTTTCGAACCTGGGATCTCCCGGTTACGAGAGCACTGCTCTACCACTGAGCCATCACACCTACTCTGAAGATATGAGTAGAAAGTTTCATTCATTCATTTATTTCAATTTAGAGATGTGATTTATTGGTTCCTGCTTCCTCATTCTGGACACAACGTTTTCATTATTGTAACTAAGATAGTATTATGTTTTGAAAAATCATAAAGAAAATGTAAATATTGCTATACATGCAAAATAGTTAATGAAGAGGGCTACTAATTGGTAATCAGGTATTTTCATGTGCTTGCACCTACTTGCACATATATATACTTCAACTAGAGAAGAAATATTTCTGTGAAAAATTAAAATTATTGAGTCAACATTCATTGTACAAATACACATTTGTAAGTTGTCCGTTTTTGTGGCAAGGTATGAAATAAGATAATAAAAACTACTTCGAGAAATATCTGTTAGACATTATGCTTTGTCGGTAATTTTTCTCCATATGTTTTTAAAACAAAGCTATTATGCATTCCTGTTCAACTCTTTGTTTGTTATTATTTATTTTACTATGCAGCACATAACACTAGGTCCTTACGGAGCTGGTATCTCAGGCCTGATGGATGGTTCTCTTCGGCCCTTATTGGCGCCAAGGGTCTACACCCTGCCCATGGTGAGGGCTATCGGTAGGACCATGGTCCAAGGCAAGAATTATGGACCCCAGGTCACTGTCAAGAGACTAGCAACAAGGTGGGTTTGGTCGAAGGAACTTCGGTTTGATTCAATTTGATTTTGGTCTTTTTATATCCATCATCCTTTATGATGCAACATTGGATTTAAAAAATATATATACAATAAACATATACTTGTATATTTGTTTAAATGGTATAGGAAAAAGAATATTTGTTTGATGACTTTTCCAAGCATAAGAAAATTATTCTATACTAGCAAATTAGCAATGATTTAGTAGTTCTAGTGTATAATACCAGTATTGTTTAATCAAAACAGGAGGAAAAAGGAGCAGAACAAAGAATAGACACACAATAAAAGGCATAAATGTAGAACGCCATGCCAATACTATCTATAATGTGGCCCAACCTTTGCCTTGGTGACACTTTCTCTGGCTTTTATTTCATCAAAGATATAGGGTTTCAGGGGTTTCCAGATTGCTTTGTTTAATATCTGACTGCTAAGAAAGCATGTGTATGCTTGTAATTAAACAAATAGGGGACCAAATGACAATAACGGATTGACTTGGTTTCGAACCCGGGACCTGCCCACTATGAGACTCTGCTTTACCACTAAGCCATCGCGCCAGGCTTAGGCCTATTGTTGCGATTAGGTTTTATGTTCAGGTAAGGGTTAGGGTTTGGTATAGTTTTTGCTTCAGGGTTTAAATTGAAAACTCAGTATAGGAAATCATCCACAGAGCAATTGTCACTGAAGCATGTGTTTTATAACCGTAGAGAGAGAATGACTGTATTTGTGCCCTTTCTTTCATCGTTGTAGGGGACGGAAGTGCAAGCCCATCTTTGTCCAGATAGCCAAGCAGGTTGTCCGTCTGAAGCCAGCCGACCTGAGGCTCCCTGCTAGAGCATGGAAGGTCAAACTGGTAGGGGAAGGTGCAGATGATGCCGGAGGGGTGTTTGACGATACCATTACAGAAATGTGCCAGGAGCTGGAGTCTGGGACCGTCGGTCTTCTCATCCCAACGCCGAACGCTGTCTCGGAGAATGGCAGTAACAGGGACAGGTATGTTGGTTTTCTTTTTAATGTGTTACTTCATGTTTTTTTTCTCCAATCACTGTATCACACAGAGTCGCCAAAGTCATATCCTTGATATTCTTGTCAAGGACCAATCGAGAGGGGTTCTATCAATCTACGAGACCAACCCTAGAATTGAAAAAACAATGATTTTGAAGTTCTTAAAGTGTTGCCAATTCAAGGATTTTTAAGCTACTTTCCTTTTTTAGATATTTTCTATTTTCTATTTTCTATTTTCTAACTATCTTCATTTTTCTTTTTCCAAGGTTCCTGCTTAACCCCTCGGCCGGCTCGGAGGAGCAGCTATCTCTCTTCAAGTTCCTGGGCATCTTGTTTGGAGTGGCCATTCGGACCAAGAAGCCCCTCGACCTCCATCTCGCTCCCTTGGTCTGGAAACAGCTGGTGGGAATACCCCTCACGACACAAGACTTGGAAGAGGTAAATATACCGGTAGTGATTTGTAAATTTTGGGAAAATGGTGATGGTAGTATTGATAATAATCTGGATTTATATAGCACTTAATACAAAATACCGTCTCGAAGCGCTTTCAGTTATTTTTACCCAGGGCCCCGTCTTACAAAGAGTTGCGATTGATTCAAATCAATCGCATGTCCTCCAATTAATTGCAAGTTTGCAGTCTCATATCTCTTATGTATATAGTTGCGATTGATATCGACCGCCTATTAGTTGCGATTGAGATCAACTCTTTGTAAGAAGGGGCACAGGTCATCGGATTCATACATGCATAATGTGCACCATCTCCACTTCCTTGCTTTACAGATAGTATTACCCCCATCATCAAATTCATTCAAGCACAATGTGCACCATCTCCACTCCCTGGGGAGTATTCCTACCATATGGTCACTGTGAGGGCATATGGCAATTACTACTAACACAAAGGCTTTCGTCATCCCACCAGGTCCCCATATCTCATGGGTATGGAGTGGCAAATGTAGATTAATACCTTAGTAAAGGACACAGTACTGCAGTCCCACTCATGTTATGTGGATTAATGTACAATGTAAGGTCGCCAAGACCTACAGTATCATTTCCCTCCCTACATGTGTCTCCATGTAAATGACATTGTCATAATTTTGTAAAATCAAGTTTTACTTGTGTTATCATCATGTATCTCTTCCTCTTATTTTTGGTGACAGGTTGATTTCCTGAATGTGCAGAATCTTCGAAACATCAGTGACATTGACAAGAGTGGAGTCAACGAAGATAACTTCCATGAGGTCAGTATATATTCACCTCTCATCTTCATAGCTTTCTTCTTGTTTGATTGTTTTGCTGCAGGCAGTGTTAGTAGTTAATGACCAATGTACAGTAGATGCCGGAGGAAAGTGTGGTGTCTTGAGTGTATATAAATAATAATAATAGGCACATTTGTATAGCGATTAATACTAGGCTTCTAAGCACTTTACCGAGGTTGTTGGATTCAATTGCTTATCCACACATGATAGAGCCCTGTTTGAGCAGAGGTTCTTCCCCAAACTTAGTATTGAGCTTTTAGGAAGAACAAGAAATCCAGAGTTTATAACCAGGCGATAGCTCAGTCGGTAGAGCAGTTGTCTCGTAATCTGGTGACCCGTGTTCGAAACCAAGGCGATGCGCCAGTGCCCTTTGGTTAGGTATTAATCCTCATTACCAGGTCCCTCGGAGAGGACCTAAAGCCGTCTGGTTGCTTACTTACAAGCATTTATGCTTTCTTAGCAGTCAGGTAAAATAACCACCACCACCATTCATTTCCTTAATTCTATTTCCTCAGATTTTAAAGAAACAATATTTTGTAAAATTGTAAAAAGGGAAATCCTAACTTCATTGTCTTGACAAGAAATATAAACATGCAAACTATGTGTAAGACTATCCATCACATCATCAAATGATACAGTTCACCTTGACCTTGACATATGCCTGACCTTTAACCTTTGTATATACATGTAGGTGATACCCCTGGAGAGGTTTGAAGGTCAGAGTGCAGATGGACGCTTTGTTCCCATCGTGCCAGGAGGTTGGAGCATCCCGCTCACGTTCAGTAACAGGAAGGAGTACGTAGAGAGAGCCCTGGCATATAGACTACATGAGCTAGACAGACAGGTACGTTGACCACCTTGCAATTCTAACTCTCTCTCTGTCCAGGGGGGTGTTTCACAGAGACTAAGATCGACTTTAAGTTGGACTTAATTATGGCAGGCCATTCATGCCACTATTTGCTCTCACTATTTAATACTGGCATTGGTCTCTCAAGGGACTTACAAATCATGGTCACAAATCTACAGAATTTACATTTTTTGAGAATTCATTATTGAAGGAAAAAATATTATTTGAAGATCATAATGGCGGGAGCAAACAGTGGCATGAATAGCATGCCATAGCTAAGTCCAACTTAAAGTCGATCTTAGTCTTTGTGAAACACTTCCCTGGTAGTCTGGTTAAGAATCATACTTCTTCTGCTGATAAACTGTTCAATATTTGATGTAATAGATTTTTTAGCAATTCACATGTGTTCATTAACATCATTTTTATTTTCAACATTGCTGATCTTAATAGACATCTTAATAAAGAGGTTTTATTCAAATGATTTCTTAAAAGATTTAATAGAAAATTATTTAGTGAAAGTTAAGCATGTTCGATTATACAGTATGTGCGATTGTGACCGTAGAAAGGGCAGTGATTTACACAAGTCTGGGAATCAAAAGCAAACACCTCAAAATAAATTTCTTATACAGACAAATTACTTCTTTTTTCCCCTCCTCTCTATCATTCCTTTGCTGTGTCACCAAGTTGTCAAACTTTTGTGAGACAAGGTTTAAATTATTGTTTTGTTTTTTGTTGCTTTTAAAAAAAAAAAATTTGTGTTTATCTTGATACAAATACACTGTAGTTTTTTATGGTATGTAGAGGTAGCTTCAGAGTTCAAGAATTCGCTTCAAATTTGAAGACAGGCTTTTATTCATGAACGAAAGAATACAACATTTGAACAGGTATAGTTTGAATTGCCTAGAGCATGGAAAGGGTTAGATATGTTTTCTTTGGCTTTATAGAAGAGTGTTTTTCATGTGTCTACAGGTGGCCGCTGTGAGAGAAGGCATGTCATGGATCATACCAATACCACTCCTCTCGCTCCTGACATATCGCCAGCTGGAGCAGATGGTTTGTGGGATGCCTGTTATCTCGGTGGATATCCTCAAGCGAGTTGTCAGGTATGCATTCAATACGTTTTGATAAAAAATATAGAAAAGTGGTTTTCGATGATTACATTTCTCTTGTAGTTGGCATGTAATATTGAATTTGTATGTATCCCAACAAACTGTTTCACCTCCCCCCCCCCCCCCCCCCTCCCCTGTGAAAGACAAGACATACCATGTATATGATGATTGAAACAACTACAAGTTTTTATCAACTTCATGTAGTCATTAATTAATTAATTTCTCACTGTCTCATCGTCATCATCACCACCACCATCATTTCTCCTTGATATCATTTTATCAGAAAAAGATGGGTGTTTTTTTTTCTCTCCTTCCCTTACCCATTTTCAGCTGCTTCTGTATGTTTTCCTTTCTATCTTTTACCCTGCATCTATCAAGTAGCCGATATGGACCAAAATGAAATTCCTTTCTAGAGACCCTCGCATTTTAACCATTTACATTTTTAATGAGATTAATATTCATATTCGTACATGACCCATTTATACATTATCATTCATTCATAATTTCTTTTAAATATTATATTACCAGGTACCGTGAGATTGACGAGCACCACCCCCTGGTGCAGTGGCTATGGCAGACTCTTGAACAGTTCACCAATGAGGAGCGCGTTCTCTTCATGCGCTTCGTGTCTGGACGTTCACGCCTCCCGGCCAACATCGCGGACATCTCACAGCGCTTTCAGATCATGAAGGTGGATAGGGTAAGTCCTGAAGGAACCATTCGTCAAACTGTTTCTGTCTGCAATTCTTATTTTCAGCCATTTTCAGCCATTTTCAGCCATCAACTAATTTTTGTTTAAAGGGATTGGGTATCTTTGTCTCAGATTCTAAACAAAATCCTGGATTTTGCTTATGCTGCAATCATAATTATAAACCTATAGGTCAGTCAGGAACCCCATGGCTTTTACAAGCTTATCGCCTATATGATTATCAAGATATTTATGATTGGAATACAAAATTTATAACACTACAGTCTATTGGGGAAAATGAATGTGGTAGAACTGGTCACTCAAAGATATTTTACTTTTTTGAGGCACTTCATGACCATTTTGAAGTGCTATTTTTTTTTTTGGCTTCAATATTACAACATATCACAGACACACGGTAACTCGTAGGGCCATACATATCACATTTGTATTGTTGTGAGGAACAAACAGTAATGACCTATGCTCTGCATGAAGAAAGACTTGAGCATTCGGATATGCTTGCTCCCCGATATTTGCGGCGGAATAAACCTGATGTTCACCAAAGTTTCAAAGCGTTTGGTTGTTGAAATTAATTTATGTATTTTGATGACTTCTCAGCTAATAGGCTTGAAAGTCTGCATTCATCCTACAATGTTATAAAGGGGGATGGGAATAGGGATGGTCAACCTTTTGTTCGCAAAGCATAAAGCTCTGTAACTTAACATGTACTGTAAGTCTGCGTTTTTTAAGCCACTTATATATGTATTTATAATAAATTAAGAATATCTGATATGTTTCTATATTCTCTTCTCTTTTTTTGTTATTTCTATCTCTCCTTCCAACCTTCCTTTCCTCCTCTCTCTCTCCAATTTTCCTCTTCCCTTTTCTTCTTCTCTGTCCCTCTGTCTTTTCCCTGTACTCTTCTTGATTTCTCTCTCTCACTTTCCCCTCCCCCCCCCCCTCTCTCTCTCTCTCTCTCCCCCCCCCCCCCTCTCCCCCCCCCCTCTCTCTCTCTCTCTCTCTCTCTCTCTCTTCTCTCCCTCTCTATTTCTGTATCCAGTCTGTCGATGGACTCCCTACTGCCCAGACCTGTTTCTTCCAGCTGCGCATCCCACCATACTCCAGCCAGGCCGTCATGGCAGAGAGACTGCGCTATGCAATCCACAACTGCCGCTCCATCGACATGGACAACTACATGCTCTCCAGGAACACCGATGCTGCTAACCTATCGGACGGTGAGATGTAGGTGGTTTCCAGAGACATCTTCAGTTCTGCCTTTCCACAGTTGAACAGTTGGCCCTCTCCAGGAACACCGATGCTGCTAACCTATCAGACGGTGAGATGTAGGTGTGTTCCGGAGACAGCTTCACTTCTGCCTTTTGACAGTTGTCCAGTTAGCCCTCTCCAGATACTCTGTTGCAGCTGATTTATCAGACGGTGAGGTTAAGGTGTATTCCAGAGACATCTTCAGTTTTGCCCTTTGACAGTTGAACCATGAATGCTTTGCAGAACCACTGTTGCAGCTGATTTATCGGACGGTGGGATGTAGGTGTATTCCGGAGACATCTTCAGTTCCACCCTTTTGACAGTTGAACCATGAATGCTTCCAGAAATACTTGCAGCTGATCTATCAGACGGTGAGGTTAAGGTGTATTCTGAAGGCATGTCAAGTTATGTCTTTGGACCAACCACTGGTGACAAGGCTTTCGTTGATCAGTAACATCTGGATGGCTGACTAATAAGATAGAAGCACTGATGTTTTGAAAGGCATTTCAAGTGATGTCTTTGGACACCATCCGTTATGGTCAGTTGTTGATCATAGATACCAGGGCAGCAGATGAACCATACTGGCACCTGGGCGACTCTCAAAGGCATCTTGACATCTCTTCTAAGCACTAACAGCTTCAGCTTCAGCCAGCCCTTCTTCAGAGACGAACTGGTTGCTTATTCACAGAATTGTCATATGTGGATGATTCCCAAAGGTATCTAATAGGCCCTCAAGCTACAGTATGTACCATCTGCTTTAGTCAACCATTGCATGAAGACATACAGACACCTACTTAATCGATTGGTTGCAGGCAGCTGACCTCCAAAGGCTTGCCATTGTGTCATTACATGCTTGTAATGGATGCATTATTTATGTAAGCATTATGCAAGAACAGTAGGCCTGTCTTCATGAGCTCGAGTTTGCCAAATAACCCTACGTTTTTTTTAGACTCTGGATATTATCCCGAAGCTCGAAAATGAGACTTCACCAGACCGATACGCTCATCACAAACTAGGTCGGACGGGCGCAAATTAGCCCGTTATTTCCCAAATAGCGGGATGTTTTGGAAACAAGACCAAAATTTCTCCAGATATTTTCTTAACTAAATATCCTGGTAATTGCAAATGTGGGCTGATGAAGACGCAAATTAACTGGCTAATTTGCGATCGGGATAGTTTAAAAAGCAGGTTATTTGGCAAACTTGAGCTGATGAAGACAGGCCAAGGGACTTACTATTAGAGGTATCACCACTGCCTGTTAATTTATTTTATGATTTTAACAGTGGACTTGGTGTCTCAAGATTGTCTGGGTCCAGTTTTATTGTAACAGGCAATGTGCAAGAGAGAATTTGTTTATTTCTGGATAATAAAAATGCAATTTATAAACTCCTTCCTGCATTATCGGACACTACAAGAAATGTACAAGGGAGACCTTTATTGTTTGTTATCTGGAGTGACTGCAACTGAAGAGAAAACACTTTGTGCTCTGTGAACAACAGTGTGTGAAACCTACTGCATCTATCAATTTTCTTGCATGTTTCCAAGACATAGACAAATGTGTGAAGTTTGAAGGGCCTACCGTATATAAGGCTTTTCTGGCATGTAACATTGCATGCCATTGCATGTTATTTCTAGGTTTCAGATTGAGTTGATACTGTACCTGTATATCCCCCAAAAATACATGTTTTTATATCTGAAACAATTGACCATCTATTTGAATTATTTTTATCATCGATTTATGTGTATGTTTATGTATGTGTACATGTGCATTTTTATAACCAAAAACAGATGAGGACAACAAATACGAAACTATTGGAGAAAATATGTTTAAGTTGTATAAAGAAGCTACATTTTTAGTCACTACACGAACAGTACTCCAAATATATTTGATATGGATAGGAACAAATGTCTTGGATTTAAAATGATATTGTTTATGTAATATCTGAAGAGAATCAAATGCTGCTATGAATGTGAAAACATAATAACCCTTTATTATTGGAGGATTGAGTGACATCCCTTTGCTTGGTCAATTACATGTATTTAGTGTATTACAACCCAAAAATATGCTTTCTCGTCATATTTTGGATATTGGTATTTTCTTTGTGACAATGGAATAGTTCTAGGTTAGAAAATAGAATTGTTGGTCTAACGATTTGAAATAAGTTGTAAGATAGATATGGTTAGGGACCATTTCAACACTTGTGAAAGATCACATGTATTATTGAAAAAACTTTACAGACAGATGCAATGTATAAATGGTATTTTCCCTGATATTTTTTTGTTGTTTTTATTTTCAATTTAGAAAATTGTAAAAAACAAAACAAAAAGTTGGTGTGGTAAATGCAAGGTCATAATTGAAGAGATGTGCAATGAAAATATATATACTTTTCATATTTGTGTTCAGAAAAATTAAGGCTAGATCTTTGCTGCTGCTATATGCAAAATTATGCATGTACATGTTTGCAAATGTGTAGAAAAGTTCTAATAAGAAATGTATTTGTATAAATAAAGCAAACATATGTCATATTGTGAGAAGATAAGTGCGCACAAAAACTTAGCAGTTGATATCACTCAGAGTTGTATCATTTCAGTGCTCAGTATTTTCATTTGCACAATATTTTTTAAATATTTTCTTTTTGTCATAAGTTGGGTGAAAGTAAAATTGTGCTCTCTTTCTGTGCTGTTAAGATTGAAAATAAAGTATGTTCAGTTATTATAATAATAATAATAATAATAATAATAATAATCTAATAGTCCACTCCAAATTTTATTAAACCGAAACGGAAATTCTTTTTGCCCAATTGATCGTGAAGCCCGGCAGCCACTGAGCAGCGCCAGATCGACGTTGCTCTATCCCTTATTGTTGAACGCCAAACAAGGTAGCAACAACTCCCATCTTTTAACGTCTTTTGGTATGACGCGGCCGGGGTTCGAACCCACGACCTCCCGGTTGTGAGGCAGACGCTCTACTGATTGATTGATTGGAAATTATCAGTATATATGTACATGATACATATTATTTTGTGCATTTAAGATCAGAATGTGTGCTTTTCTTTTGAGAATTTGTTATTATTTCAATGATTCTTTATGGCTATTCCGTATTGGACAAGTATTTGCAGCTATCAGGTCAAGACATTCTCGTCTACTGACTTTACAAGTAATTGGATTATTCAGACTCATTCAGATATGGCATGGTAAACTGCGTTTTTTTGTTAAATGATACTTAATATGCTTCACGTTTTTGCAACATGTAACAAAGAGCCAAGTTAATATGTGTAAGACCTTTTTTGCACACAGTTGCCATTCATGTACATGTTTCAAAAAATGTGGTCGTTTTTTTTTCTTTAGCAGTTTACCGTGGCACGTTTGAACAAGCCTTTGGTTGTATTTTGGTCATTTATGTAGTGGTACCAGAAAGTATATCTGATAGTAAGTACATTATAAAGTGATTTATCAATTTAAGAAGAAATGGGTAAACATTTCACCTCAAGTATAGCAAATCACTTGAAAGGGACCATTAGTTGATACACATGTACTTTAGCTGTACATTTTTGTCAGATTAGTAGGAACATAAGACATGTACGTCATTGTCATATTCTCTTTTTACCTAAATGCATGAGGTCTTTCAAACTGTGACCAGACATTTGATTTGGTGAGGAATAATTGCTCCATGCTTTATCTTGTCAAAGATATACATTTTGTAGGGTTAGCGTTGGAGTAGCATTTGGTTTAGGTCAGTCAAGTTTAGAGTTGGGTAACATGTAGTTTTTGGTTCAGGGTATTAATTATAGAAATTATGATTACGGAGCAGTTGTCCTTGGAGCATTTAATTCTCTTTGCATGTAAATGTACGATATGCACAAACCTGTATATACTGCACATATCTTTGATGTACATAATAAAGGACAAACTGTGTGTGCAATTTTGGTTTTCTTGCATGTCCAAATGATATTGCTTGAGTCAGAGTTTAAGAGCATGACTTTAAAAAATGTTTTGTTCAATGATATTTTGTTGTATATTTGTCTTTTCTACATGTATGTGAAAATGACAGATTTTCTGTGATGAACCAAAAAGAAACTATTATCAAGTCTTCAGTACGTGCATGTAGATATTGTTTGCTTATATATTTTCCTTTGAATGAGAGGTGGAATATGGATTTACTAATTAGAGAGGTTCATATAATTTTTATTAAAAATGCCAAAATATGTGTACTTTGGTACTCTTGTGTAAACCTGCTATGCTAATACATGAGATATTTACACGTTTTAAAGTTGAAACATCATTAAAGACTATTATAAAATTGCTTGGAGAAACAATATTTCTTGTAATTTCTTAATGTGTTCCGTTACAAGATGTTTGGCTTTTGTGGTTTATGTATAAAAAAAGTTATGGTTTACACCATAACTAGAACTAGGCATTAAAACAACACAAGTTAATGACTTCAAAGTAGATCTCTTATTCTGTTACGATCATTTTTTTTATTCACATAATAATCAAACACATCAGTAACAAGAAAATGTACTTATTGCAACAAACAGCATTAATAACTATAGTAGAACCCCACCACAATTTTATCCCTGATATTATTAGTTTACACTACGGTGTCTTTGAAGAGTCACATACAACTTTAAATCATTTTTACCGGGCTGCTCGTCATAAGTTATTCAATATAAGAGATATTAGTGTCCAACTTTAGCCCTTGGTTACTTGCAATGTATATACTAAACCTTGGGTATGTCCATATAAGTAATTCAAATTACCATTTACCATGAAAAGGCATAAATGTCCAATCTAACTTACATTCATTACTAAAAGTTAAAAAAAAAAAATGTGGGTTATTTCACTTTATTTGGCCCTTATCTATTTACATTTATTATTTACCATAGATATAGGGAATAGATCAAAAATATGTCGCCATTACTGTGCTCTACATGGTATTTGCCGTTCAAACATTATGACATGTACAAAGGTAGTAAGATGAAATCAATTTCATTAAATTTGTCATTTTGTAACATGGCCCATAGGCCCTACAGTACAATTAAAAAATATTATTTCATGTACGTGGATTGTGATAAAGCAATACATTTGGGAGAATTTGGAATATACAATTCAAACATTTTTTTTCAAGAACATATGGTTCTGAATAAAACTTCCGCAAAAAATATTCTAGTAATACCAAATAATTATTCAGTTACATTTATCCCATATATAAATGTGTATGTGTAATAAGGGTCCATTACACATATACAATCCACACAAGAGGATCCTCATTGAGAAATGCCAAAACAGAACAAACACAAACAAAAGAAAAATTGAACAACTCCAAAATCACAACATTCATTTTTTACATAATAGGCACAGACAAGGCTCACACACAAAGACATTTCGCTGATTTTTTTTGTTGTGTGTATATATATTACTAATCTTAATTACAAACATGTACATTTTCCAATATCTTGTACATAATTATTCAAGGTAGACATTAGTTTGTTATGGCACCATGCAAATAATAAAACCAATACTCGAGTAATATATATTAAGCTCGGCCTACAAACTGCACATGAACGTGTACAGAGCATTATATTACAGACAGACTCGTACATGCATGATACAGTACATGTAAACTGTAATTATCACATTTTCTGTAATTTTAAGGGGGGGGCAACCCTTGGGTCTTATGATAGTGGATGCAATAAAAAACAAAAATAACAATAAAATGACAACACATGCATTCACCGTCAAGCCATTGTATCACTTTTGTCAATGCACGATGAATAAATTAATTACAGATTTATATAAATGCAGCATATCTAATCGAGTTCAATATAAATGTATGATATCATGAAAGTAGATGTACTTTTTTCTTCCAATAAAGAATAAAAAGAATATTGTTGCAAAATCTGAAGATGTGCTGCCAAATTTAGGATCACAAACAAAATAGCAATAAAATCAATGGATTTCAAAAAAAATTATAATAATCAACAAATTCTTCGGTCATTTTCCTGCAATATCAAATGAAAAATTTCGATCAGATGTTGGGTTATAATATCTTTTTTTGAAGAAAATGCGAAATAGAAAATGATTTGAAAAAATTGTGTTTTGAGATGAAAGTATTTCGCATTATATCAAAATTATGAAATCTGACCGGGAGTACATGTAGGTACGGGTAGGTATATGTTTTTATAAAGAATTTTTGAAGTGAGCTTAGATGGCAATGTACAGGGCATGTGTAAGGATCTTGCCCTCATTAACCTAGAACATTCCTCTATGTGTTGCTTAAATTTATCGGCTCGCATGGTGATGTAGATATACGGTGGGATATAAGCTTAAGAAAGATTACCAACAGTCCTTCTCAGGACTACACACACACTCAAGAAAGAAAAAATTACCGACAGTCCTTCCCCCCTCTCACATGGTGCAACCCTAAGCCTACTGTATATTCCTCTATGTGAGCAATATTACATGTAGCTTTGCTTACACACAGGTAAATTAGACAAGCAAGTCACTTAACTTTAATAGAATGAAGCTAAATTATCTGGCAAGTATAGAAAAGAAGGAAAACAAAAAAATCCTTGTCAGCGATGAAACAGCAATCTCTAATTAATATATCTGTCAAGCACTTAGAGACACCATAGATTTAAATGCATTAGGGGCTCTATTAAAACCAAAATATTATTACAAAATTCCAAATATCATGTGAAGTGATTTGCCAAGTCATTTATATATTCAACACAGAAAAAAATGAATTCATCATATAAATTGGAACACAATATACTCAAACGGCGTTTCAAATATAGAGGCAAATCTATGTACAGAACCTCATTCATGACTTTATAATCATAAACATTTCAAAAACGTGGTGTCTTCTTAAATAGATGCACAATACATATTGCTTAGAATATTCATCATGTAATAAACTCAAAGCGCATGAACACTCTGTACAACAAGATATGAAGAATTACTCTGCAGCTATTATATGTATATTGGTCACGTTATACACCTGTAAATCTATAAACTACTCTTCGTAATTCAGGAATGCTAACATGCTACATGTACATTGTAGATTCTATTGTAAATAACACAGAAAGTACTTGCACAAGGCGGTGTCACACAGAAAAATCCCTTGAAAAATCCTTTCAAGGGAGAATTTTCTTGCTTCGTTAGAGGATTTTTAATGGGATAATTGATGACAGACAGCAATTAAGAGGATAACTAAAATCCGGATTTTCGGCCTCTGTGTGACACCGCCTACAGTGGCCAGTTTTTCTAAACTGTCATAAATGGAAGGTGATGATCATCCCATTGAAACTTTCTATGGGAAGTCCAAGAACTTTGTCTTATGATGCTTTCGTGAAACTGGCCCCAGAGGTTGAATTCGATTCCAAATATTACAAACAGCAATATGGTAGCATTTAACATGAAAATCTTTGATTTAATTTTGGCAAAGCTGCTAAAAGTAGGTCATCACTTAGCAACTTAAAAGCCACTTTGATATACACAAGAAATAAATTTTAAGTGGTTCAAATTATCCTAGAGTACATGTATGTGTATATACACAGTGAAACAAAACTTGTATGTATAACTCAAAGCACAACTTAAAAAGCCAGAATTCTGTACAAAGTTTATGAAATATCAAATTTGCAAACAAAAAATAACCATAGTCATATACAACAAATCAAGCATTTAATGTTCTGCTGATCCATTATAATAATTTGCTCATTTTTTTTTAATCCCATGGAATTTTAATAAATTTTTTTTTAGACAAAGTCTTGCAAGCACCAATCATTATTGCAAATCACAATACCCTTTTTTATTATACCACAAACAAACATACAGGTGGCAAGAAATTTCTACCCAACATTTGGTGTTGAATACAAGTTTTTTTCTTCCATTTAATAACATCTCCAATGCACAATCTGAATTTATTTTAAAATCAGAATTCAAACAAGCCAGCAGACTCATGGTAACCAAAAGCAGACTGCAAGAAATGAAAATGATTTGAATAAATAATTGAACATATATTTGTACAAATTTGGCAGAGGTTTAATGAGTGATACAGAGTTTTTTACAATAGGAATTGATATCAAAACAAAATTCTTATCAAGTGTGATTATATAATAATACATACATGAAGTTGTTGCATTATATAGGACATATATTTATCTGTGCACATCCATGCACTCATTTGCAGATATACCTGTACAATTAAGTGTGCTGCTCTTTACAGTGTACAACACAATACTTGATTTGGCTAATGATTTTAGGCCGTTAAGATCAGCAGAAATGCATCTTCAACTCAGTATTACATTTCATTCCAATGTACAAGCACATTCAAACATCAGGAAATACTTTGACTTGAGAAAAAAATTAAAACAGAATAACAACAATATATGGAAGAAATCTAGTTACTTTCAGTTTATGCACACTTATTCAAAGGTTACCAATCAACTTATCTACATTAGTGTGCTATCAATACGTTTCAAAATATATAAGCTATCTGGAATAATGCACTTAAACATTGTATAGTTTATGTATTTACAAGGAAATATTTACAGGTGGCTGCCATAGAAACAAGTTATTATGAGAGCGTAGGTTTAATCTTTCGGAGTCGCTGCGTCTTCGTAGAGGCCGTCGATCTCGGCTTTGTACATCTTGTTGACTACTGGTCTCTTCAGTTTTAGTGTGGGACCTGGGTGGTAAGAAAACAGGAAGGGTTACAAATTAATCCCATGATTTAATTATGTCTCCAGACACAAGATTACAAATAAAATCATTACATATAAATTGGTCAAATACAATCATAGCCCCCTTTTACTTTCTGTCTCTTTTAAAAAGCCTTTTCTGTCTGTGCAGGGCCCTTGTCTGCACATGCCCATAATGTGTGATTCTAATGAAACAAAACATGCAACACAACAAACACAAAATTCCCCTCTCTATTATAAAGCTACACATTCACACGAAGATGAGCACAAGTTTTAAAAGTAGTCCAATATCATTAGGTGTATTCACAAGCCACATCAAGAATCCTGAAATGTGTGTAAATCGAATGGGTGTGCGAAAATGGGAACCTTCTTCTTTTTTTTTAATGTCAAAACGGCATGTCTGCCTTTTCTTGTGAAAATGACATCATTCTTGCTAGAATTTTGACGAAATTTTGTTGCACACTTACTCTTTGAAATAGAGGGAAATAATATCAAAAGCATTTGAGAAATATAAAAGAAAATCTTTCTCGATTTCAAATGAAATATTAGGAGTGCAGACAGTGGGCTCCCAGTCATACAACCATTTAAGCTAAAACTGCTCAGAATCATTCCAGGGAAAAGGGTTATCCTGGGGAGTGTTTCACAAAGACTAAGATCAACTTTAAGTTGAACTTAAATATGGCAGGCCTTTCATGCCACTAGTTCCTCTGACCATTCCTGTCATTGGTTTCTCAAGGGACGTACAAATCGTGGTCGCAAATCTACAGAATTTACCTTTTTTGAATATTGAAGGAAAAAATATTATCTAAAGATCATAATTGAGAGCAACTAGTGGCATGAACAGCCTGTCATAGTTAAGTCCAACTTAAAGTTGATCTTTGTCTTTGTGAAACACTCCCCTGGTCATAATAAACAAGACTTGAAGTAAAAAATTCCAACTCGGAAGGTGAAAGAGAAAAAATATCTTACCAAGTTCTCCTCCAGCTACGGTGAAGTCCGTATCCAGGATGTACCACTTCTGTACACACTGCGCCCTGGAGGTCGCGGTCTTGTTGTGCTCGGCGACGGCTCTATTGATCTCTTTCTTGACGTAGTCGTCCTTTTTGGCCTCGGCGACGGTCTTGGCTTGGCTGCCGAGGGCACTAAGGATCTGAAGGGCTTCCCTGTTCAATGAGTCGGTAGCCTCGCCCGTCTTCTCGTCTACCACAACCTGTTTAATAGGTGATTGGGTCAAAGGTTACGGGTCAAACTGATCTTGATGTGTTCAATCACGAAATGGAATAGCCATGGGGCACTACAAATCACCTGGGCCCTGTCTTACAAAGAGTTGATATTAATCACAACTTCTTTGCGATTGATATCAATCGCAACTATGTAAATAAGAAAAAGGAGACTGCAAACTTGCGATTGATTAGAGGACTTGCATCGTAAGTCTTTGTAAGACAGGGCCCAGGTTATTAGGAATCTCTCAGTCATTCAGAATAAGGAATTGCCAATATGGGCGATAGAAATCCTTGGATTCCTTCTTGAAGAGCTATACAGGTTGTTCATAAGGGACCTATATGTCAAACTGGTCCCTTGTAATTCTAATATCGGGTATTACAGGCAATACAAAGACCTTTCTTATGTCTCAGCATTGAATTACTGATGAGGGGGTGCTTCTACTAGACTGGGAGGGGAGAGGGGGAGGGGAGAGGGGGAGGGGAGAGGGGGAGGGGAGAGGGGGAGGGGAGAGGGGGAGGGGAGAGGGGAGAGGGGGAGGGGAGAGGGATGGGGCAGAGTGGGGATGGGGAGAGGAAAGGAAACCTTTTATCAAACTTATTCTTACCTGCAGTATTACAAACATTGAGAGGAGCTTTCTTTTATGATAATGTCTTCAATTGGGATGGAAGGTATGGGGTCTGGGTGGGGCTTGGGGAGGGGCAGAGGGGACCTTCTATCGAACTAACTCTTACCTTCAGCATTACAAGCATGGAGATGAACTTTCTCTTATCTTCGATCAGCGTCAAATTACCGATCAGGGGGCACATTTTCTAAACATCGTCTTTAATTGGGATGGGAGGTACGAGGCAGAGGTGGCACTTCGGGAAGGGTAATATGAAGAGGGGCAGAGTGGGGAGGGGGAAAATGAAAAGGGGGAAGGGACCCTTTTTTATCAAACTGATTCTTACCTTGAGGGTTACAAGCATCGAGAGGAACTTCCTTTTGTCTCCGATCAGCATACAATTACTGATGAGGGGGCATTCTTTCTTGATGATGTCCTCGATTGGGATGGGAGGGATGTTCTCTCCTCCTGCCGTGATGATTAATTCTGTGGGAGGAAGCAACAATTAAAATTATCTCAATCAGCCTGTTTCTTTGATACAGGAAAGCAATTGTACTGTATACCCGGAATAGACCTGGGGGGTGTTTTATAAAGCTGTGCGTAAAGTTACGAATGACTTTACAAACTATTTAAACTATGTAGAGTCAAATGGGATGCCCAAAGCTTTTCGTGACATCTTAACAAAGTGTGACTGTATTTCCCGTAATCTCAATTAAATTGTAGCCAAAATACAATTTGCATTAAAACGTTTGTTAAGGTTAATCTACATCTGATTATTTCAACTTCAGCTTATGCAATTAAAGGGATTTGAGAATCCTATTTAGCTCTTCTTATTCAAGCCATTTGTAGAGTCATGCGTAAATTTACTCACAGCTTTATGAAACACACCCAGGAAAGTAACATAATTGTTTACCCGGAATATAGCCGGAAAGCAACCCCTTTCAGAATGGTAAACGGAATGTCTGGAAAGTGGGCAAAGTAATCAGCGATGCATCGTGTCACATGATCCATACACTAATGCTAAAGTCTGGGACCATTTCTACAGAAGGGAGACAGTGAGGGTACACGGAAAATCCACCTTTGGGGACAGGTACGCTATTCTATTAGCATTAACTGTATAATCTGATGTGTTACTACATAAAAGCGCATCTGAATAAGTCCGGACAGAGACAGTATTTGAAATCCTGTATAAACAGGGCAAAGAGCAATGACAGTGACAGCATTAACAACAATTTCAGTATCTTTTTTCACAAGGACTATATTGATAATCTGACAGGTTTGCCATTGAGAAGGGCATGGGGCTCAGTTTGTCCTATAAACAGGATTAGAATCCTAAGCTAATCGGTAAACATGCAATCACTTTATAATGTTTGAGCACTGAGATTTAAGGCAAAAAAGCATAGTCGACTACAATGATAACACAATAATTTCATAATGTCTGCTGAATACACATCTTCAGAAATTGGTAGTCGGTACACGATTATTGCATGGTCTTTATTTTCTGCTCTTGTTATGAAAAGTATGATACAAGAGTTATTTGGACTGCAATTCAAATAGAATTCCTACTACTATTCTTGGAATCATGATGAATTTTCCCCATACCAATACCCCCCCCCCCCCCCTCCCGACCCCTGCCCCAGGGAGCCCTTTCTTGATACTCTATCATAAAAGTGACAAATCCTTATAACTCTATGTTCCATTGTTTAATTATTTTGCTTTTGCTTTAATTTCTTTTCTTTTACCAAGCTCTTTCCAAAGCTACATGTATATCATTCCCCATTCCTGGTGATATCATTCACTGCCCCCCCCCCCCATTAATGTTGATCCCTTTCCTAAACACGTTCTGCTTGAATTTGAATCCAAGGGACTATGTAAATAAAGAGCAGAGCACCAACTTCATGTTGAACTGCAATCTCCTCACTTCAAAACCAGATTCTGACTACTCAGCTAATCTACATTCTTTTCTCCTCAGACTGTTCCAATAACCTAAATTTGATGACCCCGGAATGTTCTTAAACCAGAATATTCTCGTCTGGCAGAGACTAAATGCTATATAAAGTGTTGTTCAGTATGATGATAGGCCTATCATTCGCCTATCAGTAGAAGCCAGGGACAAAGATGAAGTCCCTATCTAAGTATTGAAACAGTGATAGCACCGCCTGGAACGCTAATCTAGCTATCAAAGGTGAAGTGGCTTTGTCTTCTCTCTCTCTCTACCTGATCATGGACTTTTAAAAATCAACGATCTCCCTTCAAAGACTTCTCACACAAGAAGCGAAATGTCTTTAATATGTCATATCACTTCAAAGTCAAATATAGTCGTGGTCTGATAATGCTATATGTACATTAATGTATCTGCCTTTATTTACACAGGGCCTCATTTGCTCTAGCAAAAAAAAAGGCTCCAGGTTTTTATTTTTTGCCAAAGATAAACGGTATGGTCTAAGGTTACAAATGGATTTTAGGTTACCCTTGGTTAAGGGTAAGGCATATATTGTTTGGTTCAGTGTTAAATATTTCAATTTGTGTAGGATATTTACGCCAAGGCAAACTTCTACTGCCAATCATGAGAAGAAAAAAAATATGTAAATATTGTCTTCAAATACTCACCTCTAATTTTTAAATTTTATAAAAAATTTGCTGGCATGTTTTACCAATACTCTAAAATAGACATTTGTATAGGACTCAACCATTTTAAGAGGAAATCTTTAAATGTTAAGTAGCAATCTTTTGCAACATGTGTTCAAGATATTTCTAGAAAAAAGAAATCAAATTTAAATCCTTATCAATCTGAGAGTAAACACGATATTTGTCCTTGGAAATATGACAATCTACAAATAAGTTTGTGAATCTTGGGCACGTGAATCCAACACCAAGGCCTGTCACAAGTCAAATACCAACACACACATATGGTAAACAGGATGTGGAATTTGATTTGTTTTGCGTTCTGGTCTGTTAGAACCTTACAAGCTTTTGGCATACCATCAGGACATGTTAATTAAGCTTGCGACCAAAAAGTTTCTTGAATGGTAAACAAATCTGATGTCAAAGACCAACAAAAAAGTGTGTTCTTTATTTGAAGCTGTTCTTTAAATAGGCTTGTGACAAAAAATGATAATCTTTGGAAGATCAAACTCTGATATCCTAGGCAAAAAAGTCAGTATGTCCTTTTTTACTTGAAGCTATACCTTCTTGGTCTGTTAAAACATGTACAAGTTTTTGGCATTCCATCAGGAAAACATATTGAACAGGCTTGTAACATAAAGTTCTTTGGTAAATTCAAAATCTGATGTCAAAAACCCCCCCAAAAGTGTGTCCTTTATTTGAAGCCGTTCCTCAAATAGGCTTGTGACAAAAAAATGATAATCTTTGGAAGATCAAAATCTGATGTCCTAGGCAAAAAAGTCAGTTTGTCCTTTATTTTAAGCTATATCTTCTTGGCCTGTTAAAATATTCACAAGCTTTTGGCATACCATCAGGAAAACATGTTAAATAGGCTTGTGACAAAGAGTTTCTTGGAAGGTAAAAATCTTATATCCAAGACCCCCTCCCCTGCCCCCCTTAAAAAAAGGTCAGTATGTCCTTGGTGTGTGTATTGGGTTTTTACAGACGTGTATCAATCAGATATGATCATTTACGTCCGAGGACCGACCTTCAAACGTCACCATCTCAAAGACGTGACTCAGTTTCGAACCTCCTTTTGAAGCTATTCTTTTAAACAAACAAAAAAATGAACGAGATGAGATGTCCGTTTGATACAATATTGGTGCTTACCTTTAATCCTGCCTGTGATAAAGAGGAATCCATCGTCATCAATGTATCCCAGGTCTCCTGAATGTAACCATCCATCTTCATCGAGGGCCTCATCCGTCTTCTCTTGCATGTTGAGATAACCCATGAAAAGATGACGGCCGTAGAAGCACACCTATAGCATGAAAGACAAAATGCTGTTAAATTAACTCTGTTATGAAGATTTGTAAAATACATAATTTGTCTCTTAAATATTAGTTGGAGACTGAATTTCAACTCTAAAAGGGCCCCCAAATTTTCTTTTAAAAATATTAGCTAGGATCCAAACTTATCGGGGTGCTAAGGGGAAGAAATTTCACAAAACTTGTTATCAGTGACAAATGACAGTTTTTGTTATAAGCTAGTGAAATCTTTGTTTCTGATTTATTATCAGCAGATTTGTCATTGAAAAAAGGCTTTGTGAAATGGGTCCCAGATGTATATTGCTCTTTAGTCTATAATATTTCTTCTTTTTCTCGCTGTGACTTTACAATTCAGAAGAGTAGGGGGTCATGACCTTACCTCGCCGTTACCGTCGCTGTCTGGGTCTGAGATCTTGGTCTTGGAGCCAGGAAACGTTGACCCTGAACTACCGATCCTGAATTTACCTGGTAAGCAGAAACTGTGAGGACCTGACAAAGATACATGGAGACATATGATGATTAATGGATGATGATTTTTGAGACCCGACTGCTAAGGAAGCGAAATGTCAAAACCTGCCTACTATGGCCTTCCAAGGGCACTGGCCACTGTAGACAGGTGACATTTCTACATAGGTTCTACAGCATACATTTCTTCTTAAAAGGAGAAAAATATAGGTGACCAGTATAGACAAGTGGCCTTTATAGATAGATAGGTTTGACTGTATTAAAATACTTTAAAGCAGAATCTTTCAAGACACATGAAACTTCTGTGAATTGCAAATTTCAGCATTGTGATTCATGAATATCACTTTCACAAATCTCACCCTTCTTGCACATAAAAACTACCTTTGCAAAGTTACATAGGTATAAAGCATGGGTGAAGATCCTTGGTTTTGTTTACTTTCTTTCTTTGTCTTTTTTTTTTTCGTTTTCAATTTTTAGTCCTCCACTATGATTATCATATTTTGTTATGATGCCTGAGAAAATCCTCCTTCTTGACTGCCATATTAACTAAAGTATCTACACACTGCCATATATTAACCATGTACATCTTTTACAGGACAAGAAAAGATAACACATTGGGGGCTCCTGCATACCTGTGCTTTCGCTCATGCCGTAGATGTCATAGACGGGTATGTTCACACTCATGAAATACTCCAGTGTTTCCATGGACAGGGGCGCTCCGGCTGAGAAGTTGTACAAGCATTTGTCGAGTCCCAGTGCCAATCGAACCTGAAGACAAACAAAACATACTTGTACATTTAATTCATTATTTTTGTTTCCTTGTTAATCAGATTTGTTCCAATAAAGCGGTAATTCAATTCAGTTTTTAAAGAATTAATTTTCTTTGTGTAAAGTGATCAACATTTTGTATTCATAATTATGCATAATGACAGCTAAATTAAGTAATTTAAGGAAACAAAACAAGTCATAACCAAACGAAAATCAATATTATGATTATTATTTTGTCATCACCAAAATTTTTCCATGTTTTGTATCCTTTTCTGTTGTTTGCATGTCATCAATCACAACTATGTATTTAAGAGATAGGAGTTGCGATTAATTTCAAGTTGAGATTAATTCAAATCAATCATAACTTTTTATAAGATGGGGGCCCAGAACTCAAGACTGCCCTGGAAGACTGGGTTCATAAAAGAAAGACTGATAAGAGATGTTGTAAATAGCAATGAAAATGTATAAATCTATATCATCCTGTAGTGTCTAAACAAGTCTTATTGAGACTACACCACTGTCTTGTGACCTCGGTAGTCAACAAATTTATACAATATTTATTTGTGCAAAATTTAATGCCATAAATGCAGTCCCATATACCCACATCTGTGTGCAATGCTTTTATAAAATCGTTTTAAATTCAGCAATTAAAAAAAAAAATAACAAACATCTGAAATTCCAAAACCTGTCAATAGCCACTTTATTATTTTCTAAAAAACCACATTCATTTCCTTCGACACTGTCTCAATTTCATAATGCAATCACATGAGCAGTATAAATATTGTCTCTAAATTTTGCATTATTAATTTTTACAACTAAAAGAGCTGAGCTGGGAATGTCTTTGAGTCACTTTGAAGAATTTGTTTTTTGTCTAGACAATTTGGTTGATAAAGACTGAATGTGATTAGGCCAAGCTGCCATCAACCCTAAGTACAATCGAATCCCCGATTGTTTAGTCTACAGTGTAGAACTTAATATGGATATTGTCTGGTTAGAATCCCAAGGGCCTTTAGCCATACATTTGCATAGACTTGAGACTTTTCATAAGATTCAGTGGCCTCAATACTTTACAGGAAGTCTAAAGTCTATGGCTCTCAATTGACAAATTGTATCAACATTTGGGTTGCCTGAAGAAAAGGAAAAAATCTTATTCACCTTTTTAAAGGTAGTATTGAAATCATATATTTAAGTGATTTCCCGTGAAGGAGATCTTTCTCTGGGATAAAGTTCCACTTTCAAAAAACGATACACAGACCTTCTTCCAAGCATACATCACAATATAATAAACAGTATATTCTAACAATAATCATGTACGTGTATCTCCAAAATAAAATCTAATAATATTTAAACATTAAAATGTGTTCTTTGCTTTCCCAGGTCCTTACAAGATACTGTACACTACAAGGTTGTTGAAAGTCATAGAGTTACATTGTTGTTGTTTTTTGGAATTATCAGCATTTCATTCTTTTTGAGAATTTTTACCCCTTTCAGTTTCACCTTTTTTTTCTTTTACGTTTACTATTTGTTATCTCTGGTTTTTGATAATTTGTTATCTTCTTTTTCTTCTTTCCTTTTATCTTTTTTCCTTTAAAAGGAAATAAAACTTTTTTTTTTAAATAGTTACAGCTTAGAGAACAAGGACCTTCTATATTCCTGTTCTTGATTTAACAATTTTCAGGGCCTATTTTGTACAATCATCGAGCAAAAATAATACCAAACTACAACTAAGAGAATAAAGAGATAAAACGATCATTATCTGCTGGATTAACATCTCGATGTAATCTCAATCTACACATAATATTGCAACTAATTGCAAATTTATAATTAATAATACTATTGCATTTGAGTGATGACATAATTTGCAAAAGCCTGGTTTCAGAGAAGTTAAATGATTTGGAAATTGACAAGAATCAAACAGTTCTAGAAAATGACAAATCACTGTGGCCTAACTGGCCTTATTGGCTATAAAATGACCAAGCTTGAGGTATTTGGTCATTTTGTGGCCCACATGTTAGCAATTAGCAGGAAACAATCGACAAAATTGGACCATAAAATAAAGGATCCTGTTTCCTTGATATCTGCAGTGATCTGTTCTATAGTTGGTCTATCAATTTCAAAATACAGTCATCATTAAAAAATCTCCTAACGTAGTCACTGCCATATTTAGGACAAAATATGTGTAGCCTGGACTTGCCAAAATATAGTAGTAGTAGTACTATAACAAATGACCTTGACCGTGTGGTTTCCTCTTGATACCTAATCAATTAAAAGTTCATTTACATCAAAGCCAATGACTCATAATAAGTGGCAAGAGGTCAATGAACCTTTACAAAGGGATCAAATGACTTCCTAAAACAATTGAAAACTGCACAAGTCAAAGTTTAGCTCGAGAGTGCACAGTGTTTGTCATGGGTACGTGTGGTTGTTCATGCAGTTCCTATTGTGATGTCATATTCTACCACAACTTGTAAAAAGTTTATGAAGGTCATGATGAAAGTCAACAAACAATTGCTGGAATTGGTTAACCGTATTGAGAGGATTGATAAATATACACTCCATTGTTCATTACCAGATAAGGTAATGACAATGGCAGTGGCACGTGCCTGTCATCGCTAGATGTACATATAGGTAGTTTATTTTTAGTAGAGTACAGTAGAAAAAAGATGTGAATTTTATAAAATATTGTTATGGCTTCCCTTTAATATGCACCTGAAAGGTTTATGAACTCCATGTGCTCACCCATGCTTCATGCATGCTCTTTTATCTGTAAGTGTACTTTGTCATCTTCATCATACTTTTGTAATTTGATCACTTTGATCTTTGCACAAAAATCACAGGAACAGTTCCACCACGTGTCATAAAACAATTCCTGGGCACGCAAGCAAATTTCATCATCAAAAATATTTAGAAATCACTTATCAATATTTTCAAGTAAGGTTTGAATTATTTAGAAATCTAACTCAAAATGTTGAAAAAGAAGAGAGAAGCAAAAAAATTTTGGAGAGGCATTCTGAAAACAAAGTTATCTATGATGTTTGTAGAACAATGTTAATAGTCATAACAAATCAAATTTAGGATTAGTCATTGTTTAATGTGTATAACAATCAAAATCATTTTCCTTCCCTAAAGTATCATAAAAGATAATGGCCTCTTCAGAATACAGCCCCAAGAATGATGAATTTCAGTAAGATTTAAAGAAACTTATTTACTCCATTAAAATATATTACCCTTTTGTGTCTTTTTATTTATTTTGAAACGTGGCAGTCATAACACTAGTTTTGCATTACAGCCAAGAGTACATTACCTTGAAGAACTACCCCTGATTGAAATCATTTGCAGATCTCTTATCAGCTTAAGTGGTAGTACCATACATGTATATGCCGCAATGGATGAAAATGAGGTTCCAATATTCAAATTAAGACCGGTCAAAAGAGAATCTCTTACCTTTCTGAAGACCATAATGTTAGCGACAGTCCATCCCCAGGGTACTGTTTGCCTGTAAGCATAGATAAAAATATAATTGCAAGGTAATTCTATTGTCCTTTATATGACGTGATAAGAAACGATTTACCAATAATTTCATACATAAAAAAAATATATAAGTCACGGCGGTCCACAAACAAGAAATGAAACATGTAAACCTGCAACTTGCCAGGAGTATGAACTGATGGTGCATAGCACAAAGTCCCTTGCAGGCCTGGGTATTGTAAGCTCTAAGGTTCTTAGATGATCTCTGGTGCAATTTAATTATTATTTTGAAGCATTTTCAAACAAAATTTTTAACTAATATTTCATACATGATTTTGGTTGAGAATGAATTTCAGCCTCCCTCGCTGATTTTCAAACATGTCATTTGAAAATTCAAATCTGTCGCTGATACATGTTAACAGTAACATGTCTCATGGACCACCCTGGTGTGCATTATACATGTACCATGATGTTATTGTCAATGTTTCAATGAAACTGAAATGATTTCCATGGATTACATATCAGATGTGCATAATCATGCACACAGGGATCTATAGGGAATAGCAAACTGCTTGATTTGCAGCCCACCGAAGTGGAAATACTATATCAGAAGTTTTTGTAGAAAGGCCAAATGAAAGCAAAATGAAATGCAACACTTTTTAAAACTAAATAAGACTGAAAGTTTGGTCTCTGGTCAGTTATTTGCGGTCACTGAATATCACCTCTAGGTTTTGGACTGACTCTCGTAGTGTCTTCTTTTCTCTTTTTGACTGCTGTCTTGTTATAGCCAAAGAAAATTTTCTATGGTATCTTTAATGTCATCATAAGCTAGGAGACTACATACAAACTATTCATCACAGTAATATTGAAAGACATGCACATGAACAAAATAAAACACACACACAAAACCGAGTAATCACAACAAACTAAACAAAGTTAAGGCAAACAAAGTTTCCCACATTAAACATTATACCACATACATAACAACATCCACTGTCGTAGAATTTGCTAAAGAATTATTAATTTAGTCTCTGTATAATCATATTACAGATCATTTTACTCCTGCTGAATTTATGTGCACTTGATGGATGCCATTGTGCATCAATGATCAAAAGGAAAATAAAAACATTGATAACTAATTTTCTGATAAAGATAATTAAATCCTTTTCCAGTTACAAACAGATGCACACTGTACATGTACACATTAATCACATGCATGCCACAAACTATTTGACAACACACTGATCAATCAAGTATAGAACTTTATCTATATTTTGTTGGCTAATAAAATAAACACTCTATTGAAACACATGCATGGGAAACTATACGGATAATTAACGCTACCTATAAATAACAAACTGAGAAAAAGCTACATGTAACCTAAACTGTCTATGGAAATTAATAGAATCCAACGCCTCATTGTACTACTATCCCCTCAATTCTATTTCTAACATGCAAGTCTTTAGAAAATCATTCGAAATAATCCCAGATATCTATGTAGCAAAAAAAGACTAATTAATTTTGTTTAGAACAAAATGGTTATGATTGAATAGAGCGTGAATATGTCTTTATCTGCATAAGAAAAAACATCTGTTCAGCTAAGACCAACTTGTGGATGCAATTCGTAATGCACATGGGGGAATTCAGGGGCTCTCCCCTTCCCTTGATGATATAAGGGGTAGGAAAATGCAGCTTAGAAATGCCTGCAAAGTTCTTTAAAAATTATTGAAAAGCTGAACATTACAACAGGATATGCCCTTTCAAAATGATTGAATGATCATTGAAGTATTGCTTTCAATGAAACCAAAACTGTTTTTTTTTTGTGCTTATATAATCCCTTGGAAGCAAACAAAGGGGGGAAAATTATAATAAACTGTCATGTCACTCTGCTAAGTCACAAGCTACTATGTCACACCTAGATAGTTTAATAACAAAATGATTTATGAAATGGATTATGAAATTGGTGATGGATGATGGGATGTCAACACAAATGCATGCAAAGCAGCAACATCCAAAACAAATTGGTGGACAAATTATAGGAAATATAGCGGCTCTCTCTCACCTTGGTACTTTGTTAGGGCGTCTGGACTTAATGGAGCTATGGTGGGGAATATATTTTGAATTTTTGATGATTATACAAAAAAAATGTTTACAATCATATGGTTAGTTTATGGTTTATCAGGCAAGAAATATATAGGAGATGAATTTTGCAAGAGGAGTGCGGGGAAGGAGAAAAGAAAGATGGGCGGGGGAAGAAGCGGGAGTGTAGAGATAAATAACAAGAAGAATAAGAGAGTGGAAAGGAAGCAATAGAGAGAATAAAAAGAGAAGGGATGGGAAGGAGAAAAGAGGAAATAGAGGCAGGGAGAGAAGAGAGGAGGGAAGGAAGAGATAATAGGTTGAATGGAAGGAGAAAGAGAAAAAAGGAGAAGGAGAGACAAGGGAAGGGAATAGGAAGGGAATAGGAAGGAATGAAAGAAAGGAAAAGAGAAGAAGAGGAAAGATGGAAGGGAAGGAAATGAATTATTATTATTATATTAATTAATAATAGGAAAAAAGCAGGTGGGGAGGAGAGGAGGGGAGGGTAGGAGTTAAGAAAAGAAAAGAGGGGATAAGGACCAAGGAGAAAATGAGAAAGAGCATGAGAAAGAGAAAGAGAAAGTGAGAGAAAGTGAGAGAAAGTGAGAGAAAGATAAGGAAAAGAGCAATAAGCAATACTGGATACAAATAGCACTGCGAAACAGATAGCAAAAGGAAATGCAAGAATCAAGCATGAGTCTGAGCCGGACATGAAATTAATCAATAGCTATAAATAACCTAAATTGATGTAAGAATTAGCAGTAGATCAATTATCCCAAAATAACATGATTCATATATTTGAACATTAAAACTCGGAAAATATCAGGAAGCTGGCATTTTATACGTTCATAAAAGGAAGCGAAAGTGGCTCATGATCACACAAATAGCATTTACCACAGATATAAATGTGGCTACAATTACAAATAATGTTGAGATCTATTAAAGTAGCACAGTCATGCAAAAAGAGGAATTGACATTTTCTATAATGTATGATGGTTGGAAAATAGAGGGAATCACGCGATACAAAAATATTAAAGAAACACAACATGAACATATTGTAGAACAATTGAAATAGAAGGCAGAGTGGTACAAAAATAACTGAAAATGATAAATTCTTTAAAAATAATTAAAATCAAACAGGAAGAAGGATGAAGAACAGGAAATGGACAAAAAAACAGTAACCACAAAGCAATAATGTGGAAGTAAAATTGTAAAAAAAAGTCTGTTTTCTACATCATATGATACAAATATTTTGTATTTCTGCACAATGTGCATACAGTTTAAATGTATGTATGGAGATACTTCAAGAATTTTAATTGAAGAGAAATTCATTGATCTGTATTATGTCTACTTTTCTAGGTTCCACTGTTATATCACTGCACTCAATTCAAGTTAAGCTACATGTATCAAAGCATAAAGATTAATTAATGATTTTTTTTTTTTTTTTTTTTGGCGATTCAAATGATAACATTTAAAGCATTATTTTGCTTTGCATGGCTGAGTGCATAACAAAACCTGTATGGCGATGACAGCTGGGCAGGAGCGATGCACATGTAATTTGATACTTTGCAATTGAGTATGCTGATAAGATGGGCTTAGAATTCTCTGTTAGTGCATGGTATCACAATAGATGGGATAGTCCAATATGAGATGAGGAAGAGATGATATCAGTGAACATGAAGTAAAGATTTTGTTGTTATATCCTCTGAAAGATCCTTAACATTGAGCATAGTTTCAGAGGAATATGGGCACCTTTATACACGTGGAGTTATCAAGTCCAAACCTCTTTATTATTCTATGTCCCATATGTTACTAAACCTATTTACATGTACATAAATTTAAGAACATTATCAATTGAAATGTTTTGAAACTATCATTTTCCTTGATATTTGGTGTAATCCCAGCTATAAGAGCCCTCAAAATTACAACCATCAGGTATAGTAAAATCATGGATATGATTTTTAACGTCTGGGACAGAATGAATTGGAAGTGCCCATAAACAGCCATCCACAGAAATGTGCATCATTTACAAAGGCCCTCTGCGATCAGTCATCATGTAAAGCATGGAATATTACAAGTGACATACAGTTTTTGCTTTTCAAAGTGAATTAACCTGTTGCCTCTTGGAACCGGGTGACCCCTGTGTCAAATCAATGGCAATGAACGAATCCAGTAGTCAAGGGGTTAAAGGTATAGACCAGTTTTGGAAATGCCCTCTCAAAAAATGAAATGGAAGCTCTTATTACCAATCAGGTGAAAGAATATGTTTTGACTAATACGTGCTGAAACAAATTTTGCCGGGAAACCGCCTACTAATTGATATATTTGGTAAATTATCATATCTATCCGGACTGGATAGATATCGCGTAGTCCCATATACATGTTTCTGTGTACAGTGCTTGTAACTTTACCAAGACTGGGCCAAATTTCTTATCATTTTGATGATTCCAGAACCTTGCAATACACACCAATACTTATATGCTAGATGATAAACATTTTCTGATCAATTCTTTCACAATGCAATCACATGACCAGAACTGGTCTATACATTCAAGCGGTATTGCAGACTGACCTGTTTGCTATGGCTACGTTGCCTCTGTAGCCGATGTCTTTGGCCCATGTGCCGATGCGCTTCTTCACTCCCGTGATTGCAGATGCACCGGAGCGTAGCTTCTCGTGAATCTTCTCCCAGACGCGGGGTACGCCGAGGAAACTCGTCGGCCTGACTTCCCTTAGCGTGTCAACAAGGGAGCCCTGTAGTGGTAAATTTGGAGAAAGATATTTTTAGAAGCAACAGTTTCCATATTAACAGGGCATTGTGCATTAAAAAGTTGTTATAAAGTACCATTTAACTTATCAAATTCTGTTTGAATGAAAGTCATGTTGCATGGAATTGTTTGAGACTCTTACCCCCCAAGTCACTCACTCCAACATTAAATTCAGAGCAGTTTTAATCCTCTTTAATATATAAGATATAAGCGCAAATACACCAAGCTTTGACACATACATGTATAATGACAAAAGACTTTGTTTGCAAACTAAAATACAAAACGAGGGGGAAATAGGGCCTTAAAAAGCAATTCTTCTAATACTTTTGCCCTGCAATAATACAAAAAGTAACGTTTAGTTCACATGAGCTCTTTAATATTTCCTAGAAAAATGCAGAGATTCCTTCAGAGAGAGCTTTAGATTTTTGTTCTACAACGGTTTTTTTTCTTCTCTCTTTTTTATAAAATTAAGATTTCCAAAGCTCTTCTGGGGATTTCTGGAGCTTTTTTCTTCTCAACTGTCGTTGGACTATACCCTTACCTTGAGCGCATCTGGTTGGGCAAAGTAAGTGGTGCCAGCAAGATGCAGAGGGAAGTAAATATCAAAGACCTGGGCTGCTACGTGACTAAGCGGCAGGTAACTCACTACCCGATGACTGCCAAAGGGTATGTCCACTTGAGAGAGACATCGGTGAGAAATCCAGGTGTACTGAAATTCAAAATGGGAAAGATGATTAAAGGTACTTGGTAACATTGTTTGAATGAGAGAAAATGGTGCTAAGGTGGTGAGTTCACTGCTAGATGTACAATCAAAGAAGGACAAATTGGGAAAAACTTTAAAGAGAAAGAAAGATTAAAGCAAAATTCTTATATTTTTATCATCGATCATAGAAGAAGTAAAATAGAACAATGAACAGAAAGAAGAGAAAATAGTTAGAGGTTAATAATGGAAATGGGGGAGAGTTAGGCAAGGGATAGGAAGGGGATAAGAGGGGGAGATTACTGGGAGGAAGTGGAGAAAGGGGGAGAGGCAGTTAAAAGATGAGAGGGTGATATTGACAGAAGTTAATGTAAGCAGGTGAGAAAGAGGGTAAGGGAAATGCAGCAGGTTTATAGAGGGAGAGAGGAGGGAAGAGAGGAAATGAAGAGGGCAAGAGGGGGTGAGGGAAGGGCAAGAGGGGGTGAGGGGAGGGGCAAGAGGGGGTGAGGGGAGGGGAAAGGGGGTGAGGTGAGGAAAAGAGGGTAAGGGAAATAAAGAGGTTCTAGAGGGAGAGAGAAGGGAAGAGAGCAAATGAAGAGGGCAAGAGGGGGTGAGGGGAGGGAAAAGGAGGTGAGGTGAGGAAAAGAGGGTAAGGGAAATGAGGAGGTTCTAGAGGGAGAGAGAAGGGAAGAGAAGAAACAAAGAGGGCAAAAGGGCAGGGAAAAGGGGTGAGGTGCGGAAAAGAGGGTAAGGGAAATGCAGAGGTTATAGGGGGGAGGGAAGAGAGGAAACGAAGAGGGTAAGAGGGGAGGGAAAAGGGGGTGAGGTGAGGAAAAGAGAAGAAGTTAAATGGTGTCAGGAAAGGGACAGGGGAATAGCTAGAGGGATCAAGCAAAGAGGGGAGAAGGGATTTGGGAAAGTTAGAGGGAACAGCTGGAGGTTAAAAGGGGAGATGTAAGGGGGAAGGGGGAGGGGGTAAAAGGAAAAGGTGGGCTAACAGAATGAGGAAATACAAGAGTTGAAAAGGACAGAGAAAGTTGTGGTTGAGAGAAAGTTGTTGCTGAGCGAAAGAGGAAGGGGTTAGAGAAACAGGATGAGAGTCAGAGGGAGAGGTAAATACTTAAACTTGTTACCATGGCTAATTTCCTCTTTTAGGGTCACCAGTAGTAACTGATACAGTCAAACCTGCTTTAGTGACCACCTGTCTACAAAGACCACATTTACTATTTCCCTTGAAAACGGTTTCTCATTGAAAACATGTACTAAAGGAACCAGTCTACAAAGACCACTTTTTTGTTTCCCTTGGGCAGTTGCTATAGACAGGTTTGACTGTATGAAGATGAGTGCTCAGTTCAGACTAGTGGGTACGGAAGTGAATTCGGACAAGAGTTTGATAGAGAGGTCTAAGGTCAGAGGTGAATACTCACATTATCATGGCTTATCATGACTCCCTTAGGGTTGCCTGTGGTGCCCGACGTATAGATGAGCGCACAGCACTGGTTAGCAGCCTGACTCTCCATGATGCGATCCAGTTCATCGTCTGTCATGTAACATCCAAGCTTCATGAAATCTTCCCACTAATTACAAACACAGAAAAAGAAACCATTGCAACGGTTAGGGGTGATAAGTCAGTTTGATCACAATTAATTATCACTGATATTTGAAGTGCACTGCCTGGAGAAGAAGCAGTTACTACAACTGGTAACAATATGTTAAACTTTTATTAGAAATGACATTGAAAATACCATCCTATGCAGTAAACATGATACCAGAGACAACCAAACGGATGAAGAAGCATTATAGCTTTAATTCTCTATACCCAAGTAAACCTAAGTAGGTTTCATAAATATATATCCCGAAAAGCACTTCTTTCAAATCCATTGTATACACATACAGTAATAATGAGGATCTATCATTCTTTCGAACATTTTATTTGCTCATCACACGACTTCATGAGATTATCATTTGCAGCAAAAACCAAGTCTGATGACATTAATGAGTGTTTGAGGGAATGGGAAAACGGTAAATGGGCATAACTTGAGTACATGAGTTCAGTTCGGATCCCTCCTCTGTGCATTGTGCACGATTGAAAATTTCTGATCACATTATTACAGTCATTCACTGTTTAGAATAACTGGTGTGAATATTATATTCATAACTACAAATCGTTGATGCTTTCTGAAAGTGGACCAATTGTTGTTGGCATCAAAACTGTCTCATGCCCTCATCAACCTATCCCCCCCCCCCCCCACCCCTCCCCCAGCACAATCTGGCATTCCGGAGAGTATTGCTATTTTTCTTGTCTGAGATATTCTAGAATCTAGATAGTCCCCATTCCTCCGCCCCCTACCCCTGCAGAATTCCTGGACGTGCCCCTGCATGCACCTACCTCATATACATTATCCATCTTCTCTTCCAGGGTACCGGTGTATTGGACAACCGCCTTGAGGTGGGGCAACTGGTCCCACACCTTCAAGATCTTCTGCAGTTGCTTGGAGTTCTCCACCACGATCACGTTGGCCTTGCAGTTTCCTGCCACGTACTGGCACGCCTCGGCAGAGTTTGTGGTGTAGACACCCACCCCAAAACCACTGGAAATAAAAAGCAAGATGGTTCTGTTTTAATCAGAGTATCCTTGGTCTGAACTACCGCTCTAAAATTTCTACTTTTCAAATGTTTTTTCATCATAAAACTTCATTTTGACTTCATCATTGATATGCCATGGTATGTGAAGATTTCTTGAATATTGGGATACTTTGATGCTGCAACTTCTAAGACTAAACTTTATCTCCTTCCTTATTTTTTTCTGAGAATCAATAAAAATATTTTGGGATCTGTATGCAACAGAAGCCTTGGTAACCACTATTATTATAGTGACTCCCTTTAATAGTGACGTCTCATATTTCATCTTTTCAGCCAACATGTTCAGAATTGAATACAAATTACAGAAATTACAGAAAACAAAAAGCATACTCGTTTTTTATGTGTGATATAATATACAGGAATGTGAAGTGCATAATGGTGAAATGTCATTTTATTTTGCTGCTTTATTTCTTTAAAGGTAGTTCACTGGACCAGGTAAACGAGGCTTTAACCATTATTATACAATTTCTTGACCGATTCGACTTACCCAGCAAACATGGCTCCCATGCTAGACAGGAACCATTCAGGTGAATTGAAACCAATGATGCCCACACCATGAAACCTCTCTAGTCCAAGCTACAACAGACAAAATTAAATAAACATTAGTCCAAGCTACAACAGAGGTAAGTAAATAAACATTCATTTCAAGACATGAACATGATACCAAAACACCTTAAACAAGAAGCTTATTTTCATTTGGGCAAGTAACAGTGGAGGTTTGAATAAAATTTCTAATAATCCCAAGTTCTCTAGAGGCAAGAAATGCCAGGGATGATTTAGAAACTACAAAAATTACTTTACTGTTCAAGGGAGCATATTTTGCATTTGCAGAGGTCAAAAGCAAGATATTTTGCAGCAATTATACCCTTCATGTGTGGAGCTGTTTAAGAAGAGCTGTTTTATAATTGCATAAGTTTTTCTGGGGCTTTTCTGACCCAAAATGGGCATTGCTTGTGTATTCCTTCCCTACTGGTCAGAAATGATTTTCTTGCCAGCAAACTATATCTCACCTTGAGAAATGACTTTGCTGCAGCCCTGCTCTGGTCCCAGTACTCTCTATACGTCCATTTCACCCAATCTCCGTTCCTCTTTATCGCCATGGCGACGTTCTCTGGGTATTCCCTCTGTATCCGTCGCAACAGTCCATGGACCGTGTTTGGGGGGTGGTTGACTTCGGCATCGCATTCCCTTAGCTTCACCGCTCCGCTACCTTCTACCGTGCAGTGGACTTCTGAAGGAGCCAGTTCACCTGCGGGGAATTGAAGGAGAAAAATGGAGTGGATTAAATGGATTTGATTTTAAATCCAGGACTTAAGAGTGACAGGTGCCTGGGATTCTAATTCTAATGCTTCCTTCAGATGTGAAGAAGTAAACCTTATCAGGCTTTTAGTTGTAAGGCCAAATAAATAAAAAAAAAACATAAAATAGCGTCCTGCCTTTTTGAAAAAAAAGGAAGGAGGCCCTTTTTTTTTCTTCTTGAAAATGGCCGCTCGGTTCATTTTCCCTGACAGTCAGGCTTTTTTTCAAGATCCTTGAAATAAAGTCAAGGTGGAGCCCTATTTAAAACTTTCTTGCCAAAAGTTTGAAATACATACCTGAAATTGTCTTATCATCCAAGGGAGTTTTAAAGAAATAGTGTCACCTCAAAACATTCATGATATTTACAAGTTTAGTAAACTTGTTGCAGGGGTGATAGTGAGCACTAAAAAAAAAATAGGTTTTTTGTTTTCCCCTCAACCACGCCCCCCCTTGAGTAAAAAAAAAAAAGGCGAATCGCGGGGAAAAAACGGCATCTAACAACATTCCCCCCTTTCGAGTAAGAAAATTGGGAGAAAAAAATAGGGCAAAATAGGGAAGAATAGAGAAAATAAGGGGGGAATCAGGAAAATCTGGACAAAAAAGGGAAGGAAAAAAAATTCTGGTAAAAAAAAAAAAAAAAAATCTTTTTTTTTTTTTTTTTTTTTTTTTTAATCGGGAAGAAAAAAAAATCGGGAAAAAATCGGGAAAAATCAAAAAAATCGGGAAACCGATTTAAATCGGGTTTTTATCAGGCCTGTTGTTGTAACTTTTTCACGGGGAAAGCAAAGCAGTGAAAGCACACTCCAAATTAGACTCAATTAATAATACTTGTACATCGTAAATTGCCTGTTTATAATGATTAAAGAACACTAAAAATAACCCCACTTTCACTTTTGATTCCTGAATGATTTCTGTCGTAAATTTCTGTCTTGTCTACAGTATGTTAAAGGGAAATCCAACCTTGATAGCAAACTATGCTAGAGGTAAGAAGCATCTACAAAATCAAAGATGTAGACTGATGAAAGTTAAATGAAATCAGACAAACAGTGAGAAAGTTGTGAATTTTAAAACATTTAATCACTTAACGTATGGGCTTTTAAAATAGGCTGCGATGTACATTGTAGTGGCACACAAAATAACTAAAAGTTCAAATTTTTCAAAAAAAATGTATGACTTAGAGGACCTATGATAATAAGCTATTCATAATATATTTGAGTACCGGTAGTGCCCAAACTGAGAAGGTACTTACAATGTAGGAGAAAAACAGATATCAATGATACTTTTGTACACAACAAAGTGAACAAACTTTTGTTATCAAATGATCGCATCAACCTTGTAATCATGTTCTGGCTTGGTCTTGGATATGGATGAAACATGTGTGCATGTTAATATCCATACTGCAAATACAAACATGTACTTTTTATCTTGGACTTGCCCAACAGAGGGGGGAGACGGTCACTGGTGATTAAACAATAGAGATAAGTATGAACTTACAAGGTTTCGATTCTGGTAAAGGGATAATTCGCCCGTTCGATCCTCCCATGTCTACATGTACTTTAATTCTCCAGGAGTACAGAATGATTCTACATGTACATGTACATGTAGCCTATTGCTTGTCAATAGAACTTGCTTCACATTTGACAAGTTGGACAATCTTTAAGAAGTTTGATGACTGAACTAAAGGAAAGTTCTGTTCCCAGCTACACTATCCCTCATGATCCTACAACAACAAAATGATGTTCTTTCTCCGTAGATCTTGAGATTGCAACGAAGCTGTACATGGGACTAGAGGTTTGCGGTTACAATTTCACCCTCTCCGATCAATACACATGTACAGTTCACAGAAGCATATGAACTGCATGAAGATCTGTCTCGTCCATGTTATTCTTAACTCCTTTCTTCTGGTTAATGAGATCTATAATCAATTCACTTCTGGGAATCCGCACTTTCAAAAACACAATATAAAGTTTTTTGAACTGCTCTTTTCCTTGTGAAACCACAACAGAGAATGGTAGAGACTCCAAATCAAATATCCGCTAATAACAGATATCGAAAGTGATGCAAGAATACTGTCTCTATCATTAACTGAGCGCGCTAAATTGGAAGACTATATTTGGTCTTCAATCCAAGCTTGTGCCACAACTGAAGAAAATGGCTTCTCCCAACTTCTGACAAGAGTTTGCTACTATTCCATCCACCGTTGCGCTTTCACTAGTTATCAAAAATCACTATCGAAATGGTTGTTTTGCCTTCCAGACTAAAACTTTCTCCAGCTTCAGAGTAAAGTTGTACTGCACGGTCCTCTATGGCGTACTCCGAAACAAATATTGATTAAACCCTGTAAAGTTTTATTCTCCAGTCAAACAAACACCAGTACCGGTATCACAAAAGATTTGAAGCCCCTTTTGAGTAATTGTGGTCAGTGCAATGGTGGATCTTATTGTTTTCCACGCTTGAAAGCATTCAGCATAATACATCGTACACATATGAATGCTAAACAACAGCGGTTCAGTATTGTTACCATGGCATGGGGACGCTACACATGTAGTTTAATTCTTGGATATTCCAGCTCCTCGCCTTACAAAGACTTACGTTTGATCCAAATCAATCGCAATTAGTCCTCTGATCAATCGCAAGTTTGAAGTCTCCTATCTCTTTACAATGTAGTCGCGCAAATAAGTTGCGATTGATATCAACTCTTTGTAAGACGGGGACCAGGTATGAATTTTAAAGCTCATGTGCAGTCTTTGCCTCTTTGGTAGCAATTTTTTTTTTGAAATGACCAATGATGAATCTAGCCTCATATTGTTCCGCTTGTATCAAAAGATGGTGCTAGATATTTAATGCTCAGTCCATTATTTCCTTAGGTTTTAGGGTTAAATAAGAACTGGCATACACTGTGAGGTTTTGGAATCATCAAAATGAAAGGAAATGACTTGATCTTGACGAAAGTTGCATGGTCTGCACACAGAAATGAGTATATGGGACTATACAAACAGGTGGCAAAAATGTTTGGTCCAAACTTTTCCACTATTTTTTGTTACATTAAGAATATGGTGCTTATAAAGATTAATAATTTTCATGGCACACCTTTTCTTTGGTATTCTTCCAAACTTCCAAGTGACAAAGAAAATAAGGAAACCTCACAATTTCCTTTTCAATTTACAAGAACTCTTCCGTATCTGTAGGGTCAGGGTTAGGGTTAGGATTGGGTGTATCATTGATTAGCTTCCTGCTCGCTATACCAGAGATGCCAACCTCTTGACACAAAGAAACAGACTGAGTATCCTCAAAAATCAGATTTTCACAAAAACATGACACTACCACTGGCCTGTTTGCCCTGGTCCAGTAAAATTTCAGAAAAATGTTTAACTGGTTAGATCAGTCAAGTAAAATGTTTGCTCTTTCATTAAAATTTGACCAGAAAATTGTAAAGCAGATTTTTTTGTTGGGGTTGCAAGGGTTTACTTGTACCTGTTTCTATGCGATTCAGCGGGGTTTTTTTATCTTTTTTTTTTGTTTTGAAAGCTGAAAATTGGTATTTTAAGAGGTGATATCCTTTTATCGTATTTCACTCTTATTATCATTCTAAATGCAATTTAATTGTACTGCTATACCCATATAAGAAGATGACAGATGCATCATTTATCAGAGGGATCGATTCAGCGGTTCAATAATAACATGAGAATGAAAATCAATAACAGGCAAATTTGATCAGCTGATACTTCAGATCAATAAGTCTATTTTAGTCAATTTTTACGCAAGTCCCTTTATGAAAATACAGATGTAAAGCGTAAATGGAAAATATGGTGTTGCAGTCATGCCACACAGAAGTATTGAATTCAATATCACTAACTATAACAAAAAAGGTATTATGGCAGGATGTGCACGTCCCATTGAGCCTATAAAACAGCCTGGCCTCTCACGGCAGTCGAGTCTATACTATGTAACAAAGTTACTTATTATTATTATTATTATTATTATTATTATTATTATTATTATTATTATTATTATTATTATTATCACAAGAATAAAGATAGTCTACAAGTGAAATCAAGATAAAAACACATGTGAACTACAGGAGTAGAATTCATCTTAATTAACTGAGGAAATATCTATTTCCTACTCCACACAGGTGATAAGAAGCATTAATGTGTTTTGCCGATGTTCTTCATAAAACACCTGTGCCGTATGTGTAATATCCATCACATACCAGGGTGCTTCAAGTTCACCGGAAGTTGGAAGGTGGTTAATTTTTTTTATCTAAAGAACCACATTGAGGTTGTAGGGTTAGGGATTCCTTAAAATTGTCACCCTAACAGTCCCGAAGAAAACTCAAGACAACTGAATGGACAAATTATATATGGATGGAAAGATTTTCTCTTGAAAAACACAAATAATTTGCTGAAAAATCATAGAGATATCATGGAAAGGTGTAAAATGCAATTATGTGGCTAGCTGTGTCCCACATGTGACGTCACGAATCTTGACGCTCTACGAAGGACCGCTGAAGGCAGAAAAACTGGATCTCAAAATTATCATTTTTGAAAAATGATTACCGCAGGCTCCAAACATATTTTGAAGAGGGAAGTTGTTATATTTGATCAGTAAGGCCCCCCCCCCCCCCCTTCGCAATGATGTGAATTTTGCATCAATTCAAAACACTTTTGATTCTTCGGGTGACTATTTTAAGGAATTCATCAAAAAGGGGGGCTAGTACTGTAAAATAGGGTGAATATGAAATAGTTTGTAGTAAATCTTTCTTATTTTGTAATGAAGCTGACCCTTTCATTATTTCCCGGTGATTTATCATGGATAGAGGAAATGAAAAGGGTCATCATTTCTTACAATCATTGGGCGCATTTATCGGGGCTTGCCACTAGATATGTACATATCGTACCCCACTATCATACCCCACTATCGAACTCCACTATGCGATCGTGATTTGCGGGATGTCGCGTTTATCGACTCTTCACGATTCACAATAAAGGCCTTGTCTCTTCGCAGCTGCTCAGCGCTATTTCTCCGAACCAGAAACTAGCCTGGGAATTCCTATTTATATGTGAGGTTCAAAACAGCTTTGCGTTTATCGATCTCTCAGAAACGTGATTCTGGCTGTATGTCACATTCAAAACACACCTTTTTGCGTCTTTAGATATGCCCATATCTAAAGCCCTTTAAAAAAGGCTTTGCGTTTATCACCTTCTAAATTTGCCTGAAAGACGTTTGAGAAACCCGATTCTAGCCAAAAATTTGGTCGATAGACGCAACCATTGATTACATGTAGTCATAGACAGTACCATGTCCATGTACGTTTGGACACTTCAAATTTTACTTTGATTCAAACAGACTCTACCTGTAAGCTGAAGGGCAAGTTGATCAGAATAATAAGTAAATAGAAGACTGTGAGGATGGATTATGGAACGAAACTAGCCTAAATGAAACTTGTGACCTAAAAAAGCCACTGTTTCACTGAATTTAATCTGTGAAATACTTGCTGGACTAGGATTTGATTAATTAAGTATGTCTCAACATGGTGTTTCAAAGGAGGGAAAAACTCGTTTTCTCTGCGATATTGCTTGTGAATCATAGCCTGAAAGTGACATTCACTGAACTACAAATGCACCTGTGCTCGATCAGAAGACACAGTTATAGATTTTCAAAGCTTTGATAGAATTGAAGGAAACAGCTACTAAAAACAAGTACAAACTGGGGAAGAGGCACTCGAAGGTCACATGCAGTACGTGTACAAAAGCTTCCGTTCTGTTAAAGGCAAAAAAATGACAGCTTTCTCATTCTTTTTACTCCTAAATGAAAAATAAATGTAGTAAAGAAAGCACAGTCACATTAAAAAGAATTGCTCAAGTTCCACCTACAGTGTGACTAGACATACATGTAGTTTGAGGGGGGCGGGATGGGTGATGATGTAAGCGCAGTCCCACAAACCCATCTCTGAGCAGTGCTTTTCACTGTATGGTAATAATTTGCAATATTTAGCATTAATTTAGATTTATAATCACAATTCCACGGCTACTGGTATTTTTTTAAACCATAGAAACCTTTATTTCCATTATAGTTTTCTTAGTGCTTTTTTAATGAGAGGTACCAAACTGTCCAGTAAAGGGAAATATTAATTAGTTGCCGTCCAAATAATCTTTATGGGGCTCTTGAAGAGGATATAAAATTTAGATCCGAGTTGACCTTGGCCCGAGTGAACGTCACTACCTGATTACCACGAATGGACTAAAAATGGACAGTGGCCTAATCTTCTTGACCACAAGAAGATGACCTCATCAAGTTCCTTCTCACTAATCAATAACATTGACCCACTTTCTTTGTAAACACAGTCATGTATTACTAGTCCCATTTACACATCCCCCAAATCAGTTTGCTTTCTGAATAACAATGACTGTCAGCTCCCAAGCTCACCACTTTTTCTCAAACATGCCATTCTTTTTTCTCTCTAATGACTCTGGCATTGCAAATTACACATGTTATAAGCATGGTATATTAAAGTAAAGACTTTTTTCACTAATAACCTCAGAGCTTTACAAGCAGGAATTTGTCTTAAATATTCTTTACTGAAGAAAAAAAAAAAATTCCAATGAAGAATATTAATATATTTTATCACTTTGAACTTTCTTTGAACCGACTATAAAATCGTCTATTATCTTAATTCAAATCTACTAATCAAACAACTCAAACTTCAACGAGTTGATCATCTCGACAATCAAACAGCAGCTTCAAAATTTGGAAGTTCTTTCGCTTTTCTTTTCTTTTTATATTTGTTCACTAAAGATATTTTTCTCAGTACTAAAGTGTATCTGCGGCAGTGACCTTAGGTCACAAGCATGTGTGTATTTTGAAATGAAAAGCAAAAGTGTACACAGCACAAGGTGACCTACACATGCTGCTCCAAGTATGTATGGATTTCACTAGGATACTTTCCTCAGTACATGTATCTGTGGCAGTGACCTAATTTTGAAGGTCAGGTCACAAGCATGTGTGTAATAGAAAAACAAAGTTGTACACAGCACAAGGTGACCTACATGTACACATGCTGTTACATGTGTAAATGTGTCTTTGGAATTCACATGTATCTGTGGAATAGATTTCAAGGTATGGGGCGTGCCTAATCGTTTTCCCCTGAGCAAAACGGAAAGGTGAGGAGAAGGCATACCGGTACCGATGCAACTTTTATATTTTTGGATCAACTTATTGAATGACCTTCACAGTGTTAGAGGATAATACATCGCAGATCAAAGGACAAAGATCAGAAGGGAAAGCAATGAATGCTTATTGCTTCAGTAGCAAGACACACAATTCAAGTAGGGCCCTCCATTGAAATTAGAAAGTAGATATATATTACCTAATATATATATACTGAGGAGCTGGTAAACACGTAGGCCTACATGTACATACCGGTACTTCTCTAGCTTTGCCCCACCCCCCCCCCCCCCCAACAAATAAAGAAAAAAGAAAATGTTTGTGCAGTGCTTACATATATGCACTAACTGTTTGTGATTTTCAGCAAAATATCTAGACATTTTAATTCACTTCTGAAGTATTAACACATAATACTCCATTTTCCTATATAAATTATGTTCCAAAATATTCCTCTGTATAGTTTTAAAATAGAATAAAGGTATCAAAATCCTAATCACACCCTGTGACAATGTGCCCCCCCCCCCCCCACCACCACCATCACCACCATATTCTGCCATTATCATTGAGTCTTTAAATGTCAAATTTCTATAAAGTTCATGTTCCCATGATGATAGCATGTACAAATAGGACAAAAATAGACGAGACCTGTACAGCAAACACTTTCATATCATGTTTCATGTACCGTATGTGGATTTGTGCTTACCAGCCTTGTATTGTTTCAGATGATGCACGTCATTTGCAGCTACCGTAGATCCGTTTGTCTTTCCATTGGTCGTTCCATTGGTGATGCCACTACAGTGCGGGGAAAATTGAGAAGAGAGTGAAAATCATGATATAAAGACAAAGACAGAAATTCAAACAGACGGTGAGACAAAAGAGATGTAAGAGAGGTACAATGTAGATAGAGATAGAGGGGGGGGGAGGAAAAATGTGTGAGAAAGGAATTGAGACAGAGATAAGCAAAACAAAAAAGATGCAAGTAAAAACAAAAGGAGAGAGAGGAGGATGGAGAAAGAGAGAGAGAGATGGAGAAAGAAAGAGAGAGAGAGGAGAGAGGAGAGAGATAGAGAGAGGAGAGAGGAGAGAGATAAAGAGAGGAGAGAGAGAGAGAGAGAGAGAAATGATGGGTGTTACGTGGAGCAGGAGAGGAAAAAAGGGCATTCACTGAAAGATTCATGAATGATAAAGGGTTGTTCAGCTGTGGCACGGTAAACCACAGTAAAAAAGCTGATGCATTTTCTTTTTTTAAACATGTACAGATGAATTGCAACTGCCTGCAACAAAGGACTTGTGCATATTCACCAAGTACTGTGATCCTTATTGCACTTTGCGTCATCAATTTTGTTAAACACTGTGGTTTTGTCGGGTCATATCTGAACGAGCCTTAAATAGGAAATTGTTAATCTAAAATTCACAAATGAATGCATATAATCTGTTCATTCGTTGATGTACAGTACTTTTTCCAGTATTATCGAAAACAGCAGTACTGAAACCTACACATCATACATGCAGATTTTTAAAATGAATTCCAGGAATTCCATCATTATCATTAATCATAAAAGAATGAACAATGTCGGTTTAAGCCACAGGAATACTACACATGTATGTCCTGGTTACATGTACCAGCCTACCACTACTTTTTACACAATACATGTACACAGATTACAGATTACAGATTTGGAGGATTGTGTTTAGAGAAAATCTATAAATTTGTAATTTTGATTTCCTATAGATCATTGAATATATTAAAAGGAAACACAAATGACCAAAATAGGAAATTGTTCGAGACAGTCTCCTTCCCATTGTTAAAGCTGGAGTAAAACGTTCAGTTTTCTTTCGTTTTGAAAAAAGTGAAACCTCAATGTGACTTGAGATGTACATTTAATCCATCACATGATCTTGGCAGAACAATAGTAGGAAATGGGGTTTTCCCCTTTATGAGATGCTAGTCTCGCTACAGTGTATATCATTTCAAGCATGTTTTGTTCATTTCCTGCTTCATTAAAGGCATAAATCTCCAGCAGCGCAGCATAAGAAACATCACAAATTAAAAGATATTTAGACATTTACATGTACATGTAACTATCTAAGCATACAAATCAATGCCTACAGTTTTAAAGGAAAGAGTAGTGTAGTTTTTTAAGTACATTACTATTTTTATGAATCTTGTTTTGTTATGTTTGTTTTTGAGAAAGCATTTATAAACCTTGATAACAGAAGAAAGCAGAAAAAACAGTGAGAAAGTTATGAATTTTTGCTTTTTGTAATCACTATAGGTTTCGGCTTTTCAAATTGGTTGAATCGGTAATGTCTCTGTGATGAAGTGGCAGGACAATTTGTAGTGAACATCTTAACCCTAATAGGGCCGGGCTATTTGAAGTCTTAGTAGGGCCGGGGGGGGGGGGGCCATTATGGCCTCCCCCTTAAGATCTCGGCCGCGAAGCGGCCGATCGCCGCGAAAATTTGTACGCATGTCAAGTGAAGTGTAAAGAATAATATGATAATTTCAATTTTTTGAAAAATTCACTCATTTGCATATTTATGGTAATTTATGCAAATAAAGTCATAAAAATCACATTTTTACCCATAAATCATATGTTATTCATATTTAAGCATTCTTTTTCACTAGATATATTCATTAGACCATTCTGAATAATAATACAACACATAATTTGGAAGAGCCAGCTTATTTCTTATGTTATCCCTTGTTTTGATAATTTCTTATGTATTTCATTGTTTTTTTAACTTATGTATTTCATTGTTTTTGTTGTTTTATTTCATCTTTTACTACAATTCAACTATTTTGACTCCCAAAACAACCACCCAAACTTTAATCAAGACCCAATAACCCATGTTTGATCTGTTTTTAGGAAAAATGACTTTGCCATACGTTTTGTACACAAATAACGAAAATGAGCGATTTTCAGGCTGACATGCAAGGACAAAAGGTCATGTGACCTTGTAACCGTAGGTCCGATTTTCAAAAAAATTATTTTAAAAGTTGCGCAAGGCTTGAAAGAAAAAAGCCAGCGAGCGGCGGGGCGCCATCCATATGCGTTCCCGAGCAATCAGAAAAATTGTGGAGGGGGGGCCATAATGGCCCCCCCCCCCCCCCCCCGGCCTTATTAGGGTTAAAAAATTGCTGCATAAATTCTCAGTGTACATGTACATGTACATGTATGATACCAATCCCGACATTCAAGTTTGTAACTTACTTTGTATGTGGTGCGGGGGACGCTACGGTGTCGTTTGGCAGCGAGGTGTCATTAGATGTGATGGTGGTGTTAATAGTATCGTCAGGATCGTACGGCGAGTCCGGCGACTTTTCTTCAACTTTATCTTCCATTTTAACGTCTGCGACTTCCGCCATCATGTGCTTAGATTTTGCTCTTCAACTTTGGGTAGTAAGTTCACTTTTTCCTTTAAAGTTCTTCAAATTGGTTTAGGATTAAATGGAGACTTCTCAGGTTAAAATATGACAATCTGTGCAGGGGGGATAAAGGGGAAAAAATACTGTTACAATTAAGAACACATTAAAATAAATGGATGTATAGTCTTGTAAAACATCAATTTCAAGTGTAAATAAAGAAAAATCAACAACAAAATCAACAACAAAAAATCTGTATCGTGTGATCCATATGTTATCATGATATTGCAGGAATACTTGTCAAATAAGGAAACAATTAAATTACACAATGCATCTCTGTGATTTATTCATAATTATGAATTCAGGTTGGCCGTAATTAACTGTTTTGCTATATTGTTTTGACCATACGGTGACCATACGGTGACCATACGGTGCCAATTCAGCAGCAGCATCACGAAAGGCCTTGAATTTGAAAACAGATGAATCAACAAAATATACAAAAAAACAATATCAATAAGAAAATACTTGTGCTCAAAATTTTCTACAGCGATCAAGTCAATTGCAAAATAACATGTACATTAGCTTCAAATATCTGCAGCATTGTAACCGACACAAAGGAACCTACAATTAGACTATGTACAAAGAAGAAAAATCATAATTAAAACAAGAACAACAAAATTATCGGATATGAATAATTCATTAAATTCAACGAACCTGGTCCAGGCAGTTCAAGTACAAAGCAATAATATGTAGATCTACTCTCCTCTGCATATAATACTAACAGAACAGTGGTTGCATTGAAAAGGAAGAAGTGGATCTAAGCATGGTACAGGAATCATTCATTGCACACACGTACACAATCTCTAGAACGGCCCAACTGCCCAAGTTCTTTATCAAGACTCTGCAGAGCTAGCTAGAGAGACACGTGTATGACCTCATTTCACTCACATCAGCATACTATCATATCATGCCAGAATGACCTCATTGCTCATCCATATTCATGAGTCCTTCAAAAGTCCACTCAAAGAACACAGGACACACAAATCATGCACACAGACACACAAGCTGCCTTCAAATTGTGTGTAGAAATCCCTGACCTTATTTTTCAGACCTTTTTTTACTTTACCTACCATATTGTTTGTGGAAATCTCAAAGTTCCTTCAAACTATAAGAGCATAATGATTACGGGAATATGAATTAATGACAGATAATCTATTGCTACTATTCAACCAATCACTATTATACTCTAGTTACAAACTTATAACATAAGACAGAACTACCGTATGTTCAAACATACAAATTCAAACCAAAGGGGTCTGAAATGTAAAGGCTACTGCATCAACCAGACAGAGCAGACATTTGTGAAAGGTGAACAAACTTTTCAAGATAATGATGGATGGATCTGGTGGTATGGATGAGCGAATTGCATTCATAATGCAGTTGTTATTTTCGTCGGATCATCCATTTTTGGACAATAAATTGTTTTTGTTAATACCTTAGGAATGTAAATTAACTCAATAACACATATTGGACATTCTTGATAATCAAAATACTCATTTTCACTAGTGTTGGTGAAGTGTTCACATTATTGAGACATATATCTGAGGCACAGAGATGTTGTTTTGTTTTTTTTAAGTAAAAATAAGTAAAATGTATTAAAATGTGATACATGTACATATTTTTTTATCTGAGTAGAAGCAAATCGATTTTAAATGAAAGGAAAACGATAGGACAAACAAGTAGTTACGATATATTTTGGAATTTGGACAAATATAGCAACATTTCATTTCAATTGTCTGATGTAAATGATTTTATCTGTGTCCTGATAACCAATCAGCTTATACATGTACTTGACTACATGTACATGTAGATAGGACTTTCTGCATAAGTTTGTTAACCCTGCTTTAAAACAAATATCAAGAGAAGAGATGTCTTGAATGATTCTGAGAATGAGCAAAAATTTTTAATTTTTTAAATCAGCAACACTTAACATTTATTCTGGATCCCTACAATGTAAACAAAAAAAAGGAACACCAAAACCAAACAGGTCTAGAATGTAAATAGGATTACTAGTGATTGAACACCGGTAAGAAATTTGAAATAACACCTAAACAAAAATTACAAACAAAATATTTTAAAAATACAGCAAGATCTATTGATATTAAAATCTGCATTTAAGCATTCTGGAAGTGAATTTCAAAAATATGAAGTTTGGGGGCTGATGTACGTGTATAAGGCGTGTATTTCCTTAATGTTACGATTCTACAAATGTAAAAACAATACATGAGCACGCATGCTGCTTCCTTATTTCCCTGTTTTGCCTACAATGTACTTTGAACACTCAAACCAACAAACTATCATGTACATTGTACGGATGGATTGCCCTTTGCATTTAATATTACGAGTGCTTGGTAAGTGCAAGGAAAAGGCACTAGCTAGGTTAGGATAAGATACATCTACATTTCATAAAATACACTTGTGTGTACAACTGTACATGGACAAGTAAATCCATTACATGCACATGTACATGGTACATCTATTTTGCCTCTCGCTACAGTACTCTGGTCATCTAATGCATTTCTTCTCTGCATGCCAACTTTCACTGTTCTATTTTTGAACATCCGCTTGCTTTCGAAACAGATCACTTTATTTTATTATCACTCTCGCCTTCGCATTCCAGTTTCCGTTTCTTCTCACCCTTTCTTTTCCTCTTGTTCTCAAAATACGTTTGTCTGTCTGTCTCTCTCTCTCTCTCTCTCTCAGCTCCCCCTATCAAAGTACATTACTGTACATTGTAGTTTCTATTTCTCAATATTTCTTGCTTTTGCATTCTCCCTCTATCTGTCTTTTTCTAGCTCTCCCTCTATCTGTCTTTTTTTAGCTCTCCCTTGCTCTCCATCTCTCTAATTCTTTGTTTCTCTGTCTCTCATTCTTTGTTTCTGTCTCTCACATATCTCTCTCCTCCCCTCCCTTTTTATGTCACTCTGTCTCTGTCTGTCTGTCTCTCTCTCTCTCTCTCTCTCTATCTCTCCACCTCTTTTGCTCCCTCTTCTCTACTATTTTTAACTGTTTATCTACAATGGAGTCTGACGTTTGCTATTTGTATGCATGTCTCCCTCTCTCTCTCTCTCCATCAGTCTCCATCTCTTCAGATCTTTTCATGCGTCACACTTTTGTCTACATATAGGAAGCCATCCCACATACCGGTACATGTATATCGGGGCCCCTAATCAGCGATCAATACATGAATAATCAGATCTTACTAAACTCCTATGTTCAAATACACGTTTGTACATGTACTGTAGCTAGTAAACAGTAGTAGCCATACACACCCTGTACCAGTGAGGCTTATGTATTCATGTATTTTAAACCACAATGTTTACAAATTTCCATATTTTACATTTTAGAAGCATTTAAAGGTCATGCTTGAATAGGCCAACAGTAAATGTTTAATCTCAAAAGTATAAGGGAATAAAGCATCAACCTCTGCTCTTTTGGATGAAGTTTAGAAGACTTCTGAAAAGTAATTTAGAAATTCTGGAAACTCACCTTGAGTGTTCTCACTGGTGCTCCTGCTCAGAATAAATGAGCTTCAATAGGCTTTTAATGTGTTCAAATAAGTATTTTCAGGCAATTAAAGTTGATTTTGGTCATCAAATAACAGCCTTTTTGCTGTACATTACCAGCAAGAGACACTAACAAGAGGACTTAAATGTAAGAATCATTAAAATGTATCCAATGTTTGGAATTATAGACTTTATAGGGAATCAAGATTTTCTCAAAAAGAACCTTGTGCAAAATTATAAATGGTACATGTAAAGGATATCTTGGCACTTTAACATGATGAACATTTTCATGAAAACCACTGAATCAGCATTGTGGGAAAAATGATAAGTGGTAAGCTTTACAAAATATCAACTTTGCTATCAATAAATCAATATGACTCAACTTCCTAGTTATGAAAAATCTCAAGTACGTTTTTAGTCAATTGTAAACATCATAAACCCTGTACATCATTTCACAAAAATAGTTCCTTTTTCAATACATCGTTTATTTTCTGAAATGAAACCCTCACCTCCCTATTGAAAAGGTGTAAAGAACTGCCCTATCATCAAAATCACATAGCAATGGGCATTCCATTTCAAGTACGTCAGTTAATAAAAATTCTGTTCAAGCAAGCAGAGAGAAACAACAGCCTATTTACGTCACACGCTGCCTGCGCGCCTGCCTCAGTCTCAGGAATGTTTGGACACACACAACCATGCAAGGAGGGCAGCGTCATTTAGAACGGATCTGAGGGGGAATGCCCTAGATTCATAACAAACAGTTTGACAGACGAAAAGTCTGGAGATATGCATGCAAAATGTACAGTACTGGCATCTAGACATGAACACATACACACGTACATGTGAATGTAGTTACCTTACTAACTGCAAAAGTTGTATACATTTATATATGAATAAACAGAGTCATGTCAAAAGAGACGGTATATTTTGCATACCGTACTTCATTTTCAATTTATTCTTTCATTTTTGCAAAGAATAGAGACAATGTCTACACATACTGTATGTAGACTACATTTTGTCTTCATTATGGATGGGCACATCATTGCATCTTATTCTTGCTTCTCCTTTTCTTTTCTCCTGTCAATCGAGTTGCTTCTTTCCAGCAGTCTACAATGTATGTCTGCATCCTAATGCACACTCCAAGATATCATTTAGTGCTGCTAATACCAGTTTTGCCAATCTAGCCACAAAACTTTTTAAAATGCAGACATTTTATTCCCATAACAAACATTACAGAAACTCTTCCATAGTGTTTCCTTCTGGTCATAATTCAAAACTTTATAGGCAAGTCCACAGAGTTACAGCAGAATAAATTCTAAGACAAAATGTAAATTATTTCACGCCCCTTTTCATTCTTCAGAAGGCCCCCATCCTCTGCATAGCAGACCTCAATGACACACAGATCATCAGTGACTTTCAGCCGACTTTCACGACTGAACTTCCGTTCTTATTCGCACTTGGAAGTGAATATGAGCAATAAAAGTGACTGGGCTTTATAGCATATAAATAAATGCTCATAAGTTTGTAAATTTACAGGCCTACCATCAAGAATTTCACTTTTTTTAATGAGAGCTTGTGACAAGTAACACCCATAATTAACAACTGTTAAAGTATGTACATGTAGGTCACTTTCATTAGGGCCGGCATATGAGCAATAAAGATGACTGGACCTTCTGCTCACAAGTTTGTAAATACCATCAAGAATTTCAGATTTTTCATGAGTGCTTCTGACAACCAAATTGACAACTGCTAAAGTATGTAGATTGTGTAGGTCACTTTCACAGGGGCCTGCATCGAGATATTTCTAAAAGACCTGTATACACTTTACATGTATAGTACTAGGCCTACATTACAAGCTACACATTAAGGCTGTGCACAACCGTTTAATGAGGTACCCAAGTACACTCCCAGGCTTACAAGCGAATGTACTTGAATATTCGGACGCCATGTTTTTTGTTGTTTTTGTTTTTTGCCACCACCATACCACGGGAGCAGTATCCCAGGTCCGTCTCCAAAAAACTCAAGCAATTTTACTTCTGTAATAGGGATTCTGTATTGTTACTTACAAATAATATTGTTTTTGTTTTAATAAGTTCCACAGAGACCCCTGCAGCCCTGCCCTCGTGTACAGTAGTTACAGTAGGTGCAACTCCTGAGTCCTGACCCCTAAGGCAATTTCAGAATCAAATTGGTATCAAAATTTAACATTGCTATTATCGCAGATAAATCAGAGCATTTTATTCTCTACTAAATAAAATTCATGTGGAGAAGGCAAATCTATAAACATTGATGGTATATGCACGTACAGTCATATAGTTTCCATGTA